ACTCCTGTTGCACTGAGACGTGAAGCCCTTGCTTGACAATGGCTTTCCTCGCTTGATTTGCGTCCGAAAAGCTTTCATGGTGCTTCTGTGAAAAGCTTGAAGCCACAAGGGCTGAGCCCACTACGAAGCCCTAAGCGTCAACGCTCAAAGCCTTAAGCTTTGTTCCCCAAGACCAAGACCCCACATTGTCCACCTCTCCCCTTGACGCCGGAGCCACAAGCCCCTAATGATTCTTCTGCCATCATCTCTGTGGTTTGGTATTCAATCATCCGTCCCATGGTGTCCTTTTCAGTATCTGTTACAGGTCTTTGCCTGCGTCCTTTCCTCCGTGGGTTGATGCATAGCTGTGGCTATCTGCTAGTAGTATTGCCAGTCCTCTTATGATTGTTGCTTGTGTAAGTGGTGGTGGTGTCCCGGTCTCCTTCGTTCCCTCGCAGTGGTGTGACTAAGCTCTGTGCAGAAGAACGGGCTATCACGACGACACCTGTCGCCTCGTCCCTCTTCGAATGCGCAACACTGCAACATGCAGGGCTTCGAGGGCTCGGGCAGCCCGGGGCCGGGCACCAGTTGCCTTTGAAGCGCGCGCCCCCGAAGAAATGCCCGAAGGATTTCCATCTTCGGAGCTGTGACCTTCGGCCAGGCTGGGTCTCGTCTTAGTGGACCCCTTCCGAGAGGGGGTTGCGGAATGGTGGGGTGTCTTGGGGTTTTCGAGAACAGAACAGGGGTTAGATCTTTGTGTTGGGATTTTCAGGGGTTATAGATTTTTCTTTGAGGACTTATTCAGGGTTGCTGACAGGTTCACCGGGGCTTTGAGTGACATTTCGGGGCCTGAGATTGTTTTGGTATTGTGCTCAAGCTATATCATTGGGGTGTTGGGCAGCTGGTGTCTGAGAGTCTGGGAGATTGGAGATTTTGGGTGTAGTCACCCTCCACAAGCCCCAAAATACGTATAACTTAAATGCCAATCCAACCCAACGGATGGGGGCGGTCCATGCCTAGGTAGTCGAAGTGCGGAGTTCAGGTATGTTCATTGGTTATGGTGAGGAGCTTTCAGGGAGTCAGGGTCCTAGAATCCCCAAACCGCACCGGCAACCATAACCCGAATGTAAGAAGTGTACCAAGAGGGAAAAATGTCAGCTAGAGGATACCTTGCCTAATTATTTAGGTTCATGGCACCACCCAGCCCCTTCCGTGCAATGAAATCTGGCTTAAGATCTCCACTCAACTCAGTCAGTCTTTTGAAAGGGTTGAGTGCTGTATCCCCTTTCGCCCTTCAGTCGACGTGTGACCTGCAATGCGGGGTCTTCGGACATGCCAAGCGGGGGCCAAAAAATCTCCACTCAATGCCAGGATTATCCACTATCTCAACATCTCAGCCCGAATGCTCGGATACCCAACCAAAGATCCCAACCTAAGTTACCATTACGTTCCTAAGTTAATTACCATCCTAGAAATACCACTTGCTTCTATCAAGGTTCCGTACATCTAACTTCCGTAGAATGTGGGTTAGAGTTTGGGGTTAAGGCGAGCTTCGGTGTTTATGTAGAAGAACGTTGCAAGGAAGATAATTCGCGGCGTGTTGTTACCTATCGTATAATGCCTTCGTATCAGCAAGCACCTCGTTCTCCTCAGGGGAACTATTAACTTCACTCATGCTCTCTAGTCTGAATAGTCACAAAGCACCAGCATTTAAGCGATTTATTGGAGCTCATGCAATACACCTCTTAGTGGATGAAATCCACGAGATGAAAAAATGACGTCCTCTAGCAAATAGCCCATGCAGGCTTTTGAGTATCTAGCGAAACGAGGATCATCTGCTAAATCGTCGACAACAATTACATTCACTAATGTTTCCTTTTGTTTGGTATTCTTGTGAAAGTCCATTATCTGGTGCTGTGTGTCTACTATCTTCTTTATTGCTATTGGGTCGTGTTCTCCATCACAAGCTGATTTTTCTTTGTAACATTCATAACATCGCTTCTTTATGTCTTTTCAGCCAGCCATGTGTCATCTACATAAATGCATGGACTAAAATGGTTTCCATATATATATATATATTGATATATATGTATACATACATTACCTTTGAACAGAGCCACGATACACTTTTGATATCGAGTTCTAAATGAGAACTGATTTACCACCCGTTGAACTTGCCACGGCAATCATGTTGTCCGTGCCCATGCGCATTATGTGGCAGCCATCTGTCAAACCGCCAGATCCTTGTGTGAAGGCTTGCTGACGGGATAGCCCTGACTCTTATCTCTGGGGCGTTTTCGCTTATGCACTAAACTTATGTGATTTCTGCCGGTCAATGCACCAGGCGCTGTTTCCTTATGTACATACTGACCGTAAACGGTTGTTCAAGGACCGAACCTCCTTTGTAATATTTCATTTTCGCTGGTCTCATACTTATACTGTGGTCTGTCAACAGGTTCTACTGTAGAGATAGCTAGCTTACATTACAAGATGTTTGATATATAATACAGAGTACTGGCGTCGAGATCATAGATGAAGTTCAAAAAGGTGGAAGAGGTAATAATTAAAGATACCAGACTCAAACGGTGCTGTAATAGGCCCTGGTAATTGCTAGAATAGTTTCCAAATATCTAACAGCATATAGCTTCATGCCAGAAAGTGTGGACCATACACTGGCGCTAGTGAAAAGACGTAAGAGCCCTATCAATGTTCTAACTCAGTTATTTCGTTTCGTTAAGGCTTAATAAACGTAAGGTTGTATATATGCGCGTTGGGAAAGGAATATGTCGCTGCCTGTAAGAGTAGACAAGATACTAGTTCATGCTGGAGCTTATGGTGAACCAGGCACTAGTGTTACCAGGAAGTCTTGTCGCCGTAAACAAGTCGAACATATTATATAATTTTTCAAGCATAGTATTGCGTTAATAAGAAACATTACACCAGTTATCTCTCGAATATATCTTAACTTGTTCTGAATGCTTAGACACTGGACGGAAGACACGTGTAGAGAAATGACTTCTATACATATTGAGTAATGGCACACAAATAAATTTAAAACATATAGCCACATACGTATAGTGTAAATGTAGCACATACAAAGTTACATGTTGTGTTTACAGTAGAGCTACAACTCTTAACGCCAAACCCTGAATCAACTTCCATAAGACACTCCCTCACCTACTCTTAGCCATGGCACTTGGATAGATACCGGTATTTGGAATAAGATTTTCTTAAGATAGATATGTACGTTGGTGGAGTCGGTGGTGCCATTAGCCGAAATTACACGAGGCATGCTCTAACTATGTCTTCCCTGTCCTTGCGAAGTAGGAGTCAACATGTCCTCGTAGGGAGCTCGTAGGGGGCAGAAAATTGTTTGGAGGCCAGAGAGTCCCTGGTCGAAAAGCCGCCCCCGGAAACAGAACCGCTGCTGGTCCAGAGCTGAGGATGGCCATGCGTTATAAGGGTTCTGAAGTTAACTAGAGCATTTACGGCTTAAGTGTTTCGGGTGTGGGAGTTTGGACGATCTTGGGGCAAAGGTTTGGAGTTTAAGGGCTTTGGAGTTCAAGATATCATTCGGGCTTAGGCCCAACGGTTGAGGTTCAGGATGAGCTGCGCGACTTGAGTCTAAGTGGGGTTTCAGTGCGGGTTGGTCTTCAGGCTCGGTGAATGTTTAAGTTCGAGTTAAGGGTTTAAGGGTTCACAGGGTCAAAGTGTGTTTTATCACGGCTTGACAAGAAGTGATTGCTTTTGGGTTCGATTGGGTTTGCTGGCCGAGCCAGGTGGCAACGCGTTTGGATGTGATGACCCGACCCCATTCATGGGCTTGGGTGTTGAGGTGTAGGGGAAAGTATGTTCTGGAGAACTCTAGCGAGGAATCAACCGGATATGCGTAGTTAGTAACGATAGCCTAGACCTTGAAGTGTGAATCCCAAGGTGGCCCCGCTGATACTTCCTTCGACCTGAACCCCAAAACCAAAACTTGAATCAAACCGGGCGATCCGCAGACCCAGGACGAGTTCCTGTTACAGACAAGGCAGACGCAAGGCTTTTACAGGAACCTCCCCTAAAGCGTTGAGGCAAGCATCATCTAGCGGTGCAGCCCCACAGCGTCCACCCAGTACATCGGTGCTTCAGTACAGGCACCTCGACGAAACACGAATTGGCTTTGGCTCGAACGTGTTTGCAGCTGATAGGTAGATAGATAGAAAGATAAAGAAAGTTAGATAGAAAGATCGGTAGCTTGGTAGCTAGGTAGATAGATGCCTGAAGCATTAAAGCCTTAAAGTGCAAACGGAGCCTCAACTGTACCTCTCGGGCAACGAGGTCCCTCCAGCCAGGGTCTGAAAGGCTCGGAAAGGCGCAGAAGAGCGCGCCGTTGCCACCTGCTTTCATGTGGCGGCAGAAAACGATAGGACGAAAAGCAAACCGCGAGCAGGCTTTGGGTTTGGTGGCTGGGGAAGGCATACTTGAGCGGACTACAAGATGCTGTGCGGAATGTACTATGGTATACGACGATGATACGTTACAATATACGATAATGGACTAAGACATACTACTGCACTACAAGATACTATCGCATACTATGATCTACGATAGACAAGGACAGTTTTCAGGGTGTTCAAAGGCCTTTTACGGCAGCAAATTCCTGTCGGAAAGCCGCTCAAAACGAAGCAGATTGCCTGGGCGGGGAGCCCGCAGCTTGCAACTGAACTGTTAGAGCTTCTTCGCTGCGTGTTTTCCTGATGGCTTCCGCTCGTCTCAGCTCAAGAACTGCTGGAGCTTGAGTACTGCAGCCCTGACCCATCCCCCCGATACCCACTGCACCCCAGAACTTGCACGCCCCAGCTCAGCAACAGCTTGAGGGCCTAGCGCTTTGCAAAGCCTTCCAACTCTAGAGTATCGGCCAGCCCTGAACGCGAGCTGGCCCCCGCACCTCCTTGAACCCCAAACGAACCCCAACACCAGCAGCCCCTAACCCAAGTCGAACCGCTCCAACAAGAAGAAGTAGACGAGTTCGAGCCATGGGCAAGAAGGCCGCATCCAAGGCCAAAGCCGCGGCTTCACGGCCGGGTTCTGGGAAGGCGCCGCAGTTGGGCACTTGGGTTTCAGGTCTCTTTTCAGGCTCTGGCATCATGTTAAAATAGCCCGTAGCAAACGGGTCTGAACCTAGTATTGCTTGAGGTTCGGTTGAGTGAGTAGCGGAGGGGATGCGAGTATCCTTCTTGCAGTCTCATGCTCCTACAAACCACGGATGCAGCCCACTTGCCAAGCCTTCAGATCTTCCAAATATGCCCTTGCTTAAAGCATCGTGTGTCACAAACCCGAAATTCATGTGAGCTGTCTCTTCGAACGCGGGTCTCCGAGCTATTCGAATATATCCATCATACATAGACATTTCGGGAAGTTTTGGGCTGAAGAAGGAGTCGGGGCGTTGGGGTTTTGAGGGGATGCGGCTCCAGTTGTTGCGGGATTTACACGCCTTTGGCAACTGTGCAACCATGAGCGCAACCTGTGCCTGAATTGATATGTACCCAGCTCCAAGCAAACCCCCAGGATCCCACCGAGCCACGAGCTTTGAAGCCCAAGCGACTAGGCATGGCCTCCAAAGCGGAATCAAAAGTCGAAAGGCTCTCACCTCAGTCCGGTGGCTCGTGGGGTGTTGTTTCTGGGCCTCGGGGGTGTCCAGCGGGGGTTGGTTGGTGTGTCTTCGGAGCTTTCAAGCTTGCTAAGGTCTTCAGGGCATGTCCCTATCACTGAAGCACGCAACCTTAAAGGTCCAGAACCCCAAACCCTGAAGCAGTGCAGTCCCAGAAGGCCCTATGACCCTAAGCGTTCAAAAAGGGTTGAGGGAGAGGACTTCGAGGCTTGGAAGCCTTGCAACAGGGCGGAATTTCCTAAGAACAAGCACTTGCCATGTGCATATGCGTTCAGGGTATACCATATGCCCTCACAGCCCACAATCATCCCGAGACGAGCGACCCGCCAAACAAACGGAAAATCCCGAAGCCCGAAATGTTCAAGGATTCGATGCATCGGGCTGGAAGCAAGCGCCTTTGAGTTCCAAGCAAGCCCGAGGCAAGTACACGGCGGAGGACTTCCAGGATTTGGTCAGGGGCCTCGGTAGCTTCAGGGTTGGGGGCCTAGGGGGCTGAGATATCCTCTGATCCCAGAAGAGATGTTAGAAGACTTGGCAAGAACGGTCTTGCAAGGGCGCCATGCTTCTTGTTGGGCCCGGCTCCGCCCCCTCGGTGGTCCCTAGTTCTTCACTTCGTCGGCCAGTTGTCAGTCTCGTTTCGCTACCACGCTCCGTAATACTGAAGCCGAGCGCAAGGTCAAGCAGCTGCAGCCTCTCAACCTCCGGGCGCCTTGACGGGAATTATCATCGGACGCCTGTCACGGGATCTCCTCAGATTCCTATAGGCCTTGCAGCATGGCCCCAAAGCCAGGCTGAAAACCCAAAACCCGAGAATCCGTGTACCCCTGCAGACCCCTCCTATCCTCTCGGCTTGGGGTTCAGGGCGAGGGTTTTGGGTTTGGGGTCTAGGATTTTGGGATTTAGGGTTCTGTTCTTACGGTCATTGTAAGGAAGTGTAGCATTGAGTCCAATCTGCGTCGCAGCGAAACCTAGTCCCTGAATCCGACATCCCAGACAGTGCCAAGCTAACACACAGTTCCCTACGAGTTGCACGGCCATGAACCCCAAACCAAGATCCATCTACAAGGGGTTGTCCAATCACTGATCCTTTCTGGAGTCCTTATGAAAGCATACCTAGTCACCTAGGTGTTCTGCTTGAAGCCTTGCCGCAAAAGGAGCTTAAAGGATGTTGAGGAGACCCCTGCCAAGGTATCCTTGATCCGGAAAGTTCCTGCAAGCTTTCTCTGAAAAAAACGCAAGATCCCAAAAACCTTGGGGAGGTCGTGAAGATGGAGCCCGACGGCAACTGCCTTTTCAGGGCCATCGCCGACCAGCTCTGCTCCGGGGTAGCAGCAGTGCAGCAGAGCACCAGCCCTGCTTCAAAAGGATTTCAACTCTCTCCCGAAAAGGGTATCTCTCCACCTCGCTGTGTTCTTTTGGGGACCTTACGGATATAGGAGAAGGCTCTCCGTTGTGTTCGGAAGGGTCGTGAGCTTTTTAGTGCCTTGGGTTGGGCTTGTGGTTTTAGAGTTGCTGATTTGGGGTGGTCTTCGGCGTGGTCAAAGACTTTTTCTGCTTATGCGAAGCTGAATCCCTGAGTCAGAACATGAAAACATGAAGTCCTGTTGTGTGCTGCGGCATTGCGCCTGCATAATCCGAGGTGGTGACCCAGAAGAGCACAACCACTACAGAGAGACTCGGCGTTCCGTGTAAGGCACACGATGAACGGAGTTCATTGTCGATTCATTGTAGTAGTGAAGACCTCAATGTAATGTGGGACTCTGCGAAAGTTGCACAAGAGACGTCTGCATGCACGACTCCCGCAACAAGTCTTTGATGTTTCGTTCACGGGCTCTTGAACTCGCGGCTTGGGATTGGCAGCAGGGAGCCAACCTGGCGGCTGCAGCTTTGTGAACCGTGAGGCTTCAACCCGGCTCGACGAGATCTAAGCGTAACAGACTCCCAAACTCCTAACTCAGGACATGTGTTGCAACCACATGATCGAGAATGCAGATGAGCGCCTCGCACTGACAAGCAGCTCTTGACGCAGGGTTTTGGAGAAGTGAGACAAGAGTTGACGAGCTCCCCGTCGAAGTGCCCTTCAACCTGAGAACCGCCGAAGCGCAACGCTCTCAACCTTCAGCGCTGATCAAAGTCGGTCCTGGCCAGGTTCTCACTCTTCTATGCAGACGAGGAGACCCGAAGTTCTGCCAGGTCTCCCGCGAGTGCTGTGAGCTCAACACCGGCCTTTCACTTCCGGGGTTTCGAGTTAAAGATTCTCAGCCAGCAAGGCTTGGGTGTAAGATCTGGGGATTTAGGTTTTCGGGGCGTGTGAGGACTTCGAGACCACCTGCGACTGCTTTGGTGCCTACGTGGAGCGCATGCGGAGCCCAGGCGTCCAGACAGAAGGTATTGCTCTTTTTTGATGTCAGTTGGCTTTGTTATGTCATGTCTCTGAGCCTTGTCATCCCAAGCGCTTGAAGCCACAGGCGTTAAACGTTGATATCTGACGGTTCACGCAATTTTCGCGTAAATCTTGTCAATTGAATGATTGGCGGCGGGATTGCCGACGGGCTTGTAAGCATGTCTGCGGGTTTCGGGCTCCGGCCTTTGAATGGAGGGCTTTTCGCATTTGGGCTTTCGTGCTTCAGGCATAAGAGGTTTTCTTGTAGCAAAAGGAGTCCGCATGTCCAGTTGGCGGTCGGGAGGGCTAGCTCTCAAGAAACTAGAGCAGTAAGACCCATGAGCTTGGATCAAACCCCAACCAAGTCGTGAAGGTGAAGCCTGCTTGAGGCCAGAAGCCGACGTCCTCAAGGAGTTTGGGGACCCCAAGCCACAAGCCTTTGCCCGGCTAGAACTCCAAGTGCGGCAATCTGAAAGGGATCTATAATCTGTAGGCGGGTAGTTGGAGAGTCTTATCAGAGATAGTCCAAAGACAAGAGGAGCCGCCACTTTAGTTCTCTCGTCACTCTAATCAGTCTTGGAAACCCGAAGCGTCCAGGCGAGGGAACAGGACACAGCATGAGCATGTCGGTAGTGCCACCGTGAACAACCTTAGACCCAAAGCCCCAGAGCCGAACCGCCTCCAGCGTCTTGGGCTGATAAAACGCTAGGCAACTGGGGATCGCAACTGGAGCTCATGGCCATCTGCCAGACGTTCGGGGTGTCCCCGTGCTTGCATGTGGTCGGCTTTCGGGAAAACTGCAGAAACTTTCGGGAATTTCATAACCTTCAGGACTTTGGTTCTCAGGGAACGTCTGGGTGGTTTGGTGGTGTGTCACGTCGAGCCTCCTGCGCTCTTTTTGATGGACTCTTCTTTGTTGAGGCATCGTCCAGTTATCGTCCCCTCCGAACGCAGTGGTTTGGTAGTGACTTCACCCTAAGGATTATTTTTTTATTCTTATGCTCAGGGTTCGGCATCGAAGATGGGAATCCCAAAGCAGCACAGAGTTTGCTTGCTGCTGTTTGTTGAACTTTTGGTGTGAAAGGTGTGTTGGGTTCAGGGTTGGTCTTTCCTTTTGCTTTCGGGTATGGGGATGATGGGAAGTAAGTCTCAGTGTATTGCTTTTCGAAGACCACAAGCCCCGCTGGGCCCCGAATGCGCAAGACCCCAGGAACGTCATCGTCCACCAGGTCGGTTCGCCTTCCTACGACTCTCGTCTGGCAGAGACAAGCTATTCGTAAACCTGGGGTTTAGGGGTTTAGGGGCCCCATGGGTTCTGTTCTAGAGTTGAGGGTTCACAAAGCTCTAAAAGTTTAAAAGTTAAGCTGGGATTTAGGGTTGAAGTAAGGAATTTGAGTGAAGCAAGGGTTTGGGATTTCGGGTTGTTCAAGCTGATGCGCGCATCTGGAAATCTAGGTGTTCAGAGTCAGCGCGTCGAAGCCCCGAAGCCGAAGCGAGTACTCGCCAACGTGGAAAGGAAATGGAGTTTAGCCCGGCAGATGCTCGGTGCCTTCAGCTGTCCTACCACGATGCTCGGCTGTTTATGCCTGGGTCGGCATTCAGGGGTGTAAAAGCCTACATACTTTCCCGCCGCGAACCGAAACGGTGTCCAAGTTGCGAGAGTCCGAGCTCTAAACACTCGAGTTCTGAGGGCGCAATCCTCGTTTCGTTTATGCTATGGAGGCAGACCGTTTTATCTGTCGGAGGGGTTGAAGCGCCAGACAAGGATGGAGAGCACTACAACAGTGTCCGGCACCGCGGCTTCAAGGGATCTTCGTGGAAAGGTTGAGGGGTGTATGGCTTTTGCATTGCATCCTTTCAGGTCTTTTCCCGATTTGGGTTTCGGACACTGCCCGCTTTCATTGGTAGGTATGCTTGAGTCGAAATATGCCCTCTCTCCTGCAAGGCATCGGGCCCTCATGTTAGGGGGTGTGACCGGGACGTCGACTCGATCTAGCTTCGGAGATGTCAAGTCGTGTGCACCTGTCGTCTTCAAACACCCAGCCTTGCCGAAGAGTCCAAACCACAACAACTGAAGGCAAACCCGAACGTCAAAGAAATATCCACTAAACCCGAACATCTCGACCACCAAAGCTTTCGGCTTTCCGATACCAACCCGAACACCCCAAAGCCCGAATCCCCAATTGTATAAGCTCTACACCTAGAAGCTTGAACCCTACCTGAACCCTAAACCCAAATCCCTGTTGTGAGCTTCGACAGCGAGAGCTTCCACCTGGGATCAGCCAGGTTTGAATGGGATCTTTGTCCGGGCAAGCCGGTCAGCTTCCTTTCTCTGCAGCAGCTGAAGACCCTCAGTCCTCAGTGCTTCTTTGGTGTAGGCTTGCGGTCTTGATTTGCGTTTGGGCTGTCTAGCTGCAAGCCTGTTGTGCTTCTTTGCTGCTCTAGACTCTAGAACCCAACGAAGGATGAAGGACAGCGACGTCGTCGCGCTGCTGGAGGAGGTCGCAGACTCCCTCTAGCCCCGTAAGCCCGATGCACCCAAACCTTGATCACTTAATCCATCAGACTGCGCTTCTGGGCAAACGGCCTTCGACGGCAATCCGTGCAAACTCCTCAATGGTCATCCAAACGGTCATTCAGCAGCTGCAAACCAAACTGGCGCGGCATTTTTCACAGAAAGCTTGGCAGTGCGGGAGTACAGCCGTAAATCCGACAGAAGTTTGGGCGGAGGTTTTTGGAGCTCACAGTGGGTGGCTGGAATTGCCGAGTGTACTCAGTCAGCGCGCTTTGCACACACGTGCCCACTCCCTCACAGCTGTTCGTTGTGTCACGCCTTTTACCGGCAACTACATATTCACAAACAAACCCCGTTATTGCCATGAAGCCCCCAGCACCAGCACCAATCTCGAAGTTTTAAGTTCACTGAGCTCCCCTGCAAGATAGAAACAACGAGAGAAGCACATCAGCCGTTTTGAGGTTTACATGAAGTCCATGAAACGTTTGTGTGGGGGCCGCTGCGATGGCAAATTTTGCGAAGAGCTTTTCAGGTACGAGTCGGGCTACCGGCACGTTACAACAAGCTAACTTTCGGTAATTCCGCCACTGTCACGTGCGGACTGACGATGCGGAATTCACTTGCAGCCGTTGGTGTTGGAGTTGGGCTCATCTTCTGTGAGGTGAAGTACAGCTTGCCTCCCAACCACGGCTTCGAGGATGCAACGCTTCGCTCCACGCTGCTACAGTCCAAGGACCTGCGGCGAGCATCCTACTCGTACCATATTGGAGTGGCCGCTGTTGAGATGAGGTGAACATGAGCAGGGAAGCAGACACCCCGGTGCCGATGACGTCCTTCGCGGCGGCGATGGCGATGATGACGGTGGCCGTGCCTGTGATGAACATGTCGAGGACGATTAGGAAAGATAGCATTCTCGCCAATATGTGTGTGCTGGGTGCCGGGGAGTAGTGAAGATAATGAAGACGAGAGTTGATGGCAGTCGTGCTGATGGCGATGAGGCCTGTCATCTTCAAGATATGAAGCTGACATAAACGTGGAGATGGTTCTGGTAGTGCAGCTCCTGCTGCTGCTGCTGCCGGGGGTAGCACCGCCGTTGGCGGCATCAGAGGTGTACATTGCTACTAGTGTTGCAATATTCGCCCGCGCTACCAAACCTTTCACCCCAAGCCTAAGCCCTAAATCCACTAAGATTGGTGGGAGGGAAAAATCCACTAAGAAACGTGAGAGCTCCCAGCCCATGAAGGACAACAAGTACTGCAGCATTGACAAGAGACAGAGCAAGAATGATCATGACAGAAGTGGTCGTATGCCGAAGAACTCTACAATGAGTTTATTGCACTGGTATGCGGAAAGCCTGATAGTAATTTGCAGTACGACGCCGGGGCAGCTGTGGAACTGTTGCTCAACAAGCTGGCGGGCGTTACAGAGACACACTCTGCTCCAGCCACATGGATGCACTTAGGTCTAGGGCTTGGAAGGCTTTGATTTGAGTTTGAAGTTGTAGGTTTATGTAAGTCTTAAACGGACTTTGGGGTTTGTGCTTGGGGTTTGACATAATTCTTTGGTTTAGCGCATGGATGCACTTGACTTAGCGCATGGGATGGGTGTTGCAATCTTCATGCAGATACCGAAGAGTGTTTTTGCTCGTTCTGAGGCCGGCAGTAATTCCCGTGACCGTCAGCGATTGCATTGGCATTGACGGTTGCTGCACGTGCAGTTTCGTACTGTCAGCAGCACTTGTTCTTGGTTCGTGGTATGATGTCTGCCTGTTCGGGTAGCGCGCAACATCCCCTAAACCCTGACAAGAGGAAACAGTAGCCGTAGCCCTTTGCCAGGATCCCGCATGCCACAGCTCCCTCAATCCCAGGTGGAGTCGAAGGAGGCCGCAGCCGCTGCACCCGAGCAAGTGCCGTCGGATGCCACCCCAGCGGCAGCCACCCAGGAAACGTCAGCCCAATACTAGGTAGGCCTTCGGGACATTCTATATCTATTGGGCCTATGAGGATCATATTCATAAACATTTTCTAAGGCTTGCGAACCTGGAAAAGCTGTGTGATGTGTATGGTGCTTTATAAAGGTCGAGAGAATCCCTTTCGGGGACCTTTCTAATGGATGGAGTCAGCACAGTGCTAGTGTATGGTGAAACTCTGCCAAGAGCTATAAGTTAGTGCGTGTACTATCGCGACGATTTTGCTGTTGTTGTCGTCGTTGTTGGTGGCGAGGCTTCGTTTTTCACTGTTGGTTTTAGGTTGTTGTCTCGTTGTTGTGAGTACGGCATACTGCGTCGGGAGAAGTGAGCCATGAGTGGCAGCCCCTGGCCCTTATACTTTGGCCCTTTTCGTGCTATTGTTTCATGTTGTTTGCTGCATGGTGTTTGGTTTAACCTATATACGGGAGGGTAAAACGTGAGGGTTAATATCCATTGCAAGGCTAGCCCCGTTTTTTGTGGGCCGACAACCGGGTACTTGGGTTGTTTTTGGGAAAGGCCCTTGTTTCAGCACGGTCAGCAGATTCCGTATTGTACCTCAAGCCCTCCTTCGCGGTCTGCTTGTCAAGCAACAGCGACTTTTGTCTTGGGATTTTTGGGCTAACCTGAAGCGTAAGCCTCAAACCGCAAAAATTACCCCTATAAATCGCAGGGAACAGCTTTCTGAAGCAACAGGAAACCGCAAAAACATCTTTCAGAAACCCTTCTAAAGCCCGATAGCGCCCTATGACTATGCCCTGGCAGAAGGAGGAGGGCACTGAGACGGCGCCCGCTGAGCTCTCCAAGGGCCCCGAAAAGCGCGCCAAGGACCAACCAGATTCTTCTTGTCAAATCAGCTAGGGGTAAAGGGTTTCGGAACTGGTTTCTACTTTTGTAGGTTGCGGGCTTTTGGGTTTTGGGGTCAGGAGCTTAGGGTTTTCGGGATTTAGAGTTTAGGCAGATGCAAAAAAGGGCGCAGGATGAGTGCGTAGGGGCTTACGGCCCTACAGGAGCGACAAGCCTTCGGATTTCGGAAGAACGGCCCAGGATTTAGGATTTACGGTTCAGGTCTCTGAAGCACTGCAGGGTCGCTTTTCGGCCTTCTGCAAGCTTCTCGCACAGGACACGTCCTCTGGCACGCGAGTGAGTGAGTGAGTTCAGGTCTCTGAAATAATTGCTATCTTGACTCCTGAACATGCTTATACTAGTCTATACTATACCCAAAACCGTATACCAACCTGCCAATCAGTAAGCCCATCATAACCCCATAATACTCAGTCTTATAGCCCTTAGAGTAACCTATCTAACCCTCACAGACCCTTTTTTCTCGGGCAAGAAAGCTGAAAGCGCAGGCGAGCCGCGCCGAGAAGCGGAACGAAAGGAAGGCCAAGGCCGAAAGCACAGGTGTTTGGGTTTAAAGTATGGGCCTAGGGCTTGTAGATAATTACCAAGACTATGTTGTGGTTTCCTAATTATTCGGATTACGTAATATGGTGTAGCACCGTGGTTTATTTCTAGGGGTTCCTTCAATGGATCTATAAGGGTTTCGGGTTCAGTTTGGTTTAGGGCCGGAATAATTACCAATACTATTCCTCAAGCGCCCTTGTTACGTACATCTATCGTATCATATGCCCCAGTATTCGAAGGGTTTGAGAAAGGTTTATGGGGGTTTTATAATGGTCTTGGAAAGGTCATATTGGGCTTCGGTTGGGTATTTTTTCGAGTCTGATAGGGATTGTCAGGTTTTTATGGGGGTGTTATACTGTTTTGTAAGGCTGCTATACAGATCTGAGAAGGCCTCTGAAGCAAACCCAGTACTAGCTGTCTTTTCAAACTCTATTCTATGGCCCATGCTCGTATTCAGCGAAAAACGTGGAGCCATGAACCTGTAAAGCTTTACAGCGGTATATATATATATATATACTTGTGTTAACCTGCATACAGATTGAATATGTAGACCCGGATGAATCGCATCCCTTTCTTTCAGGTCCTTCGTGTTATCATTCCCTTCATGGCCGCTCTTCAGGGCTTTCAGTAGCCAGGGGTCTACATCCTTCATCAATTTAAATCTGAATCCTGCCGACACCGTTAACCCTGAGTGCTAAATCCGAAGCCTACACCGGAACTACATATAACTCCCCAGCGCAATGCGAGTCTACGAGTCGAAACCCTGAGCCTACCTTCAAAGCCGTCTTCAGGCATCTGTAGCACGAAGCTGCCAGGGAGTCCGTAAGCTTCTATGAAACCCTCGAGGAAGTCTTTAAAACCTTGAAAAGGAAGCCTTACGGTTCCCAGATCTACCATCTTGTGGAGGCGGAGGCCAAGAGGAAGCCGCAAAGCTCGGCGACGGCGGCCGAAGATGGGATCTCCCGAGAGACCATGGACACCCGCCCTGAGGGGCGCTTTGGGGCTCAATATGGTAAGGTTCACGGTTACGGGTGTCGGGGTGATATAAAGCCACAAAGCTTAAGTAGGGCGCGCGCTTGACGGGTGATTCAGGAGTAAAGGGCTGCGACTGAGCGCAGGTAATCCCGACATCAAGACTCACCCAAATAGCCATCTCGAAAACGCTCAAAATCCTGCACCAGACTTTGCCCCCCAAACCGACTAAAAGACATTTTTCAAGATTCCAGTGAAGGTTTTCGCGAAGAAGATCCCCCAAACCGGACGAAAAGCTAAGTGCTTGGCGGTGAACTCCGTGAAGAGCCCATTCCAACCGGAGGCCTGGGCCTTCCACGGCCGAAGTATAGGGGCCCCTCATACGGACCCTTAGGCCTTTTACGGGTTTAGTGGGTTTCCGTAGGTTTAGGGTGTATTAAGGTTAAAGTAGGGGCGCCCGATATGGACCCCTAGGCCTGCTAGGATTCTAGGGGTCCTTCTTGAAGGGTATACATAGGGTACATGGTAGGATAGAAGGATCCCAGGGTTAAGGGGCCCATACTAGGGGCCCAAGGCTTCAACCTTAGAGTTTACAGGTGTTTTTGGTGATAGGGGGTTTAGGCTCCCAGGGCATATGCGGGACAACTCAAGCGCAGCATATGGCTCTTAAAAAAAGTAGGGGTACCTTACTCAAGCCAAGAGTCTGCATAAGAAGGATCCAAGTATCCTTGGTCGGGCCTAGGTTCAGGGGTTCTGTGGGTTTGGGGATTAAGGTTACGGGGTCTAGGGTTTTGGGGAGTTCGAGGGGAGAGTTTGTACGACCAGCATTGTTGTTCTCATTGCCCTTATTGTGCAAATTGCCATGCATCCCCGTATGGTTCTGAACCCTCAACTCCCCAAACGCCGCTGACCCTCCTAAACCCCGCAAACTCCCCAGACCCTCACCCATAATAGCCTGCAATGCCCTCATATTAATAGTACCCTCATAGCACCTTTTAAGTATCGTCATGGTATCCCTTCTGTCCTGACCTCCTTTAGCCCTAACCCTGTAGGTAGTTCCTCCCATCTTAGGAGCAGCTTTCCAAGCAGCTGCTGGCTGCACCCGGGACTTAGTTGGAAGGGCTCAGTTCGAGCGTCGGGGTTTAGGGTTCAGGCTTGGGGTTTAATGTTTGAGTTTGCTGGTATGCCGTGAATCAAGACCTTGAGACACCAGATTGCCGGCATACTACACTACACCCAAAGTCCGATCTGAAAAGCTTTCAGGGTTGGAAGCAGTCGATGGGCTAGGGGGCAGGGTTTGGGCATTTAGGGTTTGGCATGTCGGGTCTGGAGGTTTAGGGTAAGGGAGATTTTAGATGCTGGCTTTGGGGTTTCAGTTTTTGGTTTAAAACTTGGAGGTGCTTTAGGTAGACGGAATCTTACGTTGTTGCCCTTGGAACTGCACCTCGGGGATTCATGACTCAAGGGAAGCTGTGTTTGAAGGAACATGAATGAACCTGCCGGAACTTCCTGCACCCCATCCCCCTCACAGAAAGCCTTCAAATATTGAGGTCTAAGCTGCCTTCGGCAGCCGCAGCCGAACGCCTTGGATGCATGGCTGGCAGCCTTCGTACCTGTACAGTGCACAGAGTCTCACCGCAAGGCTGCTGAGTGTAGGGTGTAGGATTTGTGGAGAGGGATTGTTTGCTATAGTTTTGCTATTGTATATATGATTACTGACCACATAAGTACGCAAGATTTGTGATGTACGTGTGAATCCTCTGAATGAATGTTCATTTGCGCTGCTTGTCCGGTTCCCTGACATGTTTACGTAGAGGCACTGTTCCTGCAGAAGAAGAGCTAGCTTCGCACGGTGCCGCAAAATCGCTGCCGACTCTGGGACCCCTGGGACGCCACAAGCTTGCCATATCTTCTCCTAAGCATTGAGCTGGTTTCCTGACCGCGCCGGCACCTGCAATCCCGGAACCTCTGGATGCTTGAGAGTTGGTCAAACAGCCAATCGAGCAGGCAAATTGGGTGTTTGGGCGGGGGGACTGAGAGAGACAAGCAGCGCCCCCACAACACGACACTCTCGTCCCTAAGGTTTGCGTACCAGGTGAAATTTCGAGTCCAGCTTTTGGAAGCGTTAAGGCCTACCTCGGCCTACGGGTCAGGGTCCTAAAACCGAAACCGCGAGGCTTAGAGCCCGAGCGAAAATCCGGCAAAGCTCTAAACCCGAAGAGCCTAGGCCCAAACACCTTTCTCAAGTCCGAACAGGCCTAGAACTTCTCTTAAATCCAAACCTCACAGCGCTTCCAGTCGAAAGCCCTTCTCAACGCTCATCCCTCATCCCGCCACCCCCAACGCAGGTGCGAGGCTCGAGCCTGTCGGTGCAACAGGCGGGAATACTGTAATATAGGGACTCTACTAATTCAATCTTGGTTTCGGGGGCCATGAGCCGGTTGAACTCCAATCGTTTCGGTGGTATATTTCCGGCAAAAGTGTGGAAGACCCTCATAAGTAGACATATTTCACCAGCTGTGTCTGTATTACTGTCGTTGTTGTTTTTCTTCGTTCCTTGTCCTTGTTGTTGTTGTTGTTGTGATGCTGGCAGTAGTCGCCGTAGTTGTGGTATAGAAAAAAGGGGTAGAAGCAGAAGTAGTGGTAGCAGCTTTAGTAGTAGTCTTAGTCCCTGGTGGCTGTAGCGACCCAGCCCCTTAAACCTGAACCCATCTGCAGCGTGCCAGAAACTGTTGTATATCTCTTCACTCAGAGTCCCAGCAACCTTAAACCTCTAAAGTAACGCTCAACCAATGCTGGACCCTGAGTCTACATTTCTGCGGGTTGGCAAGCGTGAACCAGCCTCCTTCTGCACCCGAGACTTCCTTTGCGTTGGGGACACCCGAACCACTTGGAAAAAGGAGTTCCGCAAAGCACCCTAATCCCGAACCCTCTAGCTGCAGAACATGGAAGGTCGCCGAGCTCTGGGACATTGGTCGCATGCTGCTGGCCTTGTGCCGTGTCCGAAAGTTTTGGATGCAGGGCTCAGGGTCAAAACTTCCTCAGGGCGTTCCGGGATTTGCAGGGTAGGTCTAGGAAAACCAGGGCTTCGGGTGCAGGGCTCCAGTCAGATCTAGAGGGTTTCGAATCGGCTTTCTGAGTCGGATCGCTGGACAGGCTCGCACAGAGGGCCGAAGCAGATCGGTGGAGCGGGGGGAGGGGGAAGGGGGGCGAAAAGGATCCTTCATAAGTTAGTTTCAGGCTCCATTGCCCTTATTCCGTTTACAGCACTTGCTGCGTGGCTTTGCCCTATCCAAGTTTGCAGCGCTTGCTGTGTGGTTTTGTTTCTATCTTATGTACAGCGGCTGCTGTGCCCCTATCCTGTACACAGCGCTTGCTGTGTGATTTTGCTTCTATCAAACGTACAGCGGTTGCTGTGTGGCATTGCCCCCTGTCCTGTTTACACCGGTTGCTGTGTGGCATTGCCACTATCCTGTTTACAGCGCTTGTTGTGTGGTTTTGCATCCATCTTATGTGCAGCGGTTGCTGTGTGGCATTACCCCTATCCTGTTTACAGAGCTTGCCGTTTGCTGTTGATCCTATCCTATGTACAGCGGTTGCTGCGTGGCTCTCCCACTATGCCGGTTGCAGAGCTTGCTGTGTGGCATTGCCCCTATCCTGTTTACAGCGCTTGCTGCGCATGCTTTTGCTTCTATCTCATGTGCAGCGGTTGCTGTGTGGATTTGCGTTTATCCTGTCTGCAGCGGTTGCTGTGTGGTGTTGCTGTGTGGCATTTCCCCTATCCTGTTTGCGGCGCTTGCTGTGTGGTGTGGCTTCTATCTTATGTGCAGCGGTTGCTGTGTGGCATTACCCCGATCCTGTTTACAGCACTTGCCGCGTGCTTCTGCTTCTATCTAACGTACAGCGGTTGCTGTGTTGTGTTGCTTCTATCCTGTTTACAGCGGTTGCTGTGCGACATTGCCCCTATCCTGTTTACAGCGGTTGCTGTGTGACATTGCCCCTATCCTTGTTGACCGCGCTTGCTGTGTGGTGTGGCTTCTATCTTATGTGCAGCGGTTGCTGTGTGGCATTGCCCCTATCCTGTTTACAGCGCTTGCCGCGTGCTTCTGCTTCTATCTTACGTACAGCGGTTGCTGTGTGGTGTTGCTTCTATCCTGTTTACAGCGGTTGCTGTGCGACATTGCCCCTATCCTGTTTACAGCGGTTGCTGTGTGACATTGCCCCTATCCTTGTTGACCGCGCTTGCTGTGTGGTGTGGCTTCTATCTTATGTGCAGCGGTTGCTGTGTGGCATTGCCCCTATCCTGTTTACAGCGCTTGCCGCGTGCTTCTGCTTCTATCTTACGTACAGCGGTTGCTGTGTGGTGTTGCTTCTAACTGTGTTATGTACAGCGATTGCTTTGTGGCTTGGCTCCTATCCTGTTTGCAGCGCCCCTCCTGTGTGGCTTTGCTTCTATCTTATGTACTGCGCTTGCTGTGTTGTGTGGCTTCTATCTGTGTTATGTACTGCAGGGGTTGCTTTGTGGCTTGGCTCCTATCCTATTTACAGCGCTTGCTTGCTGTGTCTGTGCTTCTATCTTATGTACAGCGGTTGCTGTGTGGCTTGGCCCCTATCCTGTTCACAGTGCTTGCTGTGTGTGGTTTCGCCTCTATCTTATGTACAGCGGTTGCTGTGTGGCATTGCCCCCATTCTTTTTACAGCGCTTATGGTCTTGCTTCTGTATTATGTCCGGCGGTTGCTGGGTGGCATTGCCCCTATCCTGTTTACAGCGCTTGCTGCGTATGCTTTTTGCTTCTATCTTTACGTATAGCGGCTGCTGTGTGGCTTTGCGTTTATCCTGTTCGCAGCGCTTGCTGTGTGGTGTTGCTTCTATCTTATGTGCAGTGGCTGCTGTGTGGCCTTGAGTTTATCATTTTTTCAGCGCTTGCCGTGTGGTGTTGCTTCTATCTCATGTACTGCGGCTGCTGTGTGTCATTGCCCCGGCCCGATCCTGTAAAGCAGGATAGCGGCGACGCCACACAGCAAGCGCTGTAAACAGGATAGGGGCAATGCCACGCAGCAACCGCTGTACACAAGATAGAAGCAAAGACCACACAGCGGTTGATGCGCGCCCCTAATTACTATCCTGTTCACAGCGCTTGCTGTGTGGTTTTGCTTCTATCTCATGTGCGGCGGTTGCTGCGTGGCTGTGCCCCATGCTGATTGCAACGATTTCTGTGTGGCCTTGCCCCTATCCCGTTTGCAGCGCTTGCTGTGTGGCTTGGCACTTATGCTGTTTACAGTGCTTGTTGTGTGGCTTGGCTCTGTTGCGGTTTGCAGCACTTGCTGTGTGGCCTGGCTCGTTTTGCGGCTTGCAGCACTCGCTGTGTGGCTTGGCCCTTATGCTGTTTGCAGGGCTGGCTGTGTGCCCCTATGCTGTGTAAAGCTCTTGCTGTGGCATTCCGTGGGCCCCCATCCTGCTGTGCCCTCATGCTGTTTGCAGCACTTGCTGTGCGGCTTGGGTCTTGTGCTGCTTACGCGCTTGCTGTGTGGCGTGGTGCTTCGGGTGTTTACAGCGCTTGCTGTGTGACTTGCTAAACTTCCAACTTTAAGCCTTGTGGACCCTGAACTCTAAAAGCTGAGCCCTAAACCGTAGACTCTAAGCCTTGCGATTCTAAACCCTGAGCCGGTTCGTCTTGCCTCTGAGCCGAGTCGGCGCTGCCCAGGATCTGACTCCCATCCCCCAAGGGCTGATCTGATCTCGTTTGCCTCAGATTCCGCTCGGTTGATCCTGTTCGTGTTGCTCCCAGGCCCTGAGGCAGCCCGTTTTCGTGGTACTCCCTGGTCCCTGCCCAGCGAGATCCCCAGCAGTGCGGGAAGCAAGCGAATCCGAAAGGCAGTCAATCTCGCTAAGTCTCACAACCCTATAGTGCTCGTACCCCGAGCGCTAACAAACCCCGAGCCCTCAAAATCTGAAAGCGTCAAGGCTCTAGCCCTTAAACCCCGAACCCTAAACTGGATGCATCCGAGTTGCGAGAGCGTAAACCCTAAAACACCTTCCCAAAGGCTACTCCCCGACGACGCCGCCGTTGAGGCAGCTGCCGCGGCGGCCGCCCGCGGGCTCGGTGCCAACGGCGAGGCTCGGACAGATTTCACTTTTTTTGGGGCTCAGTACTGGGTGCGCACAAGGGTTTGTGGGAGTTTTTGTTCAGGGTTCCGGGCACTGAATCGCGTTCGAGAAACTCCAAACCCCAAAGCGCCCATGACCCCCAAGTTCAAAGCCCAAACCTGCGCCCCAAGCTTCCATCCCTCTACTCCCGAAACCCTGGGCCCAAATCTAAATCTTAAATCCCTCAATCCAGATAATCCCTAAACCCTTAGCCCCTTAAACCGTGAGCCAAAATCTTGACTTGAAATCCAGACAATCCCTATAATCCTGTGCCTAAACCCTGAGCTCAAATCTAAATCTGAACTCCTGAATAGACTATCTCCATAATCCCGAAAAACCCTGAGCTCAAATCTCAAATCTTGATATCCAGACTCTGAGAGCTGCGGAGGCTCTCGACGCCCAACTGCCAAAGCTCCGCTCCCGGATCGCTCGCGGAGGAGGCGGGAAAGACTGGTCTGAGCTTCTATTTCAACACCTCAGACCATGAAAAGCTTGATAGATAGACAGATAGTTATAAATAAATATAGATATAATAAATATCACGTCTTTCACGTCTTTCGGGCGTAGGATCCGTAAGGTCGCAGCCCAGGCGGCATCTAATTAAGGTGAAACAGAGAGCCCTCGGGAATTCCTCCGCTGTTCGAGATAACATCCCATTCTGTCTGCTCTGACAGGACAGTGCCCCTAAGTTCGAAAAGAGGGTACAGGTGTGCTCTGGCTGAACGCCGACAGAAAAGCCGAGTAGGCACGCCCTGGCCCCAAAGTCGAAGGGCAAAGCGGAAGAGGTCACCGAGGAGGGTCTCGAGCGACAGCAAGGCGTGATACGCCTTGGCCGGGAGATGGATACCCGGGGCCTGGGAAAACCCCATCCAAGAATCCAAGCACAAGTCGAAAGAGACATCATCAAAGGGGCCCTCCAAGAAGGAGAGACAAGACCCCGAGCTCAGAGTGGTAAGACATTCGTCAAAGGGAAAAGTGAGGCTGAGCGGGCCCCGTCGGGCGGACTCCTTGCACCATAGACCGGGTCCCACAGAAACGCAAACGGAGTCGGCCGATCGAGGGAGCGGGCGAGGCAAGGTGATTGCACCGACCTCCAGAGCAGCAAGCAAGAGGGGTCCGTCCCGAAACGTTCTGACATGGCTCGGGAATCGGGTCAGCGCTCGGAACAAGCCAATCGACAAGGTCAGCCGTCTGGATCCAGATCATGATCTGGCCCAAAAGCACCACAAGCCACGACTGAAGGTCTCGGCGACCTGCCAATGACTCAGCAAAGACCTCGGCTGTGATGCGAAGACGCGAGGTGGTAGCGCATACACAAGCGAAGGCAACACGCACCTGTTCCCAGACAGTAGAGGCATCATCCTCAGTGACGTCAGCCCCCACATGGTGTAGGCAGTCGATGACCTCGGCAACTGGGCGGGTTGGCTCGTCAGCCCACTGTTGTGACAAGAACGGAAGGGTGGGCCCTTGTGCCTGAAGGACCGGAACCTGGAACCGTCCTGGATCGTCGCCTTTGGTGCTCCCCTGTCCCGGTTCAACCGGAGCAAAGTGCCCAGCCGCCTGAAGACTGCGCCGACAGGCGGTACTATAGGAGAGGTGCTTGCACAGTTTCAGGTTGGTGCTGAAGTGCCGAAGGCATTTCTGGCATTGTGTGCCGGCAAGGACTCCGCGTCCAACTGTGCACCTTCCACGGGTCTTAAAGGCATGAACCGACCATGTTTGAAGATTGCGGAAGACCTTCCGGCAAGGGCCGCAGCACTGTCGGCTGTGCTCGCCCTCTGGAAGAGAAGAAATCAGGATGGCCCCAGCATATCGGAGCTGTCGCACCAGGAGACCGATGTGGAAGGTAGATGCTGAGGCCCATGCTTCCTGGCGGGTAGCCCTCTGCTGGGCTTTACGTAGCATTCTCTTCCAGGTACCCGGTGCACGCTGTATGATAGACCGGATGCTCAGCCACCAAGCATGCAGCGAGTCGGGTGGTGCTTCCGGTTCAAGGAGACCGTGCAGCCAGTGCAAGGACTCCCTCACAGAGTCCAGCCATGCCCCCTCCGCGTGTAGCAGTGCCCAGAAGTCTGGAATGCTGTCAATGACACACGACGCAAGGTGTCGGAGGCGCGCAAGGTGGAGCAGAGTGGGGATGGCAGGGAGCCCTGCAAGGGCCAGAACGCGGGCCTGCCCCAGATGCCTGGCCTGGAGGACGTCGTAATGTGGACGGAGAAGATGACACGCCATTTGAAAGTATGTCGTCGTCAAACACTGCTCCTCAACAACTGAAAGCCTACCCCAGGTACCTGCACCATAAAGTAGCACAGAGAGCACAAGGGAGTCAAACAGAAGCGCTTGTCAGCGACTGCAACGAAGCTGGAAGCAAATACCTTCTTGCGACGACGGTTACAAGCACTCCAAGCAAGGGCCGTGCGGTGCCGCAGTTCACGCAGAAGGGAGCCGCTGTGGTGGATGAGGCCCCCCAGGTGACGGTAGCAGGGGACAAGGCGAACTTGGGCCGAAGGCCAAAGCTCGCTCTGCGCTGCAATGTGGGGCGCGGCGTCCCGAAACAAAGCCGCCCTCAGTTTGCGTGATCCCCGTCCAGTTAATGCCAAAATAGCCTCGGTCTTGCCGCGGTCTAGATTGGGTAAAAGGGCACGACCCAGGCAACCATCAAGCAGGGCCCCAATGGTGCAGCGCAACTTTTCCGGCATGTCATCGGCAACAGCAGATTGGATGACAAGTGCCGCGTCGTCCATCCAGGTGCAATCCAGAAGGGGAAGATGCTCCTGGGGTGCCGACACAACAGGCCAGGGATTAGCCAACATGTCGCCGTGCCACGGGACCTTGGTAACGCCGAGGGCAGCATCAACTGTGGACCGGACCTGGTGCAACACTCTGGCGAAAACGAAGCTGAAGACAATATCCGCCAGATTGTCCCCCGGGCGGGTACCGATACCGGTTTCAGTAAGGTGTTCCGTACGCTCAAATCGAAACCAGGTACAACATAGAGCCTCGGTGGTCACTGCAGCCTGCCATGGCGAGGCTCCAGCCTGCTCAAACAGGGACTGTTGCTGCAGGTGGCTGTGTAGGTCGTGCATGACTTCCGGGGGAAGCTGAACAGCACGGATGATGTTGGCGATATCGGTATCTGTGCCCGTGAAGCCGACAACGAGAGGCCGCATAATGCGGTAAAAGGCTTCTCGAAGGTCGAGGAACACCGTTGCCTGAGAGTAACCGCGGGAAGCTGCCCAAGACTGGTGTGCTCGCACCACGTGGGCAGCGAGCGTGACAGGCCGCCGAGGCAAGCCGCCTACCTGCAGTGGTGTGGCAGCAGCAGTGAGCGCTGGCACGCTACGTTGCCTGAGAATTTTGTGATAGGCCTTCCCAACAGTGGAAGATACGAGAATCCCGCGGTACGAAGAGCAGAGGTGTGGTGCCGCCTTGCCCTTCCATACGGAGTACAATGACCCACCCTTCCACTGGATGGGCTCCTCAACTCGCATGAAAGACTTGAGCACGACCCCGAAGAAAGCTCGAGCGGCCATCCCCGGCGCAGCATGCAAGGCTTCAGCCGGGATAGCATCGACCCCAAAGGCACGGTGCAGTTGCGTGCTTCTGAAAGCAGCCTCCAACTCTGAAAGAGTCGGAACATCCTCAAAAGAGAGGGCGAGGTCCTCGAGGTCACGCGCTTTTTGCTGGGAAACACAAGCGGTGACAAGGGCCGTCGGGTCCTGGACTGACCTCCTTCAATGCCCGAGAAATGCTCTATCCATGCGTCCGTCACCTCTTCTACAGACTGTGCAATGGAACCATCTGACTTTTGCAGGCGTGGAAGACCACGCGCGGTCTTGGTGCGTCTGGCAGAGGGGCCAAGCAGAGAGTGCAAGCGCGAGACAACGTCTCCAGTGGCAGTGGTGGAGGCCGCGGCAGCTGCTTCAGAAATCCGGTTGCTAACATCAACCCTAATTGCCCGTCGCAGCTCGACTTTGGTGGATCGAAGTGCAGCCACATGATGACTGAGGGTGATAATGTCCCGTGCGCGCTGAAGGACGGAAACGAGTGACGCAACAGTGAGGGAGAGGCGGCGGCGCCATGCCAGGAGGGCGCATCCAGTGCGGGAGCAGTGTGTCCGAGGCCTCAGGCCGCAATTTGGCGGCGAAGCCAGACGCGTCGCTGACGCAATTGCCATGTATGCGCGCTGAAGTGCGAAGCACGACAGCGACCGCGAACGGCAGGGAATGCATTCGCCAGGGATCGAGTCAAATATTCCTGCAGCCGGGCATAGTGCCGGTGCACACTGAGATCCCAGGGTTGAGGCGGGGCCTCAGCAAAGATGCCCCCGAGAGTGGCTACCCTCTTCTGTAAGCATGGCGGCTCGATCATAGGATGGTCGGCTCCCGCACCGGCCCAAGAGCCATCCTGGAAGGTGCTCCATGCAAGAGGGACAGCAACATAATCAAGGCGGGCTCCGGCCCCCCCAGCTGGGGGCCACCACGTCTCAGAGGGTCCCGAATGACATGCGGAGAAGGTGGAAGGGATCCAAAGATTGTGTTCCCGGAGCACAGTGAGAAGGGCAGGTGCAGGGTGATGCGGCGACGGCCAAACCAAATCCCCCACATGCCCATCGACACTCTCAGAGAAGTGTGTGTTGTAGTCGCCAAGAAGAACGACATCACTGCCCCTGGCGAACCGACCGAGCTTCATGCCCGTTCCACCAATCCGCATGCTGGGGGTGTGTCGCTCCCGGGGCATGTATAGCAACGAAAAGGATGCGAAGGCTGCCCCGAGAAAACCTCACAACGAGGTCTCGGGGGCTGGAGTCCAGCACAAGAAAATTTTTAGGAGCAAAGCAAATCGCCGTACCCCCGGCAGTGGCAAAGGACTTCAGCCGAGAAAACCATAGCTCAACACCGAAGTTCCCCTGTGGGTCTTTGGCCGTACAGTATCTGACGTGCGTCTGGGAAATCATGGTGCTGTCTGTTTTGGCTCTTGCTTCCTGTAGAGCAACAACGTGAGCCCCGTAATAATCCAACTGTTCCCGCAGAAAGGCCGCGCGGCCCTTGAAGTCTCCAGAGGAGGCAGGCGACTCCTCCACCGTGGATGTCTCCGCAAGCGACTGGACATTCAAGGTGAACATGCACAGTCGAGCAAAGAAGGAGGTGGGCGATGGTGTGGGCGTGGCATCCCGGTGCAGTCCGAATAGGGCCCGACACTCATCATCACCCAGGGAAGAGGCATCGGCCAGTTGGTCCTTGTCAAGGAAACCAGAGTGGAGGTATTGTGGCCATTGTGTAGGAGCCTGCATGGCGGAAATGGCAAGCCACAGCCATGCCAACCCGTGTGAACGGCACAAGCCAGCAAGACTCGTGAGACCAGAGGACTCACAAGCGTGAGCAACACCGCATTGGTTGACATATTTGGCAAGGCGGTCGACAAGTTCGTTGCAGGGCTGTCCTTGATGTGATCGCACATGGGAGATATTGGGATCGAAGCATGGGTGTACTGCTTGAACCGCCGGTCCCAGGTGACGGCAGGCAACAGCTAGACCTGTATGGGTGGCCGAGCCGTAGCGGCCAGTGGCCTGGCGGAGGGCGACCTCACAGTCAGCGTGAATGGCAGTCGGGATATGCTTAGGAGCCTGAAGCAGCCACGCATGAGGGTGAACAGGCGCACCAGCCCAACCGACAAAAACCTGAGTACCCTGCAGAGTGCCGAAAACAGCGAAGGCCCAAGCGCTCGTTCCAAGGCCGAAGGAACCATCTGTGTAAAGGTCGAGGCGCTCCAAACAGGCAATCGCTACCGGGCACGGAGCCCAGGTATGTGCGATGGCTGCATCTGCGGGCACCGCTTCTTGTAGCTGCCAGTGTGGTCGTGTCACACTTGCAACCTTATCGATGTCACACCTGGAGCAGAATGCAGCACTAGCGATGTCGAAAGTAACTGCATTGGGCAAGTGCTCAGTCAAGCGCAAAGGGCCAGGGACTCGTGTTGAAGAGTCGGCTGGGATAGCCATGTGTGTGGACTGCGAGAGATTGCCACCGAAATGCTCAAGGAGGGTATCCAACAGGGTGGCGCTCAGGAAGGCCCAGCGGGCAGAAAACGCAACACTGCGGTCAAGAAGCGTCTGCAGAGACGCAAGATCCCAATCCTCTAATTCCTCAACAGCGTCACAAATGCTGTGTCCCCCAACGTCCGCACCGGACAGAGGAGAAACATGCACAGAGGGAAGTACCAGATTACCCCTACATGGGGTCGGGATGGTACGGCCAACTGCGGTGCTATGACCCACCACAGCACAGGCAGAACAAGACACAGCGGACTCTGTCCTTGACGGTGGCAACTGCACGGCTGCGGCGCCGGGGAGGGCGGTGGAACAGAGAAGCACAGAGACGCCGAAAAGGAGGAGCGGCCGGCGCGCACGCAGAAGAAGGGTCGAAGCACACATAATGAAGCGACAAAGCATGTCACTGCTGACGGCGTCAAGTATTGATGCAGCCGCTGTGCCAAGGAGACAGGTCCAAAGGAGAGCTCCGACAACCGGAAGAAGACCAGACCGCAGCGCACGCATGGTCGTCAAGGGACATGCGTCAAGGCAAAGGGCAGAGGCCAGGGAGTGTGCAGGGGTGAGAGTGTGGGTGTCCGCAGCTCGGACGTCCGGAATCAGTTTACCACACTTCCACTTGCAGTGAGAGTTTCTGAGTCATCAAATGAGTCCGGTCCATCGGCCCCGGAGGCCCGAGTCGAAGATGCGGCCGTGGGGGAGGCAGCAGTGGCTGCCACGAGAGCAACAAGAATCTGGCCAGAGACAAGATTGACCCATTGAGTGGCGGATGGGTATCAAGCCACCCGTCGAGGGTGAGCACCGGAATCCATCCTTGTAGAAGGCGTCTTGCGTCAATGAGCGCAGCGGCGGGTTGACTGTCAAGAGCCAGTCCCCCGACCGAGAGTGCAACGACGACCGTATGACAACGACGACCCCAAACACTAGCATTGTATACCCGTGAATGCACTGGTACCAGTAGGAGCTCAGCTGTACGGCACCAATTAGGGCAGCAGCATCTTCGCGGTAATGCTGTGCACGGCCGTCCGCGACGTCAAAGATTCTGCAACCGTCCTGACCGGCAAGACAGTAGCGGTCTCGGTACACCCGTGCAGGGAAGGCGGGAGGCGAGGCCCAAGGGAGGTGTGATTGCAGCATCTCGTCAAGACTGGCCACTGCATGATGGGGGTGTCCTCGGGGAAGAAATTGCACACAGGAACCATTGGTGAGGAAGGCCTCCTCATGGGGCTGAAGCGGTCCTGTGCCATCAACATATACATCGGGAACATCCTGGAAGTCAACATTAGCGGCATCCAGTAGGAAGGTCCCGCTGCAAATCGGAGGAACTGGCATGACAAATAGGCGTGCAGCGAAAGCATAAGTGTCAAAGCAAGCAAAGACCCCTTCTCCAATCCATTCCGGGGTGGCAATTAGCAGGCCCCACCTCTCGTCAACCTGGACATGCGTCGGCGTAAGACAAGGAAAGGCCCTGGCATGCGACGGTGTCCTGGCCGCGGTCACTGCAGCGAGAGCCTGAACACTCGTGGAAGGGATTGCAAGCTGAACAGTCACGGTCTCAATCGTGTAGTCGTGTGCAAGAATCCCGAAAGTCACTGGGTAGGGAAAAGATGCTGCAGCAGAAAGGTCCGATGCTGGGCCAAGAGAATGCGAGGATGTCTGTTGACTCGGGAGGGATGGATCCCTCTCTGGCTGTATAGGAAGATCACCTGAAGGGCACCCAGGGTCCTCAGCGATCGTCCCAAGTGAGGCCGCAGGGCACTCACCCTGCGAAGACGAGACATAGGCAACATCATCTCGTCCTGACTCTTGGTCGGTGGCCCGAGGTTGACCATGGGTCGCAGTGGTGGGCTGAGCATCCCCCTCTCGGCCACGGGGAGAGCGACTCCGTCTAGAGGGCCCATCCGGGTCTGCACTGTCTGGCGAGCCACTTCTCGGGTTGGGGGGCTCAACAGCTGGGTGATCGCCATCGGAATCATCCCCGGCGTCATCTAGCTGCAAGTCTTCCTGGAATTCAAGGCAGAGCAGCTGGCCGTTCCTGACAAGAAACCCTGGTCCGTCGGCTCTATTCTGAACAGTGGCACCCTTAACCGAGACAAAGTACCCATCAGGACACAACATGGTGAAAGGGGCCACAATGGTGTAGAGGGACACAAAGGTGTCAAGAAGCGGCATTCTATGGAAACCCTGCAAGAGCCGCCGAGCATCCAAGGCTATGATAATGGAGCCCTCCACTCCAAGTGGCGCATCTGGCGAAGGTGGCTGGGGTACATGGCGGCTAGATGCAAGCAAAACCCCACTGGAGATGTGACCGTCACATAGATGGTCGACAACTTGGGGTGACGTTGGTTGAAGCGCTAGCCGTTCGAGAGGAATGCCAAGGTGCTCGGCCACATCAGCTCTGAAGTTGGGACGGCGCCCTGCACCGACCTCAAAGCCTACAACCCCATGATCAGTCATAAGGCTGAAATAGTGACCCGGAACAAAAATCGGGCCCGGAAGATCTACCTGAAGATCCCAATGCTCCCGATGCAAAAGCATGGTAGGCAGATCAAACGTAGCCGACGCGTTGGTCCCTTGTGGGAGAACTGCGATCAACATGCCAGAGAAGGTGGCCAAGGGTTGGTCTGGTGGCAGAGCCTGCAACAACCCATGCACAAAGACCTGATGTGTGGCATCCTCTCCGGTGCCAGCGGCAAGAAGGATCTGTTCGCGTGTAGCCATGGAAGGAACGACACCGGCAAAGGCACCCTTGCCAAGATGACGACAATCCAGGAGGACAACGGAACCCGCGGTCTCCCATTCCGGCAACGCAACGAAGGAGGCAAACTCCCGAGAAGGCTGGGGCGGCTGGGGCTGGACCGCAAGGAGCTGTGGAAACCAAGAGGAACCCACCTCGTCCCGAGCTGCCTACACATCCTCCAGAGCATGGTTTACACCACAAGGAAAACGCATTGGTGGCCTAGAGTTCCGGAACATAGGCTGGTGTATGCACTAGGGCCAGAATCTGCATCCATACTGTGTCGGCTTCGTCCTCGTCGGGACTGTGAGCATCGACGGCAAAAGCAGGCGGGTCGGGCCTATAGATTTCATAGGGGGGGTGGTGTCTGCCAGGTTGATCAGCCTGTCGCTGCTCAGTCGTAGCCTGGGTCCTACGAACCCCTAGACCAACCCCGTCTAAGCTCCTAGAGGCACGGGCAGCGGTACCGGACGGGCCCACATCATTGTCAGGGCCCTCAGAGACGGCTGCAAGCGACCTGTAGCGGAAGGCGCACTGCTGGAGGCAGCACTATGCCTGGTCGATTCCGTAGGACCGTGCAAAGCCGCTCCAAGGGGCCCGAAGGCTTCTTCAATGTAGGCCTCATAATCTCTGTGCCCAACTGCTGAAGCAGCTGTTGGCGAGTCTTCTGCAAGACGTGGGTCTGAGGGCACGGCAGGATCAACCTGCACAGAAGGTTTTTTTGGAGGTGGAGCTGGATGAGCCCTGGGAAGAAGTGGCCTGATCATCAAGACTACGAAGCCGTGGGTAGAAAAGCAAGGTAGTGTTGCCCACAACCCCGATGTCGGCTCTGTCGTAGGTACCTCCAAACACTGCGATGCTGTATATGGGCGGAACCGACAGCTCAAACATGGAAATCGCACCTTGCAAGTGGATGGCGGGGTAATGTGTATGTATGAACCGCATGCTGCGGCCAAAGGGCCGAAGGTCACATAACACAAAAACATCTCGCCGACCAGCGTGAGGTGTGCCTTCCTGTTGCGGGGTCGGGCGGTCAATCGCCACAATGGTCTGAGGGCACGCGTCCCCATGAATGTCCAGGTCATGTGTGGGGAAGCGACAGAGGGAGATGGCGTGAGGCGCCCTACCAACACACCTAGCCGTGGCCTGGACTATCGTCTCCCCATAGTGGTGGTGAGGAGGGAAGCAGAACTTCTGGTCCCCGAAAAGAACACACGTTGACTGAGTGGTCTCAACAGCTGGAAAGTGCCTGAGCTCCCCCCACTCGGCCCCAGGCTGAAACAGGGTCTCAATCCTGTGTTTAGCTGGAGCCGCCAAATCTCCATGCATGGCCAGGACGACATCACCATCTCGAAGATCCACGGGAACATCCTCTGGCCAAGCCTGCCGGTTAAACGCGACATGCAGGCGCAAGGGCTCATCACTGTAGTGGGTAAGCGGGACAATGAAGCGGATGAGCTCATGGTGCTCTATCCTTTTGGGAAGGACCGTGGCAAAATAGCGTCCTCCAACACGGGTGAGATCAAGCACTACAGCCGCATGCCCATCTGGACCTTGGTGCCGAATGATCTCAGGAAAGCGAATGAAGGAGCCATATCCCGCAAACCGTTGGGGACGGAGAGGCACTACAACCTCGAAAATGTCCTGTGGTACCCCGGGAACCTTATCCCTAATGATGTCCTTGATCTCCTGCAATGGCCGGTTGCTGATTGGTCGAACAGCAGCAGTGACAGTTTGGTAGTAGGGGGTATAAACATACACCCCCAACCACCCTCCCTCTTCGGCGATGGCAGACGAAGCTGGCAGGGGGAGAGGATCAAGTCGCAGTTGTGGGCCAAGCGTAGCATGATCATGGTGCCAAAACCAGGGTCGGTTTACTGCGTAAACCCCGTGTTCAGGGATAAGGTCCTCAGGCGGGATGAGGTGTGGCCGACCGGGGTAAGGGTCCTCGGGGTCATTGGCAGGACCAGGTCGTACCATGGCACTTCCTCCGTCGATCTGCTGCATGGTCAGCAGAACAAAACCGGGTGTGAGTCCAGGCACTCCTGCTGTAACCGGGGTCGGCAGACTAGGAAACAGACAACATGCCATCCAAAGGTGAAAGTAGCGGCCTCGCCGTGCACCCTGAGGAGGAATACTTTTCGCAACAGGGCGGCGCCGGACCCCTTCACAATTGGAGCGCGCAGGGTGGACGTCAAAAGCCAAACGCAGACAGCACGGCGCCCATGCGACGAACCCTTGCACAAGCCTGAACCCAGAATGTCGACGCAAAGCAAGTGCCTCAAGCAGCATGTGTAGACAGCAACTCAGCAACAAGAGCGGGGCCCAAAGCAAGATAGCCGAGGCGTGCAACTCAACTTCTGTCAAGCTCGGCCACTGGTGAAGGAGCAATGTCCCAACAGCCGCACAGAGCCCAAGACAATGTGAGTGCCCAGGCCGCTGTTGCAGGGCAGAGGCAAGGGACGACCGCACAGGGCCGGTGTCACCAAACCGGCCGGCCCAAAAGAAGCAAAGTAGCCCGCCTAGAATGCACAAGACCAGGGCAGGCCACTGCACAATCAAGTCATCAAAACTGCTGACCAACTGGCAGATCCAACCAGAAAGGTCATGAAGACATGGAAAAGGGCCCTTTCGCGGGAGAGCTGCAATGTGGGCGGAAGTCCCAGAACCACTGATATTTCTCTTAGGTGCTCAACAAACACAGCTTGGAAGGTCCTCTCCGATGTGGCCAGAGGGAGCAGGACAGCCAAGCCGTGGGCAGAACCACCGATACTTCTCTTAGGTGCTCCACAGCAAAGGCCATCGCAGAAAATGTCAACCCGGCGGAGGTGACGCTCAAAACCGTGCCCAACACACGCAGCAGCAGTGCCGGGAAATGGCGAGGCCAGCTCCACTGACACAATAGCCCAATGTGTAGTGAAGCCAGCAGAGGAGACAGATGTGTACCCTGTCAGAGCTCCCCAAGACGAAGGGTGCCCGTGGCAGGATAACGCATCAGCAAGGAAGGGAAGCCCAAGGTCGAAGAAGGGGCCCTCGGCAGGGCATAGAAAGAGAATCCATGGCCGGAGCAGCACCGAGTTCTAGAGAAACTAAAGGCCCCATCGAGCTGTACTGGTGGCCAGTCAAGGTGAGACGGTGGCCCTACCTTGACAGAGGAAGGCCTGCCACAAGGCCACTCGCATTGACCAGGGAGCACTGACACCACGGGCTGACACCACCAGTCAGTCCAGTGAGTCGGGCTCTCGAGCCTGCTGAGTGGCCTGTGGCAAGACTCCTGAGCAAGGAAAATCAAGCAGCTTGTACAATGTCGCCGTGTTGTCACCACGCTGACCGAGTGGTGAAAACAACGACGGCAAAGGAGCCCCTTGGCTAGTCCATCTCGTGGTCGTCCAGGAGGTCGATGGTGCGGGGAGGTCGTTCGACCGGCTCGGCTTCGGACTGGAGGCCTGCAGAGACTGTTGGCTCCTCGACAGCAGCCTCTCGTCCATCGCCCTCTTCTCTCATGGCCTGTTGGCGCTTGTATGCCAACTTCTCCTGGAGGGAACGGCTGCCGGTCACAACCTCCGGCTTGGTCAAAGTCTTGACCGGCACTCTGTTCTTGCTTGCTGACCGAACGGGGCGGCTTGTCATAGGCGAGAGAGACTCCACCCTTGCACTCGGTGAAGAAAGGTAGGGATTGGACGGTGTAGCCTTGGGGTGGCCAGCATAGGTTTCCGTTTCCGCATCGCCAGGAGGGCCTTCCCCAAAGGCCGCCGAGGACTTGGTCAGTACTGGCTCGCCATCCGGAGCTGAGGTACCAGGATCCGTGCGGCCAGTCCGGGTGCTTCTCTCTGCCAGACTCCTCAGGCCCGGTGGAGGCTTGCGGAGCAGCCTTTGAAGGGCTGCCTGGTCCCACTCTTCCCGCCGAGAGTCTTCGGTCATCATCTGGTCCCATGCCGTGTCGACCGTCTCCTCGGTCGGGCCAGTATGGCGAAGTGTCCGGAGTGCCGCGAAAGACTGTAGTAGTTCCTGTGCCTCCGCCCGTTGCATGGCCGCAACCTGTAGGTCCTCTTCCAGCTTGTCCATCGCACGCAGGTGTCTGTCGTGCTCCGCATTGAAAGCCCGCTTGGCATCCTCTTTGTACTTGGCCCATTGCTTGATCTTCTGATCGCGGGCCCCCATCAGGCTGCGGACCCTGTTCTCGGCTTTCCGAGCTGCGTTGAGCTGAGCCTGGACCTCGTCGACCAGAGTCCCTCTCGAGGTCGAGGGAGCAGCCGAAGTGCTGATCTCGGTGATCGCTGGCCTGTCGTCTGTCTCGACCTTGTGTGCGTCGTAGCGGGGAAATTGCGACTTGGCCGGCCTCGTATCGTCCTTGTACTTGCGATTGGGCGACCAAGCACCACGCCAGTACTTGTACCCACCTTGGCGATGGTAGCCACCTCCGCTGCCAGGCCATTTGTCCTTGCCCATATGCCGCACTCGCCGAGAATACCGAGGCCTTGAATGGTGTGTCTCCAGGAGCCACAATGCCCTGGAAGAAGGCGGCTCTCGCAGCCGCTGGCTCTGTCTCACAGAGCGGCGAGCACGTGCTCGCTGTTGCCGAAGATGGCGATGCCAGGGAGGCGATCTAGGCACTATGGTCCGTGACCAAAACGAGCTCTCCGAGCTCTGGGGCAATCAGCTATCGGGACCTCTGCCCGTGTTCTGAGCCCTAAATATATATATATATATATATATATGCAAAATTTCTGTTAATAAAAATAATAAAACCATCTTCAGAAAAGGGTTTAGGGCCTAGGAGCTTTAGGTTTCTTGTGTACACCCAACGCCTAAGCCTTAAAATCCAGGAGCCCGACCACCCGAAACCCCGCATGCCCGAAAGCTCTGCAGTTATACAGGCATACACCCCACAAAGCCCGGGCCGAACAAAGAAAAAAACAGTTTGCTAGGTCCCGGGGCCCCCGGCGTGTCGGAGGCTTCACTCCTGCGGGCAGCAGCTGGGCTGGGCTTTCCTTGCTGTGCTTGCTTCCACGGGCTTTTCGGGTCTGGGAAACGGGCCTAGGATTCAGCGCTAAAGTAAGGTTTGGCGTTGAGGGCCTCGAGCTTTAGAATTGAGGGTATTCGGGGCATTAAAGGTGTAAAGTTTGAAGTGAAAGGTTTAGGGTTTAGGGTTATTGAGGGGCGTGGCGCTGGGGGCTTAAGGCTTAGGAAGTATTCGACGCAGTATAGCTTTGACAGTGAGTAGTTAGGGCATTGTGCCACTTCGGGCAAGCCCAATTGCCCCAGGCGTGACAGAATGTGACAGCGTTGATGTTGACTCGAACTCAGCCACTTCCGGGTCGGGCTGGACAAGGAGGTCCCCAAGGCGTAAGAAGTCTAAAGAGTCTAAACCCCATAATAACTACCCTAAACCCTAAAACCCGTCGTTATACCTACCCTAAACCACCCTATAGACTACCCTAAACTACCCCTTAACTAAATATTCTAAAGCCTCTGAGAGTTCCCTTTGTCAGTTTCCTTTCGAGGTGCTCGGCTCTCCTCTGGACCGGAGCGCGGCTTGGCCTCTGCCCTTCGCCTGTGCCATGGCCGAGGCGCGGGAGCGGAAGAGAGGGGACGTCTGCCAGAAACGGCGAGAGAGATATACAGTTGGTGTATATATCTATATAATTTTGTAGAGAGAGAGAGAGAGAGAGAGAGAGAGAGAGAGAGAGAGAGAGAGAGAGAGAGAGAGAGAGAGGGGAGGGGAAGGGGAAGGGGAAGGGGAAGGGGAAGGGGGGAGAGTAAAAAGAGAGAGACGGATAGGCATATGGACAGATGGATAGATGGATCGATAGGCAGGACAGATGGATAGATGGATGGGTAGGTACAGGTAGAGATAGAGATGGAGGCTCTTCTGTTTATGGGCTGCCGGGGAGACTTAGTTTGATGCGGTACTCAGCCCCCGGACTTTGTGGAGGTTGCTGCTTCCGTCAGTAGGACAAGGGGACTGGCGGGAGTCGTCTTGGGGCCCCAGCGCTTGGATTCTGACCTCCTGCAAGGGTATGGATTTCAGGGTTCAGGCATGTTTTACGTTCAGGCACCTCCTGAAGCTTCGATCAGCGCTGTTGCAAGTTTTAGGTTTATTCCCCAAAGGAACCAAGCGGGTATCAAAAGACGACCGCCCTTGCACAGGTGGCTCTGACCTGCGTGTCGGCGGAGGTTGATGGTTCGAAGCCGCCACCCGGCACCTCGGCCATTGACACGGTTTCGGTCTTTGGAGGAGATGCTGCTACTACCACTCGCAGATCCCCCGCGATCCCCAAAACCTCAAGCCATGGAACCTCGCAGGCCTCGCCGCCTCAAAGCCCTAAGCAACAAGCCATGGGAACTCTGAGTCAAGGCATGGCGTCCGTCGCGGGGAAGCTCCTTCAGCAGGTTCAGGCCATCGCCTTCAAATGCCCGTTCTAACATTAACCTGCCTTTTCGTGATTCTTCTGGTGCCTTCGGGTAGCCTTGTTATTTTTCCGTGGAGTTGGGGGATAAGTTGTGCACATTCGGTTTGAGGGATGCTTCGCAGGCGAGGCTTCCCAAATGCTTCAGCTGAGCTCTCCGGATCATTGCACCTGCTACGCCCTCGTCTCTGAAGACGCTACAATCGTGATCCTTATCCAGGGCAAGGGTCGTAAATCCGCTCAAAATTTTATAAATCTTGACCGTCTATCAAGAAGCTATGCCTACATGTGAAACCCTATAGCCGAAGCTTGAATCGGGTAAATCCTACCCCCTAATAAACCCTCCGAGAGATCTCTGGGTTCCCAGGCTTGCGTCTCACAAGCCACCATGCCGGAGAAGTCCAAAGCCGACTTCGCCGGATTCTGGGCTCAGCAGAGCCACCGAATGCTTCTGTTGTTTGAGGAGGATGTAATCGGAGTTTTACAGCTTCAAAGAACTGATCTGTTTCGCTTGCCGGAACGGGACAAGAGCCAAGGATTCTATGCCGGCTTCGAGTGCACTTACTCTTCCAGCCAGGCCGTCAAGGGCTTGAGGCTAGGAGTAGAGGGTTTAGGTTCAGGGTGTGGGCTCCTACCGTTTCGGCCAGGCTTACTTAATCAATAGGGTTGAGAGTCCTCGCCTTGTCGTTTGTTCGTGGACTTGATTTGTTTTTGTCCTACGGGTTTGGGGTTTCAGGGAGTAGAGGGATTGAGTTCCGCATTTTGAGGTGGCTGCAACGAGTGAAGCCCTGAACATCAGGTCTAAAGCTCGCAAAGGTATATGCAGTGTATGAACATCCTGCCTCTGCCTGTGAGTCGGAATCCGAGAGCCCCTGGAACAAAGCGTCTAAAGGCTCCACCTGAAATTCCTGAAACAACTTTTGCTTAGTCTGCCAATAAATCATCCTACCGCCTTCTCACCCAACTCCTCTGCCGAGATCATGTTGTCTTTACAGACACCGCAGACCCGAAACCTCACCTTAGACCTTCCTTTCAGGACCTGGAGAGGCTCCCCCATGAGCTGAAACGCTGGCCATTCGAGCCGGCCACGTTGACGCAGATATGTGCAATGGATACCAAAGCCATCCTCTGCTAATTCAGGGTCGCAGAGGGTCTTAGAGGGTTTGGCGTTTTAATTTTCGTGTACAGGGTATTGCGGGATTCGGATTCAGAGAACTCTTATCGGTGGTTCCAGAAGGTTTCTACATGGTTTTTGTAGGGCGAGAGGTGTAGGGCTTCAGGAAGGCAAGCGGAGAGGTCCTTTGGAGTTCTCGGCGGCGGTTTAGCAGTTTTTATGGGTTTGTTGGTCATCCTTTGGGTTTGTTGGGCTTTTAGAGCCCTGACAAGAGGGTATCTTGATTGCTTTGTTATTGTTGAGAGGGTACACCCCCAAAGCCTGCAGCAGGAGTCTGGTTTCAACGGATTTCAACGGTTGCAAGCAGGCTTCAACAAGTAGGCTCGGTTGTGTCCCGGCTCGAACTGACTGGTTGGGCCTTTCGAGGAGGACTTCAGCTTTTCCTCGCTGGCATCAGGGCTTAGAAGGAGACTTTACTCACGGAGCCGAGATTCAGCGTTTACTTGGGAGTTCGAGGGTGCCAGGCTGAAGAGAGGTAATAAAGACGTCTGAGCAATTGCAAAGTCTGTTCCTTAGGGTTCTTGATATAGCCATAATTGAGAATATGATTTGCCCCAACCTATTCTAAATAATGAAGGCCCGTGAATGCTCCACCCTCGAGACCCGGAACTTTGAAGCTGAACTCCGCATTCCAAATCCTACACCGTAAGCCCCAAAGACCAGAGCCCAAACCGACACCGCAACAAACGCCGTCAAGAGGAACAGCCGCCCTGGATGGTGGGTCGACAGCATCAGCTGGAGCTGCTGTCTCGCCTGGTGCCTGACAGGCCGGATTGGTCTCTCTTCTTTTGCCTTTAAAGGGGCCTATTTGGGACTTTCTTACAAGGGATGCCAAACTTAGAAGTTTTTCTGGTGAGGATTCTAGTATTTCGGGTCCACATCGCATGCAGGTCGGGTATGATGGAGCTCACATGTGTGGGCCTTCGAGTTCAGGCATGCTTAAGGGCTGAGGTTTACACTGTTCAAGATCCATGGCATTTTCGGGACTTCAGAGTCCAGGATCCTGTTTCCTCGTCGGACAGATGGAGAGCGAAGCATTGCACTGAACGTGATTTGATGTTATTTGGGAGCCGTTAGATGCATGTGGAAGCAGCAAGTGCCTCATGTTGCTCAAAACCTTGCACCGGTCAAATCTGCTGCTCAATGTAGCTGTGCAGCAGACAATTACTTGTAGGGCTTGTGGGCTTGCCTTTTCGCTCTAGCATACGCTCGCATTCCCACTCTCCAAGGTTCACGAAGCCATCTTTAGATTTTATCGTTGCAACACGTCCCATGTTTCCACTTTGCAACGCTCATGAGCACATCTGGTTTATGGCTGGATGGATTTAGGATTATGCAGCAGGTTTAGGGGTCTCAGGGTTCAGTGATTCAGGGTCGAGGGTGCTCGTGATTCAGCAACTTGCTGATCGTTGTCGACAGGTCGTTTGGGGGTTAACATGCGTTGGCGGTCGTGGGGATTTGGTGACGAGATCGTTGTTACACGACCGTTTTGCAACAGTCCAGGCTTCTCTGAACCCTAAACCAGCGATCCCAAACCAACTGCACACTTGACACAAAAAGTTAGGATCTTGGGGCCTGCTGTCAGGCTACATGAAGTTGGGGTTGGAGCCGTACGGTTTCAGCGTGAGGGCTTCAGGGTTTTAAGCTGGGTTTCAGCCACACCGAAGTAGCCAAGAGCACGAGTTGCAGACTTTGCAGCGTCCGAAATGCCATGATCATCAGGGCGGTCTCAGCAAATGTCCATGGTTCAAAACCAACTTCAAGCCATGTCGCCACCCTACACCATGAACCATAAACCTAAAGCCCTGTGTAAGTAAACTAACGGCTGCCTAGGCCTAAGCTCGCAAGCTTTGATTGCCAGAGTCTCGAAGCTTTCGTTGGAAACGTGTAGAACCCGGAAAAGCCAACAGAAAGCTCCTCCGCGCCCTCCAGCTGCCGCCCACCCCTAACTCCACCGGATCCCCCATTTCGAATCTTGAAGGCAGCTTTTCTCGAGCATCGGGCGGGCGCATTTCGAGCTCCGACCGGAACCCGACAAGGAGGGCGTCACCAGGGTTCTGGTTTGAGGGTTTAAGGCCGTGAGGCGCGGTATTTGATGGCATCGTTATTGGGTTTTTAAGAGTTAAACGATGTGATGTGGCTCCTTGGCAATCGGCATTTGTCGCACCGGGTTGAGGCTGTGTGAGTTTGGTATCTGAAATGCGACACTGACACTGCTCAACACCCAGCTGGTTTGTTGAACGGTTGAGTGCATCCACGACCGGAACAATCACTGCTGAAGCACCGTCTGAGCTACTTGTTGCGATGATCAACGTGCGATGCCAACATGGACGGACAGACCGCCCGCGCTACCCGACCAAAGCCCCTTAGCCCAAGAGCTTCTGCCAGCCGCTAGCCTTCTTGGGGTCTGGGTTTGATATTTGTTGTTTTTGGGCCTGTGACCTTAAACCGAAACGACAAGTCGAAAGTCTCCTCATCTCAGCCAAAGTGGCTTGATTCTCAAGGTTGATGGGGAGCTGCTGCAGGATCCCTATTCAGGGATTGTTCTAAAGTCTCTAGGTTTGCGATGTGACTTACATCAACCGGTCCTTAATACAGAAGCCTGAATACTTAAACTAGTTGTGCTGCTTCTCGGGGTTCCTCATATACTTGTAGCACAACACATCCCAAAGCCATAGTCAAGCTATTCAAGCCGTTGCTTGTACTATACCTGCCATACCTCAGCTCTCAGCACCGTCAGAGATAGAGCCTGAAGCCTTAAAGCCTTGAACCTTATAAACCTAAGCGGCAAGCGTTGGCCAGGAGCAGCCCACACTGCGGCTGCGCCCACTATCGCCGAACCCCCTCAAGGTGCGACTTCGTATTTAGGGGAGTAATGATGAGTAATGCAGGGTTTGCGGGCCTTTGGCTTGGAATGTCTGATCTACATGAGCTATGCAGCAGACGTCGTAAAGACAACCAGCTAAACGACGGCGTAGAGCTTAGAGTCTGGGGAGTTTAGGGTTGCGCAGCCATTGAGGCGATTGCACAAGTCCTTTGCGCAGAGTGACAAGCGGGATCCAACTTCGTAGGACCCAGATTTGCACTATTGTTCATGGATGGAGGGCGGCACATTCCTCAGGTGTTCCTTCTAAACCTTCGTTTGTTGCTGTGCTGCTCGCCCGAAGATCTAGGCGACAGAGATTCGAGTCCGTCTAATACTTCGTCAAGCATGGGCCTAAGCCCTATGTCGGCCCTGCAAGCTCAAGACTCAAGATAAACTCCTTGACCTTTGAGGTGGACGGTCGCTCCGTGGCTGCTGAGGAGTGGCCTGCATTGCAATCGAGTTGTGTTATGGTGCACGGCTTTGAGTTTTAATTTCTGTGCAAATAAGGGCTTCAGGGTTCGGGGTGGTTAGCGACTAGTGCCGATTGAAGGTACAGGGCTCCCACACACGGATGATCATGTACATGTTTTTCTGATCAGCAAGCACTGAAGCTTCATGGAAAACACCACCCCGCCAATCGAAAATAACATAAAACAGCGCACCGCAGGGACAAGCTCGTGAAGGCATAGGTTTCTAGATTTTTTTTATTGTCGAGGCCAAGTCAGTTGGACCAGAGTTTTGGTGAATGTGATTTTTGAATATCAAGGAATCCGAAGGGATGATACGGCTGGTGGTTTCTCTCCAACTAGTGCTCTCCTAAGCCTAGATCCCCCCAGGCCTAAACCCCAAGGTCGGGTTCCGAGGAGGTGACGCTCCGCGACGGCTCGTCTGTGAGCTTCTGCTTCCAAGGGGAGGCTTGGCCTCCGCGGTCCCGGAAGGGTTACTGCAAGGATTAGGATAAGGGCCTAAGGGTCACTAGAAACAGACAGATCTCAGCAAATCCTCCTTATCCGTGAACCCGTGCTGACAGTAAGGCGTAACCCTGTCGATAGTAGGCAGTTAGATGCCCAGATAGACCCTGAACCATCCCGGCCGTAACAGCCGTGAGTCCTTGGGGAGGTGTTCCTCACTTTGCAGTTCCTCATCCGTCGGGGAGTGGAGGCAGCACCCACGCAGGAGCCTCTCCTTGCCGAGGGTTTGCAGGTGCTGAGCACATGGCGGCGCCAACTTGTCACTGCATAGGAGACCTTAACTGAGGGCGTGAGGGGTCGTACTGCAGACCGAGCCAGTCAGCCACACATTCCATAAACGTCTCATAGGTTCCGGGCTTCGTTCCATCGGTTATCGACTTTCAGGTGTCCTGTACAAAGATGTACCATCGTTATCCCTGGCCGGAGTCAAGACAAGCAGATTCCAGACCGGAAAGCTGGAATTGAGCGGTGTCTAGAAAGTTGGCCATTGCCCGCATGCAGCAGGAACACTTCTACACTCTGAGGCCGCATTTGTCGCTCCACCTCCCCAAACTCTGAGCCTAGAAGCTGTAAACCACGAACAGTCGATCAGATCCACTCTCACCCTGTAAGCAAACTCCGTGATCCCTTCTCGAAAAAACCCGATTGTCAATCGCTTCTAAGGTTGAAAGTTGCCGTAATTTGTCTCCTGAAGCCCTACACTCTGAGCCAGTCAAGCCCTTAAAACCCTGAAGCCCCCGGACAACAAGAATTAGGGCCACTGCTAACCTGCCCCAAAACCTGGAAGCTACCAGGGTTCCTTTGTACCTTCAAAATGGCGTCTTATAGGGTATGATATTAAACGAGCCTGAATGAAAAGGTTAGTAACTGGCTTACTATTCGTGAGTGTTGTAACGGGGTTGAACTCTGAGATCCGCAGGAAGCCCTGCCACAGTCTTTGGACACGGTGCCCACGGTGGCGCGGTCCAGTCGGGACCTCTTTCGCTTGTGCTTGTGGAGTAAATTTTGGTTGCAGGATCAGGGCTTTTAGGGTTTCGGGCTTGAGGGAGTGTTTGCTTGGTATGGAAGAGTTTCTTTGGCACCAAGGCTCTTGGCTTTGTAGGTAGAGAAGAGGTGCAGGGTGTTGGGTGTGGAACGATCTCACAGATTTGCCGTTCAGCGTAGGTTTAAGATGTGGTGTCCTTATAAGCCCCTAGACTGGTTCCTAGGCTTCGGGCTCTTGCGGTTTCGGGGTTTACCGGAGGTCCTTAGTATTGTGGTCTCGGGCTTTGCTGTTTGGTGATGGCTGTATAGGGTAATTATACTTATAGGCGTGCAGTGGTCTCATCGGGGTTCATGATACTGTGATTAGGCCTCCTCCCGCTTAGAAGGATTTGGAAAGGGATCCGAATAGTACGGCTCTTGCAAGACAGAAGTGATTTAACCGCCTGCAGGTGACACTTAGTTGGTTTTTGTAAGCCTAGTGGGAATGGGCTTCAGAGGAAACCTGTGTTCCTCGCACGTTGACCCGCTCGGCGTGCAAACCGCCATCCCCCACAATCCCCTACCGCAATGGCCGAATCAACCCCTACACCCTGGACATTGAATGCTGTACACTGAGTGTCGCCGTCGGGGTGTTTAAGCAGGCCACTCCTCCCAACACGGCCGGTGCTGGTCTTGTAACGGGCGGCTGGGTTGAAAGCAAATCGATAGTGTTCGAAAAAACTTCAACAAAGAGGGTGAACGTGAGGCATCAGGCTTTGATGCGCATTTTGGGCAGACGGCTTTTTGTCGGGAAGCAATTTTGCAAAGCAGTACAAAGTTCCTGGCTCCTCGGCCTATAGAAGCACCCAGGTCCAGGCCCAGTACTCTGACCCTGAAGCTGAGGTCCCGCAGCTTATGCCTTAGTTTGCGCCGGCACCCGAGGTTTCACTGTTGTTTCGCATTGTTGTGATCTTACTGTCGGAGTTTTCTCGTTTCGTCCTTTGCGCGTCCGATTTGGTGCAAGTGAGCAGGGCCGGGTGTCCTAAGACGACGGAGTATTAATAGTTTTAGTCCTATTATTGTTATTAGCATCGTTCAGAGATGCATCTTCAGTCTTGCTGCTTTTTCGCTTGCGGCCGCCTTGTCCCAGGATCGGCTCGCAGGCCCTTCGGCGGGGTAGGATGTTTCTTTTATCTGTTAGGGGCCTGGGTCAATTAAACATTGGGCTTGAAGCTTAGGGTTTCGTTGCAATTGGGACCTCCTGGAAGAGAGATGCAAGTTGACAGTTTTTGCGAGGCAGTGTATCCTTGGTGACAGTGTTCGTGCCATCCAGTGTTGGCACACTGTGTTATGCTGAACTTTTGCTGGTCCCCACGTCATGCGGCTGAATGCCAACATGACTATGGGAGGTGTTGTCGAAACCAAGTGAAAAGTTGAACGTCGTGCTTCCTCCTGGGCACCTGTGGAACATGCCCTTTGAGTTCCAAGACGATGTTTAAGGCCACCTCAATGGCGGCACATACAGGGCTGCCAGGGCTGTTTCTGAAAAGGGTTGAACTCGAAGAACCTACGTGTTCATCGATGTCCGGCTTGAGGGGACGGGGATGATGGCCGTTGGGTTTTGAGTTTACAGGCTCGTATGATTCTGCTTGAGTGTTTCAGGGTGTTTGTTTCGGGAGTTTAGCGCGGGCTTACGGATTTTGGGATTGAAGGGTTTAGTGAAGTTCTGTGGCGGTACCTGCCTTGGGCAGTGCTTGCTATTTCTCGCTCATTTGGGCAGTGCAGTACCAAAGCTTTACAGAGCTTGCGCGGTCTTTTGCATTGGGAAGTTCCGAAACCGCAGGGTTTGGAGCACCCGTCGTGCGTTGCACAGCTGCGGAAAAGCCTCACAGGAACCCCTGACCGTGCATCCGTTGCTTTTTCCCGAAGTCCAGACCCTTACACCAACCGCTCTGTGCAGGAGAGACGGTGGATCATTTGCCAAAGGAGGCCACGGGGGCCCGGGGGCAGCGAGGAGGGGGTTTGGAGCCCCGACGCTCCGTGGGATTGTTTTTGCGCGGGCCTTCCCTGTCTATTCTTCGGGCCAGGGGCCCGGGAGAGATCACGAACTTGACTCCTAAATTAACTTGTTCCACAGAACTTATAAGCTTTCAGGCCCGGCCTGAAGCTCTGTCGTTTCGCGCCATAAACTGAAAAAGGTAGATTCCGCGGCGGGATGCAGAGATGCTATGCTACTGTAGCAGCAGCTTGGTAGGTCGAGGCCCGAGTAAGCAGGCCACAACTTCTCTGGTTTGTGTGGGACTTTCTATCAGTAGTCTGAGTTCGGTGTGTTTCGTGCTTACAGAGTCAGGGCTTAGCGTTGAGGACCTTGGGTTGGGCGTTTTTGGCTTAGGCCCTAGTTTAGCATAATTTCTCCGTGCTCTGAGTCTTTCGACTGTAGTGCGTTTGATGATCAATATGAGACATCTGGATTGGTTTTCGTGCAATTCGAGTGCATTGGGGTTTGGGAGCAAGGACGTGCGCCCGAACGCATTGCATTCATCGCAGAGGATCGCCCTGAGGTCTCCAAAGTTTAGCTTTAGCCTGCAAAATCCAACCACGTACGGGAACATCAGGAAGTTTACCTAAGCGAGGGCATAGGTTTCAATGATTTCTTAGTCGAACGGGCTCCGTCATTCCCGATGTTGAGCCCACGTTGGGGTTGTAGGGCTCATACTGGAGCCCTTTTGAACCCGAAAACTACCCAATAGTAAGCCTTCTAATTTCCTGATTCCCTCATGGAGCATGTAGTCACTTATCAGAGTAGCCCTTACCCTACGAGCCCTTGTTTTGTACCCGTGTAATCATAGGGACCCTGAGGGGGGTATGGGGCCTTAATGCCCATAATAAGGACCTAATAAGGCCTAGATTATATTGTCCACTACTCCCTACCCCTTACGGTCCCTATGACGTAAGAAGGAGCGGAAGATCCTGGTCTCTTCGGAGGGCCGGCGGCTCATGCGACGCCAAGCCGATGGGAAGCGCGTGTTAAGCGTGTTTGGGATTTTAGGGTTTTTTCAGGGGCTTTTAGGGATTAGAGGCTAACTTAGAGGGTCTTTAGGGATTTAGGGTTTTTAGGGTTTGATGTTATGGTTTTAGGGTTTAGGGAGGTGCCCTCTTCAGTTCTGACCTGTTGGAAGTTTCGGGTGGCTTTCTGAGGTTTTCGGGGCTTTGCCTGTTGTGGTAATGATGCGGGTTTTTTGAGTTCGAGCTGCAGGGCCTTTGCAGTCTTTGGGGGACTGGTCTCGCCGGGAATGGGTTGCTTTAGGAAGAACGAACCCTCGAACGGTTAAGGTATCCCTGAGCTTTGTGGGCGTTCAGGGTGGGATTGTAAGGGTTTCCGGCACTTGTCGGGTGCATGTGGTCAGGTGGGCCTACAGTGTACAGGCGTTGATGCTCAAGTCACTTTGCCACTGTTAACCGCAAAAGAGCTAGCTCACGGCAGCGCTTCCGGCATTGCAGTTTCGGCGACGTGGCAGCGTCATGGGAGATCTTCAGAGCTTTCAGGTTTCGAGGTTTGGTTTTGGGGTCAGGGTTTGGGGTGGTTCCATAAAGAGGCTTGCAGGCGTTGGGTGTACTTTGGGTTCGCGGTTTCGGGATGACCTTACAATCCTACACACTTTAACATGAATCAGCCTGATACCCTTGAACCGAAACATAAACCGTATAAACCCTCAAAGCTTTCCGCCCTGGCCCCAGACGCCGAAACCCCCTGAAGCCCGTAGCCCTGAACCCCAAGACTTCTAGCCTTTCTCAGCTTGATGCGTTGCATCCAGGCCCCACCTCCATCGGTCGCCAGTGTCAACCAGGCTCTTGCGGCTTTTGGGGAGATTCGAAATGTTGAAGATGGGGCTCAGGGGCTTAGGGCTTTCGGGGCTCGGAACCCATGCCAGGTTGTCAAGGCTTACGGCTTCAGGACTCCAGTCCTTGGGCTAGGACTCGACAGCAAGGCATCTGAGACCCGTAGATTTCACCCTACAGCTTGAAGGATTTGGGGGGTCGTGGGGTTGGGTTGGGATTGCTGCTAGGGATTCCACGATCTGCTGAATGTCGGCATTGTGTTGCGGGCTTCGGCAGTTTGGAACTCCGGGTGTGTCTGAACTCCGAAGCTTTCCTAGGCCTCGACACGCTAAGCGGCTAAGTCAGAGAGTGAGAGGGTCGGCTCGAGTTCCTGTTAGGGAGACGGAGCATTGCCCTTTTGAGAAGCCCCGGCGTTGTGCCAGAAAACGCTTCACCTCACCTGACTACTCACCAAAAACCTCGCCTGGCTTGTCCGAGTGTGCCGAAAGATGATTTCCCCAAGCCAAGGCCCCAAGCCCCTCCTCCCTCCCCCTCGCCAGAACCGCAGGTTTCTTCGAAAACTTGCAGAAGCTCAGCCGGTCACAGTGGGTGCCATGGCCTTGGCCCAGCCTTGCAGGTGCTTGTCATGCTTTTTTTTTTTGAGGTTTTCGGACGTTTTAGGCTTCACAAAGGGAGCCCACAAAGGATGCTGGTTCATTGTTTATTCAGAAGCGACCTTGAAAGGGAGAATTGATAGTACGGCATGGATAAGCTTGCGGGTGCTGGAGTGCTCTGATTTGTCATGTAGGTAGGCCTTCTCATGTAGCAAGAAGTGCACCACTTGTTCCGCCAGCAGTCAAGAATAATGATGCCTGCTAGTAGCCTACTATCGCATTCTGATGACAACCTCAACATCATCAGCATCTTCATCATCACCCCGCGCGCTCATTCATCTCTGAGCCCCTGCATACCTGATACTCTCAGCTGAGGTTCGTGGGCTACGTTTCCCGGACTCATTTCCAGGCCGCGGAGGGACAAGCGGGAGAAGAGGTTGCTTGAAGTTTAGATCGGCGTTTCCTGGAGTCATTTTTGTGTGTCTTGCACGAAGGTGGATCCTGTAGCTTGGCAGCTGTGCCAGGGCCCCCCTCCAGCACCGACAAGGTAGCTTAGTCAAAACACAAAGCCATTGCATGCACACAGGCGCTTCAACATGAAAGTCTAGGAGTCTAGTTCGTTCTGATGCTGAGATTAGCCTTCTGAAGAATTCAGAATGTGCAGTCTTGTGTATGGGCATGCCTTGCTGGCGGTAGTGATGCTGAACGGCCGTTTCTGTTTAGAATGCATTGCAAGCGCAATCTACACAAGTTAGACGTGAGTCAGAGTATGCGTGCCAGCAAAACCTTTATGCCCACAGAGCAACTGCAGGATCTCCGCCGCAGACTCTAAGAATCTCTAAGAGTTGTTGAGGGGATACACGAGGACCTGCATGGAGTTCCGCAGTGCCAGCATCATGCGAGCCTTTCGCCTCAAGATTTGCTCCGAATCTTAGGCCCCTGAACCCCGCGGCCCCAAAGGCCATGAAGCCGAAAAGCCGCTTTCCAGAAAATCAGCTGAAAGGCTGAAAGCCAAGCACTTCCTACAGTACCCCGAGACCCTCTAGAACCTGATACATGCATGCTCTTAAACCACGCTCCATCAAGCCCGCTCAGGTCGAAAGCCTGGGGGCAAAACCCAAGAAAGGCTCTCTAAAGCTTTAAGACATAAACATCTATATACATATATATACATATATATCCAACTATGAGCTCTTGGAGAAAAAGAAACTTCAAACCCCTTTAAATCCTGAGCCCTAAATCCCAATGAACCCTTTGATCCACATCTACAATCTCGGAGTCTTCGTGTACGTCAGTGCGAAGGAGACACCCACTAAGCAAACCCCACTATTCACCAAAGGAAGACAAGCCTCTGACAGATCGAATTCCGGTAACGGCCCCTGTTGGAACCCTTGTACAACATGCCTTTTCCAAGCCATATAACACTTTCCGAATGTCGTTTTATCGGACCTACGGCGAGAGGTCACGGGCTTGGCCGAGGAGTTGCCTCCTTCCAAAGTCCGATTTGAAGTGACGAACTGCAGCGCCATGGCTTTGGAGTTGTGGGCTGTGGTTTAGGATTTAGGGTAAAGGTTTGGGGTTTAGGGGATAGGGAAGATGTTGCAAAAACTAGCAGGGGAGTATAAGGGAATGGTTTTCTGTCATAAGACTTCGTCAGGCCCTTCTTGGTACTCTCTCCTGTTCGGGTTAGACGGTTTTTAATGGTCTGAGGTCAAGCAAGGTTTAATGGTTAGGGCGCAGGGGTGTAAGGAAAAGGCTGAAAAGGTTTCAGTAGGGTTCAGAAAGTGATTCGGGTTCACAGGCCATGGTTTCCATTTCCAGTATTCTGAAGATCGAGCGGGGTAATGCATGTCCAAAATGGCCCACACCCGCTGTTTGGGACAACAATCAGCCCCCCCTCTCCTCCCTCAGACTTCAACAAAGTTGGATCTCTGCATGGTTCCAGGTTCAGCTAGGATTCTTGAACCGGCTCGGGAATTCAGGCTTGAGGTTTAGGTTAGGGTCAGGGGCTTTGGGGTCGGGTGTGGGCTTAAAGACTTAGGGTGTTGGGCCGGAGGAGCTTGGAAGGTGACGATTTCCTGGCAGAGAGGTCGAACATCGCCCTTTATACCCCTAAACCGTGTTCGAACTACTCAGGGCACCTATATGCTAACCCCCTGAGAAAATTTTGAAGAAGCCCTATGCCAGTTACGAAAGCTCCTAAACCATAGGACTTTTGCAGCTTGGTGTTGGAAGGCTTTGAGGGCTTTCTGACGTGTAACACCCTTGCATGCCCGAGTGCTGAGGCAGCAACCCGATTCTCCTAGCTGGGAGAGAACTGCCAGGAAGAGGCAGGCAGGTGATCCAGGTGCCGAGGGGGTTAATGTTTTGGTCAGGATTTGTGATTCGAGGGCTTGGATGTGGGCTTTTAGGGTCTGTATGTATTTTTTTGAGACCGATTTAATGTCTAGTGGTGCGGGGTTTACTTTTGTGTTTGGGGGATTTTCGGCTTGGTAATGCCAAGGGTTTCTCTTGTTCCCGGGTTTCGGGCATAGTGCAACTCTCTTGAAACGGAGCACAGGAAAGACCGCATCATTCCCGCTTGCAGAAGCAACGAGTACGAAATTTGCAACTGGCCAGCTTTTCCGGTAGAAATGAAGCTCTCACGTATATCGTCGAGGCTTAAGCCTGGAATCGTACAGTGCGGACAGTGCGAGAGCGAGAAGTGCGGACAGTGCAGAAAACTACGAATCCCGTCAAAGTTTTGGGCTCCAGGGGCTGTTGTTCGGTTGGGGCTTCGGGGTCATCAGGGTTCAGTATAAAGTTGGTATGGGGATGAGCATACCGCCGCCGTCAGCATTTCTACACTTGCTCTGGTGCTGGTTTACTGAATTTACTGCCGCCAAGTGTTCGTCAGTTTATTGCATGTGTCAGAGTGTCAGCCCCGATATTCATCCCCCTCAGCTAGATTAAGGGCCTGCCATCGACATGGGAGGTTGGCGACACCATCGAACTTATCGCCCAGGACAGCCAAGCTTACTACAGTGGAAAGGCAGTTCCCCTCCTGAAGTTCCGGCTTACGGCTTCGGGTATGGAGTTCATGCTGAAGGCTTTGGGGTTTGTGTTTGACAATCACCCTCAACTGAGCCGTGTAGGTAATATAGGGGCCGAAAAATTACCAATACTATTACTATTAAGGGGGTTCCTTATTATAACTGTAGTATAATGGTCGGGGTTTAAGTCTGACAGGGATTTAAGCAAAGGCTGCGTCTCAGCATTTTGGGGTTCGTCCTAATCCCCGTCTGTGAGTGCACCCGAAGCTGGCAAAACCAGAGGAGCACGCTCCAAGCAAAAAACCATCAAAACCTGAGGAACGCAACCCTACCGCAGCGCTGGGCACGGAAACCGACATAGAAGAAACCACATTCTAAACTCTAAGCCTCCAGGTAATTCGATCCCGACCCAGAAGCTCTGATTCCAGGACGGTACGGGTGTGTCGCCGTACCTTCGCTTCCGTGCCTGTGTCAGGAAGAAGGGAAATTCAGTGTACTTGCGAGTGAGATCCGGATTCACACTATGCTTTCTGCTACTGCTGCAACCAGCTGTTGATTCGAAAAAGCCTTCCAGCATTACCTTGTCGCCCCTCCCCCCCCAAGAAAAATTGGAGTTGCTCTGTGCAAGATTTGTTTAACCTGGAGGCCCAGTTAAGCCCGAACCCTTTTAGACGCCTTATTCCCAGAATGTCGCGTAACTTGCGAGAGTCGCAACCCAAAGTACCACCGCCGTTTCAACTCAGGTTTGTTGTGGCTTGGGCAGAGCCGTTCGACAAGCTCCTTTGCGGAAGGATCTAATGGCCACTAGAGTCACTAGAGGGGGTGTCTTGTTCATATTTAACATAATGATAGGGCGGGGAGCTTTAAATGTGTCCATGGGCCTGGACGATGAGACTTTGTGCGGCTTGTTATCACGCAAGCCCCCCTCGCTTTCGAGTGGAGCATTTAAAGCCGATGTTTGTTTCTCTTTATCTTTTTCTTGATCGCTAGTGCAGGGTAGGGTTTTGTAGTTATTTGGGAAATTCTGAGCTCCCAAGCAACAACCCCGACACGTAAAGCCTAATTAATTCACTTCATGCTGTTCTGAAGCCTTACAGCTTACATCGCAAATCCCTGTACCCCTAAACCCCTTGGCAGTGCCTTGTCTTAGTCTGCCGAGATGACCTGGATTGTGCAGAGCCTTGCCTGCCGTGTCTGAGTGTCGACACCCCAGAGCCGAGCCACCCCAGAGCGAAAGTATCGAGACTCAGCGATGAGGTTCACTGGCCTCGCGTGCCACCGAGCCCGGCACAATCTTACTTGACCGCCAGGCCCAAGTTTCGGGGTCGGAGCGGATGTCGGTTGAGGGCTTAGGGAGGCTCCCAAAATGCCAAAGCCTCGTATCCGTGCTTGGAAATTTCAGCGGAACCCGATGCCTAGCGCGATAACTCAAGTCTGAATCCCCGAGATCTCATTTGCAAGCCATCTAACTCCCGCAAAGGCTCGAAAGACCTTCAAGACCTTAAATCTCAAAGGGAAGAAGACCTCAAGCCTCCAGCGCCCTTACCTTTCTTTCCGACACCTGAAGGGCTCCAAAGAGAGCCAGAAGACGCGGCCGCAGCTTGGCATCAGCTTCATTAAAACCCAAGCCCTTTCGGGTTTAGGGTTTAAGCCTGAGCTCATGCCCCCTAAGGTTTTTTTTCATGCGCAGCCCTCAAAACTAAAAAATTGACAAGCATAGATATTGCCAAGGGAATCCGAGCTTCCGACCATGAGTTCTGTAAGCTGAAGCTCTGCACACGAGATAGTTAGGAAGGATTCAGGGTATCGTCACTTGCTTGCTGCCATGTCTCACATGCTTTTTTCTCATGTTGGCAGGTTCCTGTCAAACTTGTCAAGCCGTTTACGGATTTCTCGCTTTCGGCTTTCCATGAATCTCCTGCAAGCGTCCTCAGCAAAGGCACTGCAGGCTGGATGCAGAAAACTGCTTTCGGCACATGTGTGTGTGTGTGTGTGTGTGTGTTTGCGTGGGGCCTTAAACTCATTTTCGCGTGCTTAGGTGGACAACACCTCTCGGGTAAACAACACATTCAGCGTTCACTTGCAGTAGCAAACACTCGCTGCCCAGGACGACGACGATGTCTTAGTAAGATGTAGAGTCTAGAGTGGCAGTCGCAGCAGCAGGGTTTGTAGCAGTGTTTGGCAATATTCAAGTCATACATGGTAGGAATTGTAGCAGCCATCAAACAAAACTTCTATCCCCGAGGCCTTTTCAACTTGTCTTGGCCGGCTCAGCTGTTTTGAAGGCAGGAGTGACGGGGGGCTGGAGTGTCTCGGAAGGCCAGGCCGAAGCCAACTCGGTAGCCCAGTAAGGTGTCTTCAACCTGTTTGACTTGCGCTTGCTTTCTCTTTCTCTCTATCTCTTTCTGTCTCTCTCTCTCTCTTTCTCTCTCTCTCTCTCTCTTTCTCTGTCTTTCTCTCTCTTTGTCTTCCCTCTCTCTGTCGGTCTCTCTCTCTCTCTCTCTCTGTCTCTCTCTGTCTCTCTCTCTCTCTCTCTCTCTCGATGATCTATCCCTGTATCTATCTATCCATCTATGAATCAAGTCCGAAGATTTTTAACCCGAAGTAATCTCGCGAACATTTGGTCGCACGGCACACGTGTCCTTGGCTACGGAATCAGGAAACCAGAGAGTTCCAGTGCTCCAGGGCCTTCCAGACGCTTTCCGCGTAGTTGATGCAGGGGACAACGGCGGGAAGCCCAGCCGAGACTTGCGGAGTGTAAGTTGCCAAGCTCGGTAGAAAGACTAAGATGAGACAAATAAGCTTCTCCTCGGCGTTACAACGGACCCCCCCCCTGCCTTGCAGTTTCCGGTTAAGGCTTGGCGGAGGTTTCTTCGGCTTGAGTTTGATCAGCTGGTATTGCTCAGTGCTCCGGGCTTTCTGGTCCGGAATCCTTTGGTCTACATGTTACAAAATGCTCTCATGCCAGCCGCAGCAGCCCCGGCAAAGCATGGGATTTTTTTGGCCTCCCATTAATGTCGCGCAACGATATCAAAGATTATAGCCCCATCGCCATGTTTGCGAAGGTCTAAGGTTGCATGTCTGCAGGGAGTGTGCTTCATGCAGTTTATGTATGTTCGCAGGTGCTTCCTGCATGTCATGCGAGCAGTTTGTTTGCGATGCCTTGGCCGGTCAAACGCATGTCGTCGCACCATCACGCAGGCCACAACCCACAACACCTGCGCCCAGAGCACCAGAGCACGATCTTGTCCCGCAGCAAGTACCGCCCTACCTGAAGCTAATTGAAGCTCGGGTTACCAAGGGTAGCCTTAAAGCTTGCGACTTCCCAACAGTTCTGCACTCTTGTTTTGGGGTGCATTGTGAGGTCGTGGGTTGAATAAATGACTGAGATTTTGGATGCGTCGGATGCATTTATTGATACCTTGATGATGGGAGAGTTTAGGAGTCAAGAGCAGTACACTTATCGCTTGCTTGGGCTCCCTTCAACCGGAGCCCGATATCCTTAAACTGGAAGGCCGAAAAGCTCAAGCCCAAATTTCAGAAACTAGCCCCTGAAACCGTTGAGTCAACAAGCTCTAAGCCCCACATCCAGGGCTGACAATCGGGCGAGCGCACCAGCGGGAACTCCACGAGAAATCGCCGTGCACACAGGGGCCTGGGGGCTATTGGGGGCTTGTGAGGAGGGCTTACGGGGGTGAAGCAAGTTTTGTGCTCAAGGGGGTTTGGGAGATCATGGGTTTTGAATATTAAGATACATGATGAGGTTTCGGGTTATAAAGTTCATGCATGGGTTTGGATGCATTAGAGGGGGATCGTTATGCCGCTAAGACCTCGTCAAGTAGGATTGATTTGTGGATTTTCACGTTTTGCCATTTGTTCTTGGGGCCTCATGCACGGCGCTTTGGATTCCGCCATCCCGGTTTCGGGGTTGGCCCAGGGCAGTTTTGTGATTCTGTCAAGCCTGCTCTGCTACAGTTTTCCGTGGTCGAACCCCCAAAGGAGGGACTTCTAGTTTCCCAAAGCTCCCCAGACTCTGAACGAAAGGATTTCGGTAGCATCATGAGTTGCATCATTCATGCACAAGGCCATTGTCCCACGTAGAGACGTGGAGCGAGGCTGGAAGAATGTTTGAGCAGCAGAAGCACCAGGAACCAGAAGCCTGCGAAGCTACAGTGTCATCATGACGTGATGGAAGCCGACGTGTTGCGGGCATGCGATCGCAATGGAAGGACCTTCAGGACAAGGACTCGTAAACGCAAGACCCCCTCAGTCGAAGAGACCTTGCATGTCCCAGTGGAAGCACAGGCGGGCGAAACTGAGAAAGGGGCTGGAAGACTCGGGTCCCTGAGCATAAGCTCCAAACCCCACGAATCCTGACTCTCAGACATGAAAACACAAAGTTAACAGAAGCCACAGAAGCCACAAGCCCACATCTTGCCTGAGGTTCGTGGAAGGAGTGCTTGGGTCCCTCTGGCCTGGAGATGCTGTTGCCATTGGTATAATTAGGGCCTTACCCCCCCCAAGATGACATCGTCTACTTCGTCAGGCCTTGTAGTATGGGTTGAGCCTTCCGGCTTTTCGGCCGCGGGTCTCAGAGTCCAGCGAGGCTTTCGGTTTTTGGGTTTATACGTTAAACGGAATGCTGGGCTCCAGGCCTGCGGGCTCTGGCATTTGAGGGCTTAAGGCTTAAGGTGTATATGCCCGACAACTGAAAAGGGACATACGTATAAACAGGAATAGAGATACGTACATAATACAAACACAAGTATATATGTACATATGGGAATTCAACAGATATTCGGCTACATAGACATAGCTGCGATTCAAGGGTTTACGGTCTGTGGATTTCTGCTTCGAAGGTTCAACAGAAAAGGGCATCTCACGGCGAAAACCCTGCAAGACCGGAACCGTCAAATCGCTCCTCGGCAACATGTGGGATTTTCCGAAAATTAGGGGTACCTTCTCTTGGGGTCCTTATAATAGGGATCCTGCTATATAGGGTACTATATCAGTGGCCCCCATCTTCGGAAACTCCCATGTCATGACGGGCACGTCGCACTTGTGGCTCCAAGCTCTAACCGCGAGGTCATCGGATCGATACAAGACACAGGTGTGGGGCTAAGGCGTAAGTTTCGGCCCGAGACGCCAGGTACATCAGCCGAGACCACTTCTCCATCAAGTGCCCACTGCATTCGCGGCTTCAGGGCGTTTGGGTCCAGGTGTGTCGGGCTTCGAACTAAAGGGGGACTCTGCATAAAATGTAGGCTGGCTTGCTTGGGCCTTTGCTGCTGGTTGGTCCCTTATTTCACAAAAAAGGCGGTGGGTTTCCGGGAGTGTTTGGGCCTTTGGGTCCTACCGGCGAGTGCGCATGGGATGTCAGTGCCAAGACCAAGACTCCAGCGAAAGGATTCACAATGGGCTGCCTTTTCCAGCGACGTCCCAGCGATTTTGGAAGACTAGAGGAGGTTGCAGTAGAGTAGCGTAAAGTAAAGTTGCGAAGCTAACAGTCGACTTGAGGTGCAGTCGAGATGGAGCTTTCTCGCTGGTTCCGCTCAGCGCGCGCCTCAGTCCGAGACTTTCCTGTGCGAGCCGAACCCTGGACTCTAGACCCCTTAAGTATCCCAAGAAAGACCGCACACGTCCCGTAACGGTGTCTCGTAAACGACGCATTTTGGGACCTCGGTTTCCGAATTCCTTTCGCAAGATCCGTCGATCTTTGAATTTTCAAGCCCGCGATATGTGGCAGCCCCGGACGCTGAATGCTCAAACCTGCAAGTGCCTTCCTCATATGCCCAGCGGACAAACCGCTTCTCGGATCCTTGCGGGCGAAAGAGGGATGTTACAAAAAAGCTGGAATCCCAACAGTCCCTGAACTACACCCACAAACCTGCCCCAAATTGCCCCGAATGCTGAGACCTCAAACGCCAGCAGCCCAAACACTGAAGTCCCTGAAACCAATCGCGAAACCTGAAACCCATTCCTAAAACCCTCAAGCTCCAAGCCTCAAGACCTTCTAAACCCAAAGCCCCAAACAACTTCAAGGTTTAGGAGTTTGGGGTTTAGGGTTTGAGAGGCTGGGGTGATGTGCTGTTGCCTGACATTCCTGCACTTACTTCCCGAATCTTTAACGATCTTGGAGTTGTCGCCACGTGGTCGTTGCATCCTGAAACTTGGCACGACCAGTTGATCAGTTTTTGCAGTCTGGGGTAGCCGTGTGGCACGAGTCCACAGCACAGGCGGCGCCTCGGTTCCTGGAATATGCATAGTCCAGGTGCAGAAGGGTTCAAGAGGAACTCGAGACAGCTCAAGACTCAAGACCTAAACCTAAACCCCAAAACAACCTTAAGGACAACGGTTTAGGAAGCCCTGCTGAACCCTGAAAACCTGAAATCAACAAAGGTCTAGGGCAGGAAAATCTCAAGAATCTCTCGTTGAAAGGTCAGAATCCGATTTGGCTCTCACGGCGCGGAAGGCTCGGCTTGAAGGAGTCTTGCAGTTTTGGGGGAGGGTTTGAGGTTAGGTAAAGCTGTTTTTGCTCTTGGGTGGGGATTTTTTTGGGGTGGGGAGGTCTTCAGAGGAAAAGGCTAACAGAGGGAACTCGGCAGCGTTATACGGTACAGCACGTTAACGTGTTCACCCAAACCTTCAGCCTTTGAATCTTAACCCAAAACGTCGAGGCCCCAAGCCCCGGAGCGTAAGCCCACGAATCTTAATTTCTACACCTCAACCCACTTGAGTTTCCAACTTCGCTCTTAAGGAAGCCCACAAATCCACATTCCACAGCTCAAAGTCCTTCATTCTGAATCTAAGTCTGTACAAGCTAAACCTTGCGGACCCCTCGGCCTTGAATCCCTGCAAAACCTCAAAGACCCAAACCAGCAGCGCAAATGTGAGAGCGAGCATCGGCCTCCTTGTATAAATACTGGTGAGCGTAGATTATTTGATTTGGTATCGTTATGGGTATGGTGGCGCTATTAGTTTAACATCAAATCCGGTCGTCGCAGGCTCCAGCGACTTATGCCAAGAGCTCAGAACAAGCGGTCTAGCAGCAAGTCTCGGGGGTTTGGGTTCGGAACTGAGGGTTCAGGGATTTATGGTTTAGGGTTGAATCTTGACAACGTGGCCTGCTGCAAAAAAAGGGTTGCTTCAACAAAAGCAGAGCACCTTACATTATATCCTGGTGTTTCCTGGCGTCGTGACTCCGTGACACCTGGCACAGAAGGGACTCCTCGGGCTGGTAGAAGCCAGAAGCAGAGAAGACGGTGCAGCAGGACCAAAGGTGATCGAAGGTGATAAGTTCCGGTTGGGAGTAGTAGAAGTAGTAGTAGTAGTAGCAGTAATAGTGGTAGTAGTTAGTAGTTAGGAGTGAGTAGTGAGTAGTTAGTAGAAGTAGTAGTAGAAGTAGTAGTAGTAGTAGTAGTAGTAGCAGTAGTAGTAGCAGTAGTAGTAGTAGTAGCAGCAGTAGTAGTAGTAGCAGTAGTAGTAGTAGTAGCAATAGTAGTACTAGTGTGTCGTAGTAGGAGCAATAGTAATACTAGTAACAATAACAATAGCAATGACTTAAAAAATGCTAATATCACGAATAGTAGGGCAGCAGCAGCAGCTACTACTACTACTACTACTACTACTACTACTACTACTGCTACTGCTACTGCTACTGCTACTGCTACTGCTACTGCTACTGCTACTGCCACTACCACCACTACCACCACTACCACCACTACCACCACTACCACCACTACTACTACTACTACTACTACTACTACTGCTACTACTACCTACTGACATACTACTACTACTACTACTACTACAACAACTACTACTACTACTACTACTACTACTACTACTACCTCATCCCCCCCTGGTGCGACGCCGGTCGCTGAGTTCGTGGATGTACAACATGTTCCATCAGAGCTGTCGCGGTCCAAGATGCCGCGTAGCAAGGACAAGGAACGCTTCAGCAGTGGAAAGTACCATCTCCGCTCGGTGCGATGCAAAGAAGCAAGATGTCATTAGGTTTTGGACATGGATGCTCTCCAAACCTCAATGCGCTAGACCATGGACGTCATTAGGTTTTGGACATGGATGCTCTCCAAACCAAAATGCACTAGACCATGGACGTCATTAGGTTTTGGACATGGATGCTCTCCAAACCAAAATGCGCTAGACCATGGACGTCATTAGGTTTTGGACATGGATGCTCTCCAAACCACAATGCGCTAGACCATGGACGTCATTAGGTTTTGGACATAGATGCTCTCCAAACCAAAATGCGCTAGACCATGGACGTCATTATGTTTTGGACATGGATGCTTTCCAAACCAAAATGCGCTAGACCATGGACGTCATCAGGTTTTGGACATGGATGCTCTCCAAACCAGAATGCGCTAGACCATGGACGTCATTAGGTTTTGGACATGGATGCTCTCCAAACCACAATGAGCTAGACCCTGGACGTCATTAGGTTTTGGACATGGATGCTCTCCAAACCAAAATGCGCTAGACCATGGACGTCATTAGGTTTTGGACATGGATGCTCTCCAAACCAAAATGCGCTAGACCATGGACGTCATTAGGTTTTGGACATGGATGCTCTCCAAACCAAAATGCGCTAGACCATGGACGTCATTAGGTTTTGGACATGGATGCTCTCCAAACCAAAATGCGCTAGACCATGGACGTCATTAGGTTTTGGACATGGATGCTCTCCAAACCAAAATGCGCTAGACCATGGACGTCATTAGGTTTTGGACATGGATGCTCTCCAAACCAAAATGCGCTAGACCATGGACGTCATTAGGTTTTGGACATGGATGCTTTCCAAACCAACGATTTGGATGAACATCATGATCAAAATGAGGCCCAAAAAACTTTGATTCTGATCGCTAGGTTTTGGGCACGAAAATCGAGACACCCAAAAACAGTAAAACATCATGAAATTCGCAAAGACAAGTGCTGTAAATATCAGCATTTTCAGGTGCGAGATTGATGAACAATGTCAGAAAATATGATAAAAATACACGAAACCAGGAACAGTTGCCACTTTCGATAACTGCGGAAAAAAAGTGCTGTAAAACACAGCATTTCCGACCACAGCAAGTCCCAAAAATAAGAGGTCTGGGCGTCGCACCGGGGGGGGATGCGTTACTACTACTACTACTACTACTACTACTACTACTACTACTACTACTACTACTACTACTATGGCTGCTGCTGTCCTCACTACCAGCTCCAACCTCGACGCACAGGGTGGGAGATGCGCCACCTCGCTTGGAAGATGGCGACGCGGTGCTTCTCTTCACAGGACTTTGGGGGTGATGCTTTTGACGGGGAGACGCAGATTATCAGTGGTTTTGGTATTATAGTGATTGGAATTTGAGGCCTAGGCTTGAGGGGCTTCAGGGCTTCGTGGCGTTCATTCAGCGGAAGGTCTGCTAACCTCATGGGATCCGAATCACACATTTTAAAGACCGGAAACCTTATCCCCGAAGATCCAGGGGTACCACATTACCCGTCGCACTGAGCAACTTTGGTCTTCCATTCGCCGTACAGTTAAGACCCTCTCAGCCGCAAAGCTTTGAAGCTTCAGTTCTAGAGTGGGTAGCGCAGGAGCAGAAGACTTGTCGCCCGAAGGTGCGGCCTCTTTTGCCCGTAGGTAGACGCCATGAGGGGCGCGAGGGCGATTGAGAGTTCGCTGGGATTCAGGGTTTTGTTCGGGCTTCGGGGTTTAGGGAAGCAGGTTTTGGCAATCAACAAAGCTGTGCTTCTACATCGGGATCTTTCTTGGCGTTTAGCGCTGTTTTTGATTTGGAACAGAAGTACCTCCTTACCCAGGTCGTGAATATGCTTAGGTTTCAAGGTTTACTGTACTGGTACTAGTACTAGAAATTAGTCTAGTACTGGCGCTAGTTAAACTAGTAACACTACTACTACCACTACCACATACCGGCTACTCTGGCTACGCGGCTACTGACTGCTGATGAATAACACCAGCCCGAAGACAAATACAAAGACCACGGCGCACACCAGCACAAACACCAACACTAACATTAACAGTTATCCCAGCACGAACACTCACAGTAACACGAATACAAATGCTAACACAAGCGCTAATACTAACAATGCGAGCAATTACTTCTGCTGTGCTCTGGGAGTGCTCCAGGTCCTGGCAGCTTTGGTTCCCTTCGGTGGGTCCGGGGCCCGGCTAATGTTGAGCGTCGTACCTTATGAAATTTTGCGGTGACTAACACGTTGGTTATCATCTCGGTTGCGGGGGCCATGAAAGCTCTTTCGGAAAATGGCTCTATAAGGATTGGTGGGCTTCTGACCTTGATGTCATCGGGCCTTTATAGAAGACTCTCCTGAGACCTTCAAACTCGCTTGCAGGTCATATGCAGTTTTGGATGAAGCTACGTTCCAAACCCTGGACCCTAGATCTTCAGGGAGCCGCAAGCCTTTTCAACAAGGAAAATATCTCGCGCTTGCAATTTACAGATCTTACAGGGGTGTTATAATTGTAAGGACCGTTGCATTAGGGTTGCGGACTTAGTTGTCCAGGGCTCAAAACTTTGCGATTTAGGCTCCATGGTTACTTGGTAAGTAGTCTTTGACTTGTGTTCTAATTCGAAGCCTCACTATAGCCGGATGGGAACCAGAAAATGTAGTTCGCAGAAGCTGTAGACACCCACTCGGAACTCCGCAGCTTCCAATCCCGCACCTTGACCCTATCAACCCCTCAGCCAGAGGCCCAGTCTCGAATCCTCAGCCCATCAAAAGCTTTAAAGCTTGAGACCTTCAACCCCGTACCCACAGGTTTTTCGGCTTTGCCGCTGAACGGCAAGGACTTCCCTCTGTTGCTAGGGTAATAATGGAGCTTTTCTACGTAAGGTACATTTAGGTGGGCGGTGTTTCGGGCATTTCGACGCTTCAGGTATCCAAAGGGCTTCGGACGTTTGGATCTGGGCCTTGAGCCTTGGGTGTTTCTTTTTCGGTTCAGAAGCCCTTGAAGGCCCACATCCTAATCGAGCTTCTGAGCAGGAAGTTGCCTACATAGTCTCGAGGGCTCGTCAACCCACCCTACGAACTCCAACGCTCCAATGCATGCCACGTCAAACCTGATGTCTTCTGTCACTTTCTTTCCCGTGTCCAGGCCAGCCCCTCATATGTACGCCCGGAAGCCACGCTGCAAGAGCGCAAGCATCATTGCAAACAGCAAGCGTGCACGGAAGAAATGGATTGCAGCGGTGGTCCTGTCGAGCCCCCACAGGCTTCGGATATGCTGTCTGCCCTCACAGACCGATTTGTTTCGAACATGGGCTTGAGACCATGCTGGTCGGACAGGTTCCAGGCGTCATTACGAACGTGCGGTTGTCTTGAACCTGAGCTCCGAGTTCCACCAAGCCCGATCTCCAAAAGCTGCCAGAGCACGCAGAGTCTCTACTCCAGCAAATGTAAGCAGCCAACAGACAGGTTCAACGACACTTAAATCCTCTGGCAGGAGAATTGGAGTTAGCCAGCTCTTCACGCAGCTCCGGGGAAATGCATAAAGGTTAATGAGCTCAGGTAGGTCATTCCCTTCCGTGGTACTTTGAATCTCTCAAGCGTGTTGTTTTCTGCCAGGGAACTCAGCCACTAGGATTTCTTGGGGTGCATTGATATTTTTGAGCTTATTGCGCTTCGGATGAGCCGAGCTTGATCAAAGTTGGGTACCCTTCCACCCTGAACTCTAAAGCTGCACACCCTGTTGCCTAAGACGTAGGTTCCAGGGCTCACAGCGCGATTCGGTGTGAAAGCTTAGCTTGACGTCTGCCCCCAATGTGCTTCACGGTGCATAAGTTGTACTTGCGCGACCCCCCTTAACCCGACGAACGATAGACTGAACGCCACAAGCCGCAAATCCGCAGCCCTCAACCACCTGCTCTGTACTCTGAATGGTTTAGAAGCTTTAGACGAGATTCCCACCATGGAAGTTTCAGTTTGCGGTGCTTCCATGTGAGGCCCCGCCTGCACGATACTGGGTTCCTGTCAAGATAGTTCAATATTGGGTTTCGTAAGGCTTTCATAGGCCCAGGCTTAGATCTGAGTTTGAGGGGCGCGGAGTTTCCGTAAGGGTTCTACCATTCCTTCACAAGGAGCTCCGGAGGGTATGAGTCTTACTTTTGCAGTTCTCGATGATTCTTCTTGCCTACTACATATGTTATATATATATATCTCTCTCTCTCTCTCTTCAACGGAATCCTTTAACAGGAACCCAAGGCGATTCGCTTCGAATCAGAGCGTTGCCAATCCACAGGCGGAAAAGCAGGTTCCGGGACGTTGGCTTGGGTTTGTGCCCGTCTAAGCTGTCGTACAAGCAAGACCCAATGGTATTCTGACTGTTGTGTTCAGCGCTTTTATGTGTGCTTGCAGTTATGTATGGAAACACAAGCGCGCAAACACATATCACATACATATATGCACACACTTATAGCCTAAATGTGTGAGTGCTTATTCACTTGCTAATTTATGTGTTTCATTATTTATGTTTTTACGTCGTTAGTTGGTTTGCTAGTTAGTTAGTTGGTGTGCTAGTTAGTTAGTTGGTTGGTTAGTTAGTTAGGTAGTTATCTATGTATTTATTTACTTGTACGCTTACGTAGTTGTTTACGACTTTATGTGAGTTGTTCTATGTGTTTGGGGTTTTTCGTGTCGGTTTGTGGTTCAGGTAGGGTTTCGTCAGTGCAGGTAGACGGATTGTACTTGGGGCAGAGTGTTGGGAACGGTACCTCGTTAGACCGTAGCCACCAGACGAAAGCTTTTCTTTCTGAAAGTAAGGTTCTGTTCTGCCATGTTCCCAAGGGAAACCATAACACACCTCACACTCCGAATCCTATCACCGGGCTAGAGGAGAAGATCCCAAACCCCAAACCCGAAGCCCTACTGTAAATCGTGGTCGAAAATGGCTACGGCAGCCTCTTGGCTCCAGCACTTAGCCGAGATCTTCTTTAAGGCCGCCTTTCAACACCTAAAGGCCGCCGCCTTCATATGAACAGATGATGTCCGTGCCTGGCAGCAGCTGTGCATTGTTCCCTGGCCGAGTTCGTTCTCGATGTAGGAGCTCCACGCACGGGCACGCAAAGCATGTGGACAGGCTTGAAGACGCTTGGCCTCAACACCTTGTGGAGCGGATTCTATGCTGGCTTTCGCGCCCCCTTCTGTGCCTACCTCATGGAGAAAGACACCCCTTACCCAGCAGAGTTGCTTCAAGGGTTTGAAGGAGCCATGGACGAGCCGTTCCACCTCCTCTACGAGGAAGTTTTGCGCACAATCCCAGATGCAAAGTTTGTGTACACTCTTGCGGATCCCAACACTTGGTATGACAGCTACAGCAGATTCTACGATCACCTCCCTCATGAGTATTACGGTCCTGTGGACTGCCACGCTCCCCCGGCTGTCCATGTCAAAGAGCCCATGAATCGCATGGTGGCATTGCAAGCAAAGGCCGGGCAGGATCCGCCGAGGAATCCCAATGACGTCGACAACCGGGGTTTGGGGCAGAGTATTGGGAATGTAACTCCGTCCACGCATGGGGCTGCCGTTTTGAGAACCTGGACGATCGCGACGATCCAGAGATCCGAGAGCGATGTTTGAAAGGATTTCAGCAACACAAAGAAAAGGTCTTCCGTACCATTCCCAAAGAGCGCCTCCTCGTCTTCAACCTCTCGGATTGCTGGACACCTTTGTGCGACTTCTTGGGCAAGCCCGTTCCAGACGAAGCATTTCCACATGTGGACCGTTTCGAGTTGTCCCAACGGTGGCACCCACCACGGGGGTGCCCCTCGTGCAGCGTCACGCTGAGTGCATACGCCGCAAAGACGAGCTCTGATGTGGAAAGCCTCAGTGATTACACCACAACTACAGCGAGCAAGGCCCAGTGGCTGTGGATGACGCGCAAGGCAGACAGTTGCGCACGCTTTGTCTGAACGGGCTGAGCTGAGACCGAAACGCATCCGTACCGTACAGTCTTCGTTTCACGCCTGTGATGCACATCCACTTGGAGAACCTACATAACGTTCTCTGTTGGATTCCTCCTCTGGGAGCCTGGGTTTATACATAACATAGTCTAGGGCTAGGCTCTGGGAGTAGAGTTTGCAGAGAGTTTGCTTGACGCCTGTGAGCTGTGCCTGGAAGTAGCTTGTAAACTAACTCTAGCTTTGTTGTTAGAATATCGCAGCTCGCGGGTCATCAGCACCGACTGGTAAGCCAAAGACCTCATCCGGCAAGTTAGCCTTCCCCAAACGCGTAGATAATCCTCGGCCTCAAGCCCTGAACAGAGATCAGAGTTGAGACTTTAGCCTTCGGACCAGCCACCTGAACTTCTGAGTCTTTGGCGCACTCGCTCAAAGCTACAGCTTGTTAAGTCCCAAACTTTGCCTGTTCAGCTGCTAAGACCTCTGCCTAGTATGGTCGCCTGGGGATTCAGGACTTAAGACTTCGGCTTTCGCTTGTACGCTTTATGGAACTTCAGGGCTTCTTGAGGTCTATAGGATCTCCAGCGACACTGGCTACTGGGAGGCACTTCTTCATCTGGATCCGAGGTCTCTGCGGCAAATCCGCATCTTCGATCGGTATTAGAAACTAAGGGGCCATTCCCAGATCCCTGATGAAACGGACCTTGTTGTTTAGTTGTTCTCAATTGGGGGCTGAATTATGAGGGGCCTTGTCGGACATTCGAGTACAACACCCCGAACATGCCAATTCATTTGTTGTGTTCAGGGTGTTCGCAGGAGGGTCTCGACTTGCTTTGCTTTCATTTTGGGATTTACCGAACGCATTGCCCTACAACCCTCAAGCCCCAAACCCTCAAGCCTTGTACACAGACACCCTCACGCCACCTTGGAACCCGATGCCCGAAACCCAAAGCTCGAACCCTGACTAAGCCTCAGCCCCTAAATTTGTAATTAACATTCAGGGTTTTGCTTGATAGGAAAGGGCTTCGTTGTGGGGCCCTGAGAGTACGACCTCCTTAAGCCTTCACGCCCTTCATAACCCGTGGTAAGACCTAAAGGAAACTTTTCTAGACCTTCAGATGACCCAAGCAATAGCTCTTGTTCACACCTTGTATATGCCTCATTATAAGACCTTCAGCACCCATTGGAACCGTGGCGACCCGACGGCCGCAGCCGTTTCCTACCACCCATGCGGAGTGGGCGGGGAGAACCATGGCCTCGGCCATTGGGGAGGAAGGCGGGTTTGCGGCTTTATAGGGGAAACCCTGAATCCGCCTTTTCTCGATAGGCAGGTTGCTATTCTTATACTTGGCTGCACGGTATGGGCAGCTCACTCATCAGACCTCGATTGTCCGAGTGTGAGCGCCGAGACTCCCAACCCCGAAAAACTAAACCCCCAAGCCCCAAGCCCGTGCTTGCTAAGCAGGAGGGAAAAACCCCAAACTCCATCCCAGCGCCCTAAACCCGATTCCTCAGCACTGAGCTTGGAGGCTCAGTGGGCTGAGTATCTATAGGAGCCCAAAAAAAAATCTATTGGCTGCCAGTACTATTACTGAGGTCTCCTTTTTGTTAAGTATACTATAATGTACCTTAAAACCCTATTCTAGTTGCTGGAGTTGGCAGCTTAACATCACCAGTGTAAGCCCTAAGCCAAGCAACGCTTGGCGGCGAGGCCTCGAGGCCTCCACTGAGCCCCCGACGCTGCGGAGAAATTCGCAGGCCGCTTCTTGTTGGGGTCTGGTCTTCGCTTTCGGGCCATATGATCGATCCTGGTAAGAACAGAAGGATCTTGCTATGCCTGTCGCTACTCTTACGCATCGTCTCATGATTTTGGTTACGTCCATAGATTCATACTTAGCAACCGTGGAATATGTGTTGTTGTCTGCTTAGTCCTATTCGTGCTACGGATCAGATGCGTGATGATCTAACTTGATTATGAACAGAACTATTCACTGGCTGTTGTTTTTAGCGTTGTCTGTTTAACAACTGCTCTCACTATGCAGCCTGATAACTTTGCTGCTCCGAATGTCCATTGTTGTCTGCGTGCATGCATACATGCATACACGCACGCGTGCATGCATGTGCATGTTTGGGTATGTTTTGCCATGTCATGTTATGTCATTTTCTGCTCTGCTCTCTTGGGGTGTTTTTTGGGGGCATCCAGTGTTTTGATGTCGTTGTGGCAGCTGCTCTGAAACATAAACACTTCTGATGCGACTGGCATCGGACAGGCTGCGAAAGAGATGCTTAACGCCTGGGGCCTAATGGCTTCGAGCCCCAAAGCCTTGAATCATAGACCTGCAACCAGCTTGGGGTCAAATTGATCTAAACCCTTTTAAGGGGCCTTCAAAGAAAACGCTCGGAAACCCTTGTCCAAAGAATTCTAGCAGCATAAAAGCAAAGCCTCAGAAGTGACCTGTACGCTCGCTCTCCCAAGCCTCTCAGAAACCCTTGAAAAGGTTACCTGGACTTCTGATAAGGTGTTGCAGGTCTGCAACCTTAAGCCCCCAGACCACCCTCAACCCTCAAACCCCAGAGATTTTCCCCAAACCGTACCTCCCGGCTCTAAACATCCCCCAACCCTGCAGCCCTAAGCCTTCCAAACGGCCCTACACCCCATTCTTGCTTGGCACAGTCCGAGAGCGTCAAAACCGAAAAAATCAGACTTTCCTGCCTGAACCCCCCCGCCCCGCCCCGGAACCCTAAAGGGCCCCAGGCCCTAAACCCTATTCTTCCGAAACTCCAGGGCTCTTCTGGCCTAAGCTCACCGCTCAACTCCCCGGGCACTTCCAAACGGAAACCCAGGAGCTGGGGAAGTTTGGGTTTCACGGCATTTATTCGAAAGATTCTTGAATTAAGACGTGGAATAAATGCTTGAAATTCTCATGACGATTAGAAAAAGAGTAGTAGTAAGTGAGAAGGTCTTGATCAGTGTTCTTGGGGTAGTGTCAGGCTTTCGGGACTGTGTGGCTTAGAGTTGAGTATGGTGCTGGGGTTTGTGGCTTTCTGAGGTGCAGCCTCCACATGTTGACGAGTTTAGATATCGGGATAGAAGAGGTTGCTAGGGTTTGGCAAGACTGTCAGAAGAGCACTTCACAAGGTAAGCTCTGACCGACTCTAACCCCAAACTACAACGGGCCAGTAGCGAATGGACTTGAGCTCGTGGTTCAGTATCCAGTCTTTCGGGCTGAGGGTTTGGGATTCAAAGTTTAGGGCAAGCAGGTGATTTGTTGCTTAGCTGACAAAGGGTGGCAGACGGTGTTCCGCAGATGCGAAACCTTAACCCGACCTAAACTCGAAGACATGCTTTCAAAACCCGATACTTGAATCCCCAAACAATCACCCTCAAGCCCTAAACCTCAAAACTCAAACGTAAACCACACCCAGCAAGCCCGACAGTCTCAAAAGCTGTATATGAACGTCATACCGATACCCCTGGACCTGAAATTCTGCTTTGCTGCGGTGCCGCTGCTTTGGCTCAAGTTGAGGCTCGCAACCGAAGCCCCAGATTCGAGCGGAACACGGGGGCATGCCACCCACAGCTTCCTTCTTTTCATCCGAGGTTTGACCCCAGTGTCTTGACATAGAATCTCCAAGCCCATGGATCCAGCACCATGTGCCCCTGAATCCCTAGGGTCCCTAGACCTTCCAAAAGCAGGGCAGAAGCCATGAACGTGGGATTGGACCGCCGTGCTCGCCAGGTCTGGCTAGAGAGCGGTCTGGACTTCAGGGCAGAAGCAGCAGCAAAGAGTTACTTCCACGAGCAATTGCTCAGCACACTCATAGTGGGGCTATTCAGGCGTCTAGTCATATTAGAGCCTGGGGGAAGTCTCCACAGTGGACGTTGTGCTTCGGCTAGCCGGATACTTGCCCGGAGTGCAAGATGAGTTCGCTTTTCTTGGTGTCTGAAACTCTTGTGATAAGCTTGTGTTTGATGTGTTTGTTATGCACTTGTTGATGAAGTCTGATTGGAATTTCTTGTTGGTCCTTTCTTGAGAGAGAGAGATAGAGAGAGAGAGAGAGAGAGAGAGAGAGAGAGAGAGAGAGAGAGAGAGAGAAACCTGGTCCAATATACTTGTGTTTGTCACCCTGGGGGACTCCATGCCTTCTCACGCCCTACCGAAAGCCCCGTAACAAACGGGGGGCCCAAGAGGCCGGGGGGCCTGACCCGCCCCTTAAGCCCTGCAGAAGAAGAAACCTAGAGATTCTAGGTCCTTTGTTGTTTGTGTATTTTACTGGGTGTTTACAGTCGTTTCCAAGTCTTCATACTGGAGATCCATGAAGCCATGCTGTCGTGACGACCCAATCTCCGAATAAGTCCGTAGTTTACGTGGAGATATGTGGAGATTCTAAGCCACAACTTCAGGCCAAAGCGATGACATCGGCCCACGTCCGTACCTGGCAGAAGCCGAATGGGGGCAGCGCGTCTGAGCGGTTCAGCGTTCAGGGCGGTGGTCGCGGGTGCGCGGTCCTCAACCTTTTACAATCGCTAAACCTAAACCCTAAATCGCAGCATGAACTTGAGGATTGTTGGTTTGTGGTGTTACAGAGAAAGCTGGCAAAACGGAAGGTAAGCTAAGCTGCCCAGCACTCCCAACTCCCCAAGCCTGGAACCCCCCCGCTCAGCACACCGATGCAGCCTTGAAAGACCCCAAACGGCCCGACGACACTTGGAGACCGATTAGAGTGCAGGGGTGAAGAGGACCTGACCCTAAATCCTAGACCCTGAACCAAGCGGCCGAACCGAGTCGAGTTGACGGTCTTTGAAGCCACCCGCCTGGTCGCAAACTGCACGGACTGGCAAGTGGTAATGGGCGCTTTGCAAAGGCACCTGCGTTGTGACGTAGGGCTGAAGATGCACAGTGCCTTAAGAAGCGACTCAATGCCTGTTGATATGTTCTGCGAAGTTAGTGAGGAAGACTAAGGTATCTCAGATGTTCGTCCAAGACAAGGAGTTATGTCTATATTGCAATCCACGACAGGCTTCGTCTTCATTCCGTGGCCCTGGACGTCGTTTGCCTCACTGCAGCTTGCAAGGCGCTGCAGCAAGCCTTGCAATGGCAGCGCGCACTCAGCTTGTGGCTGTGCTGAAACGGTACGATGTATCATTAGGTCATTAAGGGCTTTGGGATTTAAGGGTTTCGAGATGTTTCGAGTACGTGCTCACGAGAGGACAAGCTCCTGCTTGAAGCATTAGGGCCCCTCCATGCCCTCAACAATCCTGAACATTGTTAAAAGTGCCGAAGCTGCAAAAATCCAAACACTTGCAACTTGGAACCCCGAACCCTGAAGCCCTGCAAAACACCCCTATTCAACCCTTTTGAAACTCCACCTATAGATTCGACACGACCTGAGCGAACAGGGCGAACTTCAGAAGGTTCCATGGAGCTGCTGCCCTGGCCCTGGCAGCCAACGAGCGGACTTACGGTGTGGCGCTGGCGGCCTGCGCCGGTTCTGAAAGGGGCTGGAAGGACTTTGGAGTTTAGGCCGTGTAATGTTTGCACACTGAGTTGTGGGTCGCGCAAGTCGAGCTGGGCGGTAGGGGCAGCAGTCAAGTCCTTTGTGAATAAAGGGGTTGACACAAGTCGAAGCTCCCAATGTGGTAGCATGTGCACCTGCAGACAGTCAGGCCCTCTTTTGTGGAGAGATGTGTTAGAGGTTGGTCTCCCCATCTTGCGCAAGGATGCGGTGCATCTGTTTGGGTGCATGCCAAGTGTGCGCCTGGAGCAGAATTCCTTCCTGCAGTCCGCAGCTGTCACTGCATTGGTGCCTGGGAGATAATAAGAGTGCGCCAGTATAGGACGGGCCTGAGTACTCGGCTGAACATGATTTCTGGCAATGTTGCCGCACGGGCCAAAAGTCAGGATGTCTGAGCGAATACGAGAACGGCCTTCCCTCCACCTTCCAAGCACTTCCGTCACGGCAAGCATTTTCCCTTCGAAGACCCGCGGCTGTCTAAGCAAAAGTTCTGAAACACCCAGGGACTCCCCGAACCCCAAAGCTCAAACTCGCAAACCCGACCATGTCAATCCTCCGGCATGACACGGTAACCGTGAAACGGGTAGTGACCCCATGGAGGAGCCCCCTCTCATGGGTCCATCCACGCCTGCAAACGATGACAGATATATTGCGGCAACAACAGCAGCCAGCGCGACGACGACGACTAGTACTAAGAGATCGGTGGCGGCAGTTGGGAAGGATCTTGCGGAAGTATGCCGAAGATCAACATTCGGGGAGCATCCATGCAGGGAAGTGATATAATCAAGCTCAAAATCCTTCCTCCTCACAAGGATGCCGCGCTGCATGGATGGTCGGCTGCGCTGTCCTTGATGGTGCAATTGGCAGGCAGCCCGGACTTATAAGAATTCAAGTCAATTTTGCGGGTCAGGGGTTTTGAGTATTTTGGGATTCAGCATTCAGGCCTTGCATCCCCAATTCCATTCCGTGCAGTGGTAACGGTACAATTCTCAAGAGAAGTTGTCGGTGTGGCTGTTGCTAAGCGCTAGGCCCTGAGCCGTAGGCAGCCTCTGCTAAAGTTTAACTCCTGTTGTATCGGCATGTGCCAAGTCTTTGCAGTTGTCCAAAGCGGAGCTCCGTGATTTCGAATCTTTTGGCCGATTTAGCTGCTTGCATCGCTTTTCTCGGTTGTAGCATTTCCTGGGCCTTGGAGTGTGTGTTTCAGGCCGCGGCACCCCAAGCAACATTGTGGCAAGCAATGCGGTGTTCAGCACCTGTGCACAGCATTGGCCTGTGACGCTATCGCTGCTGCCACTGTGATTGAGTTATTTCATTTCTTCACTTGGGCCCGAAGAAACTTTGGGAAAGTCATTTGAAACGACAACAGTTGAAACAATGAACATTTTTGACTGTAATCCCTATGTATGTCTGAGCCAAGCCTCGTCTACTTTCTCAGACGGCTTTTGAAGGCCCCTCTACAGTTTGATGAACGCATCCGTTGTGTGACATGCGGGAGTTCCAACGATACTCTCGAAATAGTGCAAGGGATACAAGGGATACTGTACCAACAAGGGACCCTAATTTCCAGATCACGCCATGTGGTCGTTGCAGTCGAGTGCTGGCTAATGCTGGCTACATGCAGCCGATGTGAATGAAGACCAGGGTAGGCCTTGGGACCTTTTGAGTTATCCTAAAATGGTCGTGTTCAAGCTTGTGGCTGGAAGGCTGTTCAAAACCAGGCTGTTCCAGACTCTTCGGCGACATTGTTCCGGGAGCTGTTGCGAGATGGTGAGTCACGAGACTAGACGAAGGATCAACGGCGAGCTCGAGGTGATTCTTGAGAACTTCAAGACCCACAAACCCTCAAACCGAGACCTTAAACCCTCAGAACCCCTGAGCTTTCGAAGCCCAGAAAACCCGACACTTTGACCTGAGGCGCTGGGTGCGGGGACGAAGTCTCCAAGCAGATGCATTTACTTCGAACTCAGTCCTGGCAGCCTTGGGCGGGAGTAGCTTTGCAAAGTCTTGCAGATGTTTTTGCAAGTTTTAGGTACGTGACTGCCGCAAGTGGTCTCTTCTTTAACCCACTGTTTCCTGCTCGTGATATGCTACTTTCAACTTGTTGTTGGGGTGCGAGACGGTCGTGTTTGGGAACTTCTTCAATCAAGATTCCTTGGGGGCTTCCCCTTTAGTCGATGAGTATCAAATTCGCATTGGTGCAGCGGGATATTCGGGGCCACCCGAAACACCTTTATCAAGACAACCATAGGGGTACACCATCAGGTAGCCAGTGGCATCGCAGCCTCTCTGCAGTCGGCGGGATGTCACGAAAGAGCCTTCCATTTCAGCAGGCGACGGCTCCTGCACTTCGGGGACAATGTGGGATATTTGGGGTCAAGGGGGTTATCCATGACCTGCTGTAAGAAGCAGATGCCGGAGGCGCGATGACGGGAGCGCAAACAGCGCACCTTGCATGGACCAATGATTCGACTTTCCTGGTCTGCCACGATTACACTACTGCCCGAAACTTCCTAGAATAGTGCTAGAATCCCTTAGAACAAGAGGCAGGAGAAAGCCTTCGAGCTGTAAAGCTGTGCACAGGTGACCTTCAACTCGGCCATTGCCTCCTGCCGCGCCGGCCACTGGGCGACGGCCCTCTGGCTGCTGGGCTCGAGCATCAAGGCCGCGGTATGCAAATATGATTCTCGTGTAAGCTAATGATATTGTGGTTTCTCGAACTGGTTCAAACTAGGCGAGAATAGTTGAGATTGCTGTTCCGGCGCTTGTTGGGCATTCACGATTTCGGGAATTTGCTGGGAATCAGGTGTATTTTGCATGTCTCCCTGCCGTGGGCGCTTGCCAAAATAAAACTTGGACTTTCGGTAGTTTGCACTGTCGGTGTTTTTCTGGCTTTGCGAATGTATATAATAGTCTCAGATATTTGTGGACCCCAACATAGATCCCGATAGCAGGATCCCTCGCATCCGCTCTTCGAAACCCATTCTACAAGGTCGTACACGGTTTTCTACGTTCCTATTTGCGATCTCTTTCATTGGGTTTCAGGTGCTCCTGTCGCGCTTCTGGTAGATGGGCGGCGTTTGTCTTCATTGCGTATCTGGTCTTGCTGCATATGCTCTGGTAGCTATCTCAGGGACACGTGACGGGACTGAGTTCCGTTACAGTGATCCTTTTTTCCTCTGTTGCTTTCGTGACTTCTGATTGCTATTGGCGACTTCTGTAGCATTTTGTGGCAACGTTTTTTCTGAAACTTTCTGCGTGCATCAGCAGTCACACGTACCAACTCAGAATGTCGTGTAAGGGGTGTTGGTCCAGCCCACAGGGAACGCTAACCGAAGTGCCTACCCGATTTGGTAGCTGCTCTCGTGAACTGAACCACGCCAGGCCAGCGTTGTCACCTACAGCGCATGCGTCAGCGCGTGCGAGAAGAGCTACAAGTGGCAGCTTCCGTGTTCTCTCCTCTTCTCCTTGCATCCCAGCTGAGCACCATACATTCTGAGCGTTCTTGAGTGTGGATAGTTGCTGAGATGATGCTGCAGATGCTGCTGGTGATGGTGACAGCATCGCCACCACATCATCATCATCGTCGCCGTGACCATCTTGATTGTAGGTATGAGCTTATTCGCTTAAGAGGGATGGTGGCATGTTGGTTTGGTAATGAATTGCAATGTCGCTGTTTGTATGCACAGTTCTTTCCTGCACATATGCCTTGTTTTCGTATCATTGCCAGGTCTTGTTTTCTGTTTTCTTCACGGGACGAAATAGACGACTGTATCGGTAGCTGGGAACCTGTCATGTTTGTGTGCACTCGGCGCGCTTGGTTCACTCAAAACTCCCCCAGCGCATCTGACCCCCAAACCATAATATTGTCGTTCCGACGAGGTGCCAACACGGCTTGGTTCCGAATGCCGTTGCCGAGGGCACTGTGCTGCAGGCTTGTCAGCTAGAGGGGTTGGAGTAGACACTGAGAGTCGTAATCTTCAACGTATATAAACATAAAAGCAGTATGCCGGCGTAGACCCCAAACAGAGAGGAGGGCCAGAAGAGGCCAAAGGCGGCCAGAAGAGGCCGACGAAAAATCACCGCACTTCCGGGGACCAAAAATAAAAAGGTCGTGGGAACTTAAGTGGCCCCCCGAAGAGGCCAGAACACGCCAGACCAAACGATGCTGCTGATTCATTGGAGCGGGCCCCCAGAGGAGGCCGGAAGTCGCGCGAAACCACAGCGGGAGGGTTGAAACGCGAGAAACTTCGCGCGAAACCACAGCCGAAGCGTCGAAACGCAGCGGAATTCGCGCGAAATCACAGCGGGAGCGTCAAAACGAAGGTCGCGCCCCACCGTGTGCGCCGTCGCGGTCCGCAACCTAAGCCGGCCCCCAGAAGAGGCCAGAGGAGGCCGGAAGTCGCGCGAAACCACAGCGGGAGCATTGGAACGCAAGGGAATTCGCGCGCAACCACAGCAAGAGCCTCTAAACGCAGCGGAATTCCCGCGAAACCACAGCGGGAGCGTCGAAACGAAGCGGCCCGCAACCAATATCTCTTCCCTGAACGTAAGAACCCCATTGTGCAAGCAGTGTTTGAGGAATAATTATGGTGATTGCTTTAGCAGAGTGTACTTAGGTTACATAGGTACTCACATGCCTAATCTCATTGTCGTAAATTCCCCGTATCTGCTTGTCGTCGCATGTGCCTATACTTCTTAACGGTCTACCTTACTATAGCATACCCTGATGCTAGTTCAGGATGCAGGGGCTTGGAGTTCTGGATGCGTGGGGGGGGGGGGGGTGCTGGCTGCCCTCGTGATGCGCACGTCGGCGTTTTTTCTCCACCCACAAATCAGAGGCCACCTAGCTTCATCTAGCCTGAGGAGTTCAGAAAGACCAAGTGCCGGCAGAACTAGAGCTTTGTTTTGGGAGATGGATTCAACCATATTTGCTTCAAAACGATGTTGCATTACATATCTGACTACAATAACTACCTCAAGGGCCTGGCAAAGACCCCCCCAACATCAGACGCATGGCCTACACCCGCATTACGTTGAAGGCAGAAAAGGACATCTATACCGGACCGCATTTTGCGTAGCCTTGTCGAAAGGGGTGCGACGCTGGTATGCACTAGAGGACCTTCCAAAAGCAGCCTCAACTCTGCGCAGTCAGCTTCTATAAAGGCCCACAACAGCCCGAACACGTCCAGTCTCTGAGCCAGAAGTTGAACTTCAAAGCTTGAGAGAAGCAGGCTCTGACCTGGGCAGCACAGTGGCGGCGAACTCTTGCAGCTCTGCAGGCAGCGCAAAGCCACTGCAAACGGTATGTCGGTGTATGTATGTGTGTAGTATATATGCTCATATTTATATACACTTACACAGACGTAGATGCTTCCACATGTTTATACATATGTGTGTATATATATATATATATATAGACTCGCCATGCGGGAGCCAAAAATATACATATACATATACATATATACATACACGCCTAGAAACGGGTGTATATACATAGTACATACATCAGGATGCACACTTGCAGGTTTTGCAGGTATGTGCACATCACATTAGTATCTGCATATAGAGTTTGGCAGCTATGATACACTCCAAATATCGACATCTTGAAGCCTGCTTATTATATCAAGGCGGTATTGTTTCAGATGCGGCCTTCGTGAACCCGGCGCTGTAAACCAAAACTCCAAAACCCGACGCATCCCGACGCTTTGTCCTATCCCTTTAAAGCCCGCAGCACCGAATCTAGAGCCCGAACCCTCAAACCCTGCAAAGCAACATCTAACCCTTAGTTCGAAGGCGGCCACCCCAAGCGCCCCGGCGTTTAACGCGGTACTTCGGTCGCTCGGCGCTGCCTGGGAACGTGGGCTGGCGCAGCTTGAGCAGCGTCTCGGTCTCGGATCGCCTTAGAAGTTTCGCACAGCCTGAAGAATGAGGAGATTGGGCCTCCCTTTTGGGTACGTTTGCGTTAAGTTCATGCTAAAGAACCTTCAGCAGGAGTTTCGGGAGCTGGATGTGCAGAGTTTTAGAGTCTAGTTAGCTTTCAGGCCGGGGGTCTCGGTTCAGGGGGTTGGGATTGAGGGCTCAGGGTTCCGTGTGTTGTTGCGTGAATTCAGGGTTTGTTATTAATTCTGCGGGTAGCAAAGTGGCAAGATATGCTTGCCATCATGTGGATGGCAGTTGACCGAAATTGAGCTATAGCACAAGAAGATAGTTGTGACCTGGGCTGACCTGACAACAGACTTCCTATGACCTACGGGCCATCCTTGTGCAGATGAAGTGATGATGCCGCAGATGCTCATGTTGACTCTTCTGGTAATGATGACGATGGCCCAGAGATTTTGCGATGATGGTGCTCATGAGCGGTGCCGATGCCGATGATGATCATGACGGTGATGATGATGATGATGACGATGATGGTGCTGCTGCTGAAGCTGGTGCTGGCGTGGGTGCGAGTGTGGCCGCGGCTGCTGCTGCTGCTGCTGCTGCAGCTGCTGCCGGATGACACTGACGGCAAATGGTGGTCTGGACAGTCTTCATGACTTTGGTGGTGTTGTGACAGTGACATGACGATGTATGTAGTAATGACGCCAGCTATGATTTCAAGAAGATCGACATGCTTATGATGAAGGTCATGCGTATCCGGAGGTCCTGCTTTCAGAAGAAACGGACTACAATCGTTGACCTGATTTTCCGCCCTTTGGCGCAAGCCTTCCGCCTAGATCGCGGATATCCAAAGCCCATCACAGGATGATACTGCACCGCCAACAACCGGACGTTTGCAGTACCAACCAGCTGCTTGGAAGGCAACTGAGCGTGGAGCCTGACAAGCAGTGAATGCGTTTGCACCTTGTCATCCGCCTGCTGTTTGCCCGGTGGCGAATCGGCAGCTGTATCAGATTTTGTTCAATCGTCATCACTAACCTCATTCCGCAGGTGGAAGTTAGGGAGCGTGGCTCCATTTTGTAAACGTATAGCTTCATCATTATGTTTTTTGAAAGCATGTGTTGGAAGTTTGACCAGAATCACCACACACTGTCCCCGAGACGGACCCCCCAACCAAAAACCCTGCTTTCGTCTCCTATTGTTACTCTGTACTTCATAGGTGCTTTCCCATGTGCAATTACCACCCAAAATGAATGGTTATCCAGCGTTCACTTGGCACTCAGACACCTCGCCCGGATTGCCCAAGCTGTGAGAGTCGAAACCCTGACATCAGCTACTGGAGCTACGCAATCCCGAAGACATGTGACACGGGTGTAAAAGAGATAGTTGCAAATCATGAATCAAATTGTACCTCAACTTCCCTCGCAGCTGCACTAAGACCTTCCAGGCGAGGAAGGGCTGCTTCAATAGCTGAGCCCAAGTCAACAGCAGGTTTAAGGTTCAGGATTTTGGAGGTGTAGCGTTTTCGAGTTGAAATTGTAGAGGTGGAGGGTCCAGACATTTTGATTTTGGGCTTGTGCTGGTACAAGCCCGGAACCCAGATCCTTGGCCTGAACCCACAGTAAGACGCCAGGGCTTAACCCCAAATCCCTAAACTTCAAGCTTCCGGTTGGGAGCCGACCCAGGCAGGCATACAAAGAGACCGTCGCCCCAACTTAAACCCAAAAGCAGCTTTAAACCCTATTTGTGCAAACCCTACGCGGTAAGCACGCCCATTTCTGTGAACCTCTAAGAGGCGAAAACACAAGGTAATGTTGCAAAGCGTCGCGCCCCCCCCCCCCCCCCCCCCCACCCTCCGCCCAAATCCCCCGCCGTACGCAAAGCAAGTTTCGAGGCTCCTGGCCTCCTGCCAGTCAGCTGGGGCCTGGCACGGCGCGCTGGCCATCTTAGAGGCCGAGGCCCCGACACGAGCAGCGCAGTAGCAAGAGTGTAGAATCCTGAATCAAGGTACCAATTCTATTCCTCAGGGTTCCGATTAATTGTAGGTTTAGTATATACCCAAAGCCTGGGGGTTTGATAAGAGTTTTGTAAGGCTGCTGATACATGTGCAGTATGGGTATCGGGTTTGAGAGTTAGGATGATCTAGACGTTTTTTGTCTCGCATTTTTCTGCCGAGACCAGGCTCTACCTTCGTCACGCCGATACTGCGAAGCAGTCGGGGTAAGCTTGTGTAGCCTTATGCTCTATGCTCGATTTGCTGTAAATCTGGTCTTCGATAAACCTAAGCGAAGTCTAAAAGTTCTTGAGAGGTTTTGTAGGGTTGAGGACCTTGGCTTTTAGGGGTCAAGGGCCCAGGGCTATCACGGTTTGACGTTCGGGGTTCAGGAAAGAAAGCCAAATGCTTGACATGTCGATATCGCAATTGAAATCAAGCAAAGCTCCTTAATTTAAGAAGAAGAAGAAGCCAGCAAAAGCCGGACCTGTTGCATAATAGGCCTTACTCGGCCTTTTGGGTCGATTTATCCGGGGCGAATTTTGAACCACAGAACCTTTGCAGATTCTGTAATACCCGTCACTAAAGTTGTAGAGCTCCGAATCGGCTTTACATGATAGATGGTGGCAACCTGTGGATCAGGGTTTAGGGTTTAGGTACAAGTCTGTGCTTTGTGATAATTGATGCAACAACTAGTTCTCCATAATTTCTGATGCCGTCAATCGGCGGATGCTGGCACTGGCTCCACAGTACGTGCTGTGGGGCTTCCAGTGTCCAACTTCCGGGCGAAGTCGCAAGCCTGTTGCAAAAGCCTGTTGCAAAAGGGTGGTTCCATACTGCTTTCCGGTTCAAGGGTATGCGGCAGAATTTGTGATGTGTGACTTACGGTCACAAGCTTCAGCCCCCAACCAGAAGAAAGATCTGCCAAAAACACCCTCGCGCAAGTCTGCACAGAAGGAGACCTGTCTGCAACTCTTAGGCGCTTCATCGACGGCCAGTTAAACATTTACAGCCTGCTTGCAGGCTGAAGATCTGTAGTTATGCTGGGTAGCAGGACCACTGACAAGTACAGTCTGGTAACTTCCAAGTCAGGGATCGCCGGATCGATCGCCTCAGATTGTGGCTTCATTTTGACACCTTCCGTACTGTATCTTTCATGTGTGCAAGGTTCAGAATATGATTTCTACCTTAGGGCTTCGGGGTAGGTTGATACTTTACAAAAGATCGCAGCAAGCGCAGGCTGCCACGGCCTCTACACGAGATTCCTTCCTGGAGGAACTTGGTCGGCAGATCCGGTGTTTACAGTTTCAGTGAGGCTGAAATAAAACCGGCACCAGAAAACTTAGCAGCATGGGTTTTGGGCCCTAGCTAGCCCTGATGCCTTCAACCATAAGCGCTAAAACTCGCAAGTGTCATGACACCCTGATGCCTCGGTGGTTAGAACGCACACGGTTAACACTAGTCATAGCGTAAGAATGTGTGTCAACAGATGCGTGAGCCGTTCGAACCTGTGCATGACGATCCGTAATGGATGGACGGAGGTCAGGCGGGGGATCGGGGGGTGGAGGTCGTGTAACAGCCTGTTCGAATTGATTAATTGGTTTTTGGGACGGACCCTACGGGTTCTTAAAGCCTTTTATCATAGATGGGCAGCTGAGAAGGCCTCGACACCTTGAGGCAGAAGTCTGACTCTCTGGGCCCTGCAGAGCTGCGGTGGAGTAAACATCGGGGACAGTACGACCTTCATCAAGAAAGCACATATGACGCAAGATCCGAATCCCGAGGACCCTGAGCCTTCATCTTGCCTTTCTGTATCTATATTTAGACGCATAACCTTCCTAGTACAGCAGGACCTTGAGGTTGGTAACCAGATGCCATGTACTGTAGACCATAGAGATGTGTCGACTGCTGCTTGCAGGCCAGGCACTCGGCGCAAATATTCCAACTTGGGGGAGTCGTCCACCCGCCTGGTGATGCAACAGGCGCTGGGGGGCTAAGTAGTAAGTGCCAATGTATTCATGAACACATGTATGGATTGATGGATGGATGGATGGATGCATGTACGTATGAATGTATGCATGAACACGTGCATGGATGGATGCGTGCATGCATGCCATCCATCTATCCTTCCATCCATCCGTACAAACATACGCAAATATCATATGTTGGGATACAAGAACGAGCACACCTTTCCGACAGCCCATTGGAGCAAAGCGACAGTGATGATGGAGTTTATCATGTGGCTTTTGGATCAACAGCAGACACTGCTACAGGAAGAGCGGCTTCTCAGGCTCATGTATGGAGCAGCATAGGCCATGGGTGTTTTCATGAAAACTGTGCTCAAGGCTGGTCTTTGGCTTGCTAAAGAAGAGGCGGCTGTCGCCGCTGAAGCTGGGCTATATTTCTTGCAGGCCTATTCGAAATGTGCACGAGTCTGTGCAGATCGATGCCTCTGCCGTTACAACTTGACGCCGAAACTGCACTTTTTTCACCATATATGTCTTCGCCTCCATCAAGGTGTTCAAGCAAACTTGGCTTCTTTACAGAATCCTCTGGCGGATTCCAACTTCGCCGACGAAGACTTCGTGGGGAGGGTCTCGCGGTTATCACGGCGCGTGAGCCCCCGCATGCAGGCCGAGCGAACGATTGGACGTTATCTGGTGGCGACACGTAGCCGTCTCCGTGTGGGGAAGGAGGATCACTTAGTCTTAGGCCTAAGCTCCTCCAAAATTAAGGATCTTAAGGCAAAATTAAGGATCTTAAGGCCCTGAAAGCTCAGATCCTCAAACCCTTCCGGATGCCTGTCTCTCGCCGATGATCTCCAGCAGCATGCCGCAACAAAGAAAAGGGTTGGGCTCTCGGCCCCGGCTTATTAGGGTTTGTGGAGGGTGTTAAGCTTTCTGGAGAGTTTGGAGCTTTCTGTGACTGAAGGGCTGAAGCTTCAGGCAGTGCTGTTGAGTGATGTTGGCATTGTCTTCAGGGTTTGGATTTGAAGGGGTTGAAGAAGAGGTTTGGGGTTTTGGGTTCTAGGGCTCTTCAGGGAATTCAGGTTTGGCGAGGGTTTGATGTCACGAATCTGCAGCCTGAAGCCCGAAATGCCCCAACCAAGCTCGAACCCATCCCAACAACAAAGCTAGAGGCTTTGATTGCAGGAACTCACCTTGAACCCTTCCCAACAAGGGTTCTAGACCCTCGACGATTTTAGGCCAGTTCACCCAAAACCACCCAAAACCCACACGCATGTATTTCTCGAGGGTTTCCTACACGACCTCCTAAAACCTGGTTATTCCGGGACGCCTAAAAATAAGAGGTCGAGGCAGGTAGCAGGTATACATATATGTGTGTGTGTGTATTTGTGTTTGTATATCTTATCAACTGTATAATCGAGCTGCACAGGCAAGTGAGATTTTGCTTGCGAGATCACCAGATCTCGGTACTGGCAGGTCGCGGAATCAGGCAAGGATGCCCCCTCGCCCCCCAACTATGGGCTTTGGCTTCAGGCTTTATCATACAAATGATTCAGCAGCGCACGAGTGCCGCTCTCATTAATGAGGGGCTGACCTTATATGCAGACGATCACCTCTGCAGCTGGGTGATCAGGTCTGTTGCAGATTTGCGCCGAGGACTCCGCGAAGCCGCTTGCATTTTGGACACGCTGCGTGACTGTGAACTCGAGGTCAGTGCTGAGAAATCCATCTTTCTGTTGGAGGTTCGCGGCCCCAGAGCACAGCAAGTTATGTCTGACATCACGTGCAAACTGCCGTCTGGCAAAGGTGTCGTCGCCGGCAAATGGAAGCTTCCTATTAGGCAGTCCCATCCCTATCTCGGAATCATGCTTTCGTATCGCAGAATCGAGCAGGAGTCCTACCAGCATCGCAAAGAAAAGGTTGTTGGTACATTTGCCAGGCTGGCCCATGTTCTCAAAGATCGCCGAGCCCGTTCTGACCACATGCGCATACGCCTGTGGAAAGCTCTGGTCTGGCCTGTATTATCCTACGGTTTGGTGTGCTCTGGCTTGACGTCTGACCTCATTAAGGACTGTACGAGTCTCGTAGCCAAGCAGCTGCGGATAATCACTCGTAGCCACAACTACTACACTCGTGATACCAATGAGGAGATCTTTGTCAAGACAGGTGTCACCACCCCTGCCAGGTGCTTTGCAGAGGATATTGCTAGGGAAATTTCCACTGTTGAGTCCCAGGACTCCTTGCAGCCTGCCAGAGTGCGCGAATGGCTGATGTGCGCCCAGTCCAATATCACCACATGCTTGAACATTGTATCTTCCCAGTCTAAAACCAGGCTCGTGTCCGTTGACAGTCTGCAACCCGTAGGCCATTCTTGCCCTGAATGCGGTGTCACATACAGCGACCTACCCTCGCTCCACAAGCACATCGCTAAAGCGCATAAGATTAGCACGAGGCCTGACTGGCAAGCGCATATCGTTGCGGATTACACTTTATTTGCCGAGGAAGGTCTGCCGAAGTGTATCTTCCGCAAACATGCCTTCTGGGGATGGCCTGAATTCAATCTTCACATAGCCTACGCACAGTGCGAGGGCATACGTGCACACGGAGACAGGCACGGAGAACAGCACCTTCGCATCAGACCTTCCGTCTCCCACCAACTCCGCTTATCGAGATGCCGGAAATTGTACAGACCCTCAGTGATCAGCCCTGGCACCGACTCGTCAACTGCACTGCAGTCCGTGAGAAACTTGAGCATCACTGTCCTCTGTGTGACAAATTTGTCGCAAACTCTGCTTACATCAAGTCTCATATTCTCGCCAAACATGCCCAGTACAGCTCCATCCTTCACAGCTGTGAGGCTCGGGTTCGCAAGTTCTCCACCCCGTCCCCCTGCGTGTGGTGTGGCAAATCCTACAAAAGGCGGGATGCTCATATGCGCAGTTGTCTTGTGCCTTGCATATGCACGCTGATGGAGAGCATTCTGCACCCTGATCGACAGCTTGCAGGAGAACCCTCGCTCGATGACATTCGCCGATCCTCCATCCTTCCTGGGTCAGGGTCTTCCACCCTCGGAGCCGAAGCAGATGTCGCCGGAGGAGGAAATGAAGGTGTACTGCGGGATTATGTCAGCTCCAGGCACAGAACCCCAACAGGAGGACAGCGCCATGGAGATCGAGCAGGAGCCGATGAGAAGCTCCCATCCTCTCGAGGAGAGGCCGGCCAAAGCACTGAGGGGGGCCAACCTGGGGAAGGCTGGACCAAATGGGAAAGGGAAGAGGGACAACAAAGGGGACCACAAGCGTCGCTTCGAGAATGGTTCCGGCTCCAATCCAAACCGGAACCAACCCACTCGCCCGACCTACTCCAACAATCTCCAGGCCCAGCTCCGCCGCATGCACTCCTTGTTACAGAGCGTATGCCGTCTACTTCTTCGACACGAAGACTCCCTGAACCTGCAGTCCCTCGATACCCGATACATCATCTTCTGCACCAATCAGGCGAACGGTATGCCCAATCGACTTTGGAAGGTTGCCAAGGCTTGGAAGGAGCTCAGAGACAAGGGTCAAGCCACGATGGCGCTGCGGCAAGCACTGGCGCATGCACTCTTCAGCGAAGTCAAGACTCGAATTGCCAAGGCAATGCAGGACGATGGTCAACGGGAGCAAGCAGCTCAGAGAGGGAGGACCACGGAGGATCACAAAGGGTGGAACGACCTTCAATGGGACAACAGAACGAACCCATTCTTCACACCGAAGCGGTCCGCCCCCCCCCGACCGCCTCCTCTTTCTCTTTGCCCAACCGGGCGTTCTCCACCGATTCCATGCGAAGAGGAGCTTATTGGAGACAGGGGACGCGCCAGTCATCGTATTTGTGATGGACATTGGATTGAGGATCCAGCTGGCCCGCGAGACATTCGATACGATACACCGTTTGAGCCAGTCGGCCATTACGCAGACAGTCGGAATGAACCTTCGTCAGGACCGTTTGCAGAGGTCTCCGCTGGCCAACTACATCCGGAGTCAACTCGTGTCAGCATCCTCCAGCTAAAGCTTCGCAACCCGTCTAACCTTTGCTATATCACAAAACATCACAAAACCTGTAAGCGGCGTAGCAAAAGCCTACCACAAAAGCATGCGGCATATTGCGATGTCGCCTCTTGCTCGCCATGGATCCCCATGATGTTTTCGCTGACACTCCTGGGGAAGCATTCGGGACGGATCACCCTCCCGTGGGCGTACCTCTTCGCTCTACTGCGAGGGTGGTTGAGACTGCACAGCATTCCCTCGGCCACCAAGATGTCCCTCTTCCCCTCATCGCGATGTGGGAAAGAGGAACGTGGCTCGCGAATCCAAACGGTGGACTCTCGTGGGTCCTTCTGGCATGTTTTGTCTTCTACAATTGCTGCCAGCTTCTTCGTCACCTCCGTAAAGGTGTTCTGGGGATGGAGACTACTACGAAGGTGGCTAGGTTGTCTGAAGCTGCGACAAGGTCCACGGAAGCTTCGGATGCTCCTACAGCCCCCTTGCCCGCTCAAGAACCTGCCCCCGACATGGAGACGAAGACGGACGAAGGCCAAGACACTGGGCCAGTTGTGGAAGCAGCTCCTCGTGGGGAACCGACTTCCGCTACTTCGCCCCCGTGCCAAGAGCCAGTGGTGGAGGACCAGACAGGGGAGTCCAAGGATAGGGCTCCGGACCTTACAGCTGTCGAAGTCGAGGCTTTGCGAGAATTCAAAGAAAGCCTGCAGGATGTTAAGATGTGGGTGGAGGACTCGGCACACTCGGCTGCGTCGAGGAACAAGGAACACCTCACCGAAGCTCTTGCGGAACTTCGACGCATCTTGGACAGCAGCATCTACTCCCAACCGCGCCTTGAAGCTGCAATGCGAGACGCTTTCGAACCTCTGCAGGCCACCTTGACTCCCTCGCTCAATGGGCTCAAGAGCACTTTGGGCCCCTACCCGGAGCATGGAGTCGACATCCGTCCTCTTCGTGATGTCACTTTGGCCGCGGAGGACCTTGCTCTGAAGGCCTTTAAAGCAGTTGAAGACTCGGCTTGGGACCAGAACGGCCGACTCAATGCCATCGGCACCCAAGTCGGCACGGTGGGGACAGACCTACAAAAGGGACTTCAGCATGCACGCCGGAAGCTGGACTCCACACACAGCGCCCTGGGCACCCGGCCTGGGCACAGCTCGGATGGTGGGGGCAGCACTGATGTCACCACCATCCTGGTGGCGGTCAAGGATCTCCAAACCGAGATGAAGGCCCTGAACCAGAACATGGAGCAGCTCCAAACCAAGGTGCAATATGTGGAAGGACGAATGGAGACGGCCCTTACAAAGCTGGTTGTGGTGGAGCAGTCCACTAACAAGCTGGCGGCTGCAAGGCCCAAAGCTCTGCCACCGAACGTGCCGGGGCCGACTTTGCCTACGGAGGAAACACCGCTTCCCCCACCAGCACAGCCACCAGGGCAATGGCAGCCCCCGGCAACGGTGCCAACGGGGCCCATGGCGAGCACTTCGACTCGCCCGACCTCGATACCGGCGCCTACAGTACGATTGGCGCCACATGTTCAACTGCTGCAAACTGGGACTCCGGGATCCCAGACTCATGTTGGGCTTCCTATGACTACACCGGCCCAAGTCACGCAGCCGGTCACCCACATGCAGCAGCAAGTCCCCTCTGCAGTACAAGGAGGAGGTGGAGTAAGCGCCACCCAAAACGGCGAGATGGTGAACTTAGTCTGGAACGGACAGATTTTTCCTGTTCCTGCAGCAGCTGTTCACCAAGGATGAAAAGGGCCCTATGAAGAATGCTTCATTTGGCCATTGAGTGGCCTCGGATCATAGCGAGTACTGCTCGGAAGTCCTCAGGCAGAGACGCTTGCTCATGTGTTGTTATTTTATACCTCTATATTTGCTTTTCTTACTTAACTGTTGCGACTTTCCGAAGCTTGTACAACGTTCCTTTTTGCCCTCAAAGGGCTGCACTGTACTGTACTTTCCTTGCACTGCCTCTTCCCTTGCCTCGGTGCTCGCTTTTGCACCTGCTACTTGCACTGTTTTTTCCTTGCCTGCCTTGCCCTGCTTTGCACTGTTTTTCTGCCGCCCTGTGACTCTTCTTTTTCCCTTGCACTGTTTTTCCTTCTGGCCTCTGGCCTCACTGCCTCTGCCCTGCCCTCGCACTTTTGCTGTACTGTAGCGCCTTTTGCTTGTACAATATTGCTTTGCTATTGCCTCACGTGGAGCGATATGCCGTGGGGCGATATGCCAGGCCTCCTTGAGCTCTGATGCCCCATGGAGTCTGATACTGTCATAATATGAGCCTCCGTTGTTTTCTTCGGGCTCTCCGACGCCAAACGAGGCCATGTATATATGTATGTGCACGCAGTCACCTGTGAGAGAGCTTGTGCCAAAGGGGGCCTGCTAAAAGCGAGCGCAAGAGACACATGTAAGCATGCCGGCAGAAACCTGATGTGTTCCGCGGGTGATGAGGTGATGCGTCTTTACGGTTTACCTTGTTTTTGCCCCTTGATGGTGGTGCTTTGTGTTCTGCCATTTCTTCTGGAAATGTGCTCGGTATGGATGGATGTTGCTGCCACCCTTGGTGATGGTGCGTGGGTGTTGAGATTACGCCACCCCCTCCCCCGCCCCCACCTCGCCTACGAAAGAGACTGCAACAAGGTGTATCCCTTGTATCGGACAAGACTGAGCTTGCATGGGGTCTATCCCCCAGTCATAAGAGGCCCCTTGGGCCTACGAAAGAAAGTTTCCCATCCTCGGACATTGGGACACTGGGAGCCGTAGACTGCGGGTAGCACGCCATGGCATTTCCTCGAACCTGGTTGGGCCCGAATCCTGCTGCACAAACTTCACGGGGCAGCTGGAAAAGGCATCTTCAAGACGACCTTCTCTGCTCATTAACGCGACTGCATATGCCATTTACTTTGGCATGATGGGCATACTGACGGGGAGCGCTTGTGGGACACTGCTTTTGCCTGGACATACGCTGGCATGACACTCCCGCACTTGACTGCCGTCAGAGCGACAGGAGTCCGCTCTCCATGGTCTGATGTTGGATGGGTTGCAGCCGTCGTCGCACTAGATAACTCTTTCCTGTGCTGGGTCAGCTTGGGGGCGCGATCATGACTGTCACATTGGCCATGCTGTGGACACGCTGATGACTATTAGTGATGGGGGCAAAGTTTTTGGTGTGGGCTTCTGCTATGCCGCTTGGACTACCTGGACATGGGGGCACAGCTTATCTCTGCTTCAGGGTGGCAATGGCAAAGAGCTCCGCAACAGAGAGCACGAGAGAGAGCTCCCTCTTCTGGCCTAGGGCGCGCATTTTGCTTCGCTTCTGGATTAGGGCTCACACGAGCTCTCATGAAGTGAAATCAAACCGTGCCCATATATGGTGCTTTTTGCAGGGGACTTGTATTCATGACTGGTTGCCTGTGATATACTGTGAGTTTGATGCTTGGAGTTTCGATGGAACGCTGAATCGCCGAATGTGTTAATGCCTGACCCGCCCGCTCCAATGTGCGTGGGTGAGGTGCCGGAGTCTTGTTTCCTTAGCCTGTCAAACCTCGTCTGACTTGTCGAGCACGAGTGACAAAAAAACCTTTGCTATATGCATGCTGTGCTCGTGTCATGGCTCTGGAGCCTGACAGCCTGCCCTGGCCACATCGCTCAGGTTCCGGAATGTATTATACGCGGTCTCAGGTGCATCCTTGCATGTCAGCAGTCGCAACTACTGCTCTCGCAACCTGTATGGTCCAACCTGTTGCAGGACTGGACATCGCCTCACACGCAACATGATGCCGCTGAGTTTCTGCAGTACATACACCTTCGCTCACTATTCCCACAGCCTGATGTCTATTGGCAAACTCGAGTTGTTGTTGACAGGCAAACGTGCGTTGAGGAAGAGGGCAACTCACCTGTGATCTGCCTCTCACTCAGTGCTGCCACCCTGCATGACATGCAATCCCTGGTCAACGACTGGCACACGCAGGCTGGGACACGAGCTCTTAATGGACGGACTGAGCTTGTTGTGATACAGCTGGCTCGCTACCGCGACGACTGCAGTAAGCGTGATGATTACGTGGATCACCAGCCACGACTGGCCATTCCGACCTTTACTGATGATCACACTGTCAGCACACACCTGCTATACTTTCGGTTGCAAGCCATTTGTATTCACCTGGGTGTGCAAGTCACCTCCGGCCATTATCAGGCAATTTTGTATGATCACCTGAGCAGCCGCTCCTATCTCACGGATGATAATGTTCCCGCATCCTTGATTGCGAAGGTTACCGAAATTGAGCAGTTCAATCGTAGCAGTTATCTTCTTTTCTATGTCATTGATGACCACAATGTCGCATAGGTTCAGTTATATCCCTCGCATGCCTTCGGGAGCTACAGCTCGGGGCATCACTCGTTTGCGGAGAATGCCAAAGGCATGCCATCCAGAATGGCCGGATGATTAATCATCTGTCTCGGTAGTTTCGCTAAGCTTGACGACTCGAGCAGCGCACTCAAAGTCAAAAAGTGTTTGTATATGAAACTATGTGTACATACGTGTTTGTATAAGCACAAGTACGCATCTATATGATGTTCATGCAGCCGGTTCAGTTGTGGCATATGTACACAAGTTGAAAGACAGCGCGCCTGCGCCTGCCAGGGCCTCGGCCGAGATCGCGAGCAATCGCGGAGGTCTCGCGGCGAAGCCTTGCCGAGCTGGTGGCACCCTGGAGTATCACATGCTTCAAGTACTTATGTCTTAAGCGCCGAAACCCTTAAACCATCAACCCGAGACCCTGGAACTCCGTGCCCAGAGCCCTAAACCATAGAGTGAGAGGAAATTAATTCAAGGCAAGAAATTCAATTACCAGCATGTAATATGATGCGCGTTAGAACGTATGATCTTAGCTGTAGCTGCTTGAAATTATGAAAATATTTGGGTTGTTCATTGCAATATGTTTTTTTGCTGCGGTAGTCCAGTTGGACGTGCATGAGAATTTAGATGCGCATGTGCATGCGAGAAGAGGCAACTCCCTTGCTACCTATGTCATCTTGGCTTTCGATATACGTACGGTGCTGCAAGTATGCATGTTGCATGTTGCATGTGTACCATGTAGTGCATGATAGCAGGCCCCACTCGTCCATCCAGTATCACCTCTTCTCTGGGTCTAAGCGACTAGCTAAAATGGCTAGCTGCAAACTATTTCAAAGTCATCGAGGGGATGACAACATGACAGATCACCAGTCATCAAGTCATCAAGGCCGCATCGGTCCGAATAGCATCTACTTGTACCTTAGCTTTGTTGAAAAACTCCCTCCAATTGCACTTACCGAAGTGATCTGCTACTACATGATGCCCAAGGTCCTACTGTTCTGTAACTGCTTCACTTTGTAGGATCTTGGGTAGGTGCAGTCTTGCAGACTACAGTCACCTTGTTTGTTCTGAGACGTAGATTGTTGCTACATGTCATATGACTGTCCCCTTCGAGCGTTTCACTTTGTCAGACTTCGAACCACATGCCTCGCCTGGATTGTCCGAATGTGAGCGCCGAAACCATAGAGTCCTGGATTCCTCGACCCTACAACCCTAAGCCATTCCAAGCTTACAAAAGCTCCAACGAAAACCTGTTTTAAGCAAACCTGAACCCATAATCCGAAACCAGGAAAATGGGGACCTCCTACGGAACACCCGTCCTTACCTCTCCGAGGCAGATCTCTGGTCCATGGCCGTCCTGGCTTCCGATGACCTGCCGCTGCGGCAAAGCATTCGGGAGGAGACCTCCGCAGCGGGCGCGGTTTGGGGTTTAGGGGCGGGGTTGGGATTTGGCGTTTGGTGTTGCTTGGATTCCAAGCAGTTTGGTGTTGTTGGGGGTGTAGTTTTGGGTTTCATTGAGATTCGGTGAGGTTTAGGATACCAGGTTTATCAAAAAGGAAGAGATTGCTCTGGTGATGTCCGGGTTTGTTTGAGATTAAGATTTTGGGGTTTTGTTACAGTGGGGGGTTTCAGAATTTCTGAGTTCTGGGTGCAAGGACTCAGGGTTTTGAGGATTTTAGGGAATAGGGCCCCTGTGTTTCCTCACAGGTTCGGGGTCTTAGGGTTGAGGGTTTGGGATTGAGCTTGACCTCTCTTGGCGGCCCGGTCGCCTCAGCTCAGAAGCTGCTCCAGCTAGGCCGGAGTAGAGAAGTTAGCAAACTTGGGGGAGGGAGGCTCTTGCCATGCGCTCTCGTAACGCCTGTAAGGCCTTGGATTCCTCAGATGCTGAGCTTCGGAGGTGCAGGCAGAAGTCGAAACCATTGTATTGCTTTTGTTTCGTTTTCCGTTTCTGTAGAAGGGTCAGACTCTAGACTTTGGCTTTCCTCTCTCACAGAAGTGCCGTACTGAGTGATTGTTGAAGCTCTTTTCTGCACGACCTGAGCTCTAAACCCCAAAACCTTAAAGCCCTCCGGACAACCACATAGGACAGATGTACTGCCTCAAAAGCTCCCAGGAGATCCGGAGAAGGATCATTCGAGGCCAAGTGGGATTGTTAGCAGCTTGGCAAAACTTTTCGGGACTCATGGTTTGGCGTTTTGATGGGGCCTCTACAGCTTCTTACATTTTGCTGGAACCTACATTTCCTGTTTCTTGGAGGGGGGTCCTCAGTCGAATCTTGCTCTTTGGGGCCACAGTCTGCAACTCGGGATGTGGGCGCCCATATTTAAGGAACTTGGTTGAAGCTGCCGCTTATTCCGGTTACTTAAACATATTGGTAAGAGGCCCTCCTACATCCCCACCCCTAGGGTTTAAAAGGGATCTTTTAGCCCACCTGCCCTTAAACCCTAACTCAAGCCCCAAACCAGGAAACACCCAGCCTCGGCAATCTGGCCTGGGCCTTGGCGACCACGGCTGAAGACATCCAGTTGCAAGAGCCGTTCCTGGGCTGTGCTTTCCGGTCCACGGTCTTTAGTGGCGGTTGCAGTCAGGGATCAACTCCTGACCCTGGCCATGGAACCCAGCACTAACACAGGGCTGGGTTCCGTGTTCAGGGTTTAAGAGTTGATTCATGTGTTCGTGGATCTAGAGAGAATGCAAAGACGGCTTAGCGTCTAGGGTTCTAAACCCGAAGCCCTAAGTTGTTAGCCCGGATTGTCCGGGTTTGAGCGGAAAGCACTCAGGGTTAAGCTCACAGGGATCTGAGATCGTTGCACTCTTGTGGCCCCCTGCCTTCACCTGGGCTCGAAGGTTCCAAGCGCCCAGGCTTAGAGGATTGGAGTTCAGGGCCATGGTTAAAGCTTTGTGCTGAGGTAGGGCTAGATTTGGCTCTGAAAGGACCTGCCGGCGGGTAAATTCTTTGGTCAAGCGCTGGTGCAGCTCAATGAGCTCAATGCCCTAGTGCCTTCTAGCTTTCCTCAACAAGAGAGTTACCTTGTTGGGGTCGGTCTTCATATATGAAGGATCCCACCATGCAGGGTCTATATTGCTATTTTGGCGTCCAGCCGCTTGCAAGACCCCAGCCCCCAAACAGGAGTTGAAAGCCTTGCCCACAAGGTTATCGAAACTTCGCGAAGAGCTGCTGGTGCGTGCGAGGGTGCTGCCAGGTCAGTGCCCCCGCCGCGTGCTCCTCGGCGAAGTATCGGTTTTGTCGGGCCGGTTATCTACTCTTCTTCCTGCATTGCAGCAGCCCGATGATCACGGTTATGAGATATCGGCATCGTTATTCCAACCCTGCTTGCTGATAACCGCAGACAACAATCGCGCGTTCCAGTTGTGGGCAGCAGTGCCTCCGTGTCGTTGTGTTCCCACCCAATCAAGCTGATTTTCCTGCTGCCTAGAACACAAGATACCCAGAGCAACTTGCACCCCCATCCCAAATCCCAAAGCCAAAGCCCCAAGTCCCCAGAGCCCCAAAAGCCCTTTTGCCCTAAGCCCCTAGAGCCCAAATCTCCGCGATGTTATTTCTTACTACTTGTATCAGGAGTAAAATTACTATTCTGATTTCTAGTACATGCTTTTGCTCTTATTATTAAACTGTTATTCTCATTGCTGCTACCACTGTCGTACAGGCTTGGCGACCTCGCCGAAGCTTTGCTCACTGCCTCCTGGGCTGGTCGGCTACTGGAGCTTCCGGTCAGCGAAGGCGAAGTCTCGGAGGCCGAGTCACAGGGAAGCTTAGAATCGGCTTAGAACAGTATAGGGTCTAGGGGGTTTAGGGAGTCTAGGGGTTTAGGGTTTGGGGTTTAGTAGGTCCATTCCCCTGCAGCGGTATCGGAGTCCCTGCTATCACGAGTGCAGCCCGGCGCGAGTCAGCTGTCCTGGTGTGGTGTTGCAAGCCAGTTGCAAAAGGGGGTTTCGGTTCAGATCGTATGTAGGTCTAAGGGTTCAGGGTCTGGGGTTGGGGTTTAGTGTATTATTAGAGAAGCCCGAACAACAGCTGCAGTATTCCTTCCTTTTAGTTTCTATACTACTTTCAGTTTATTCTGCCTTGGGTCACCATCAATATTGTCCTTATAGTCTTTCTTCACATGAGTACGCTGTATATTGCAACATACCCGCAAACCATGCTCGAACTAGTAAGGACCCCATATTAGGTCTCCACGGGCACGGTGTGCGTAGGGCCCAACAAGGGGATAAGGGTTTGGAGATGGGGATGGGGTTTAGCGACTTGCAAGCTTAGGCGTCAGGCTTTCACAAGTTCCGGGGTTCGGTTCTGACAAACATAGCAGAAAAGTGACATAGCACAGGTGAAGTTGGCAACTGCATGCCTTCTGCGACGAACCAAGATCACACACACCCACAGCCCGTAGTAATTTCAAATCATAATCCGAAAGTTGAATTCGTAAAATGTAGAAGCCTACGTCGCCAGCTTTGCAGCATTTTCGAAGACGCAGCATGCTGTCAGGTTTTGGCCAGTCTGGGTGGCGACCTGGATGGCCGCCGCCTCTTGCATTTTCTGCCGAGCCTCCCAACGATGGCCAGAGAAGGGCAGGACCTGCGTGTGGACGAAATCTTGCATTACCTCTAATTAGTAATTACCCGAAACTGTGAGTGCTAGTCGTATATCCTGCGTAAGCTAACTGCGGCAATTGTGGTAGATTCGTTCTGTACTTGGAGCTTTGTGGCTGAATCTGAGGGTGGTCTTGACTACCAGAAGACCTGATAGATCTGTATCCGGGTTTAGGCTGTTGAGGATTTCGGCACCCTCAAATCTGAGGAACGAGAAGCCTGTACATAAGCCTTTCCTTCCATCAGGAAGTTCCATCTTCCTTCCCACGGGTTCGCTTGAGCTTCCACGGCGGCCTGGTCTTGCTGAAGCCCAGCGGCTGGCAGATTTACGACAAGGTTCGGTGCTTGCAGCGCTTACACGGCGTTATACCGTCAGCGTTTAGTATTTGAGGGTTAGGCGGGTAGGACTTCGGGTGCCTTCAAGGGTTCCGAGAAGGGTAAGGGTGCTAAAGGGGCTTAGGGCCTGCCATGATGGTAGCTCAAAGTTTTGGAGTTCGGAAACAGAACGAAATGAAACACAAGCGCCGCTGAAATTGATGAGCACCGTTGTTAGAAGTCTCACTGAAACGAGCAAGCCGGACGCGCTGTGCGCCATAAATATCGGCCAGCCAGTTTGAGTATGGTCTTTTCTTTGGGATTATGCATGGTTCCATACCCTGGTTTTCTTCGCACGGGTCTTACTGTCGGTCTCTTGGTGGTTGGAGGTTGAGGCATGTTGTTCTGCTTTGGGCCTTCAGGTGGCCTACTTAAGGGGGGGGGTGTGCATGATTAGAAATGGAGATGGTAGTCGCTACTTGTCACTACAGTGAGTCACCACAGCACGCTTCTTACCGCGTCGTGCAGTTTATTGCGCCCCCTACTCTTATTGAACCACTTGTATAGAAAGCGACGAAAACGAGCCGATCCTTCGAATACCACCTCAGAAGCACGAGGCAGCTGGGACGAAGAGCCGACTGATGATGATTGTGATGATGATGATGACGATGGTTCTTGTTACTGTAAGTGGGGCGACTGTTGTCACGTGCTTCGGACAAGCTGTCGCCTAGCTTTGCTCTCCTGATGTCAGTCCTCTCATCACCCTAGAGCCAGTGAAAGCTCCGAAAGAGCCCCAGACTTGCTAGCAGGAGCACCAGAACCACTCAAGAAGCTGCCCAAGATATCCTGAAATCTCTCGGGCTGACCAGAAGAACCCCCTAAAGAAGGCCCCCTAGTTCACCCTAGGTTCTACCTAGATATCCTGATTCTTCCTCGGTTCCGCTGGGAGCTGTACTACAATAAAGTATAATAAACCACAAAACACTATTCTAATTATTAAGGCCCTTTTTCTTAGATATCCTGATTCTTCCGTGGGATGAGGTGGCGCAGGAGGAGGGCCCTCGCAGCCGGGGGAACGTCACCGCCTTTTTGGGCGCCTGGTGGCCTCGTCAGCCGACTCTCCTAAGAGACGCTGGGGCCTAGAAGGGATCTTAAGGGGTTTCGATTTTTTGATGTTTGGATGATTTTGGTGGGTTTAGGGGTTTTATGGGCTTCGAGGTTTTTGGGGGATTTTGGGGATTTACGGTTTGAGACATTCTGACCTTCGAGGCGGCCCTGTTCCCCTGGACGGGCCTGAACCGAGGATTTCTCCTGCAACTGCGGCTTCCTTCATCGCTTGGACGTCCCGAGCTCCTTGGGCTGGGCGGGCAAAAGTAGAAAAAGTTCTTCGCCCTAGCCCCCGCAAGCCCGGGAATCCAGCGGTTCCTGTAAACCGAAAGTTGCCAAACAAATCTCTCACCCTCTAAGCTCTGCCATATGCTGGCCAAAACATCACAACCGGGTCTGCAGCATTCTACATACCCGAAAGTATAGCTGGGTCCGACCGCCCCCATCAAGTTCAGAAGGCATTGTCGGAGCTGCCGGTGCCTTCATCACCGAACCCGGCGCCTGGGGGGCTAAAGCGGCGCCTGAACGCGTTAGGCAGGCCTCATACCTTGAGAGTCGAAGAAGACATGTGAAAAAGGCCACTTCGTCATGTGTGTTGTTGCGGTTCAGAGCCCGGCCCACAGCACCCTAAAGACTTAAGCCCCTCATCCCGAAACCGTACGTAATCCTATAAAGCTCCAAGCCACTTAACCTTGCCTGCCTTGTGCGAGCTGCGAGAGTCCAAACTCTCATCCCCGAAAACGCCAATCTAACAAACCTTGAAACCCAAACCTTTAGGAAAGAAAAAGCCCTAAGCCGCAAGCCCGGTCTCATCCGAGGCTCCGGCCTCATCCTTGCAGCAAGCCGCTACGAGACGTAACCTGGATTGGGGTGTAGGAAGGGTCTATGCAAGCAGTCACTGCGAGGTCTGGGGCTAACGGGACATCGACACGGGCTGAGGTTACAGGGATTGAGCCTCGGGCCTCGGGAGCTTAGGCTACCAGGATTGAAAGTTTCGGGCTCCGGTTAGGAGAAGGACTGGGATCCCGTTCTGCTGCGCTACAATGGAGTTTTGGGGGTCTCTACACGGTTTGACACAACTTGGGCCTACCGCGTAGTTCTCTTTCGTCAGGGCCCTTTCAGGATTAAGGGTTTCGGGTTCTTCTTTTGCGCACGTGGCTTTGGCGTTTCGGCTGGAGGGTTTGGCAAGGGTTTAGGCTTCAGAGCCAACACCCTGAACCCGATCATGATTCACAGGCTGTTGTCTTGAGGCGCCGGCAGAACTTGGCCGGTCTATGGTTTGTAGTCCGCAGCGAGCGGTTTCTCGTCTGCCGGCTTACACAATGTTTCGAAAACGTCTTGATCGTCGGCGAAATAATCAGCCACATCATGACAGAGGTTTCTGCCTCTGCCGCCGTTCGAGTCAAGCAAGAATTATCCGGTGTCAAAGGGTGCCAAGCCCTGAGCCTCTCGTACCAATCCGTACTAAGTCTAGAGAGTTCAGGTTCGAGCTGCTGGGTTCGCTTCGAAGCCCAGGCTTAACCCGAAACATCTTCAATTCAGTGTAGTCCCCTCTCTAGCTGTTAAACCCAAGTTCGACAAAGCTCCGAAACCCTTGGCCCTGTGATGCTGACACCCTCAACTCTGAGCGACTTTCCAGTCCAAGGTACTTTGACCTGAGGCTGCAGCTGGCTACTGGGGCCCTACGCAGGGACCGCACGAGCACGATGAAAGCCTTCGGGTGAAGTATTCTTCTGGCAGGGCTTCGAGGTCGTCGAGGCTTCCAAGAGATTCAAAGGTTTGAAAGTTGCCAAGGCCTTGAGGATCAGGTGTTTGGATCGTGCCCTGCGGGGCCAGGGCAATTTGCCGGAATTGATTCTTAAAGCCGGCTCAGGGTTTGTACGGGTGTTGAGAGCCCGAGCTTTGCAACAAAGCAGTTGGTAATATGTCCTTGAGGCTTGGGGGGCCTTCAGGTTTCTGAGCTTCAGACACCCCCGCCAGACAGCTTCACCACTTCCCAAAACACACGGCAATATGGGTTTTGTTAGGCCCGAACGGAACATGGATGAAGGATGGCGATGAAGCATTCAACACCAAGAGACGAGCTGTATGCCCGAAACCAGCAACGCAGTTGGTATGTGTGTACAAGGTAACGCTGGTGTTGTTTTGATCTGTCCTAGCAAAAGCAGCGCTTGAATCGGCTTGAAAGCCCGAAAATGCTCGACCCCCACGGTCTTGCATGTTTTAAACCATAAAGACTTGAACCTCGACAAGCATTGAACCTCCAGAGGAGTATGCCGTCCTCTGCCATGGTTTCATTCCTAGCCGCGCAGAGATCAATGCTCCAGTGGTTTGGTCGTCCTCGAGTGCGGCTGGGACTGAACCCGAAGACGGCGTGGAGTTCTAGTTGTGCAAACATCTCCGCAAGCTGTCCGCAAGTGTCGTTCAAGTCGAAGACCGCTGTGCCCGTTGCTGTTGCTTCCTTCCACCCCAACTGTCTCTTGTCCCCAACTTCGAGCCAAGAAGTTTTGGTTTTGGGGCCCTTGCTGTAATCCTGTCAGTTCGGGACGGAGAGGGCTGAACATGTTTAGGGATTAAGGTTCTAGACGTAGCGTCGCAAAAAGTCGTGCCAATGGAGTACATTGGCCTGAAGCACCGCAGAAACTTTTGCATGATTCATGGTGTGGCGATTAGGCTTTCGGCAGAGACGGGGCTTGGCATTGAAATCCATCCGAAACGAGCCCCTACACCCCAGGCTGTATTCCGCAGAGAGATCCAAGAGCCAGGTCTCTCGGGACGAGCTCACGAAGGTCAAATCAGGGGGCTGGCCAGCCAAGACCCAGCTGCTCACATGTGCGCTGCGCGGACCGCATTGGAAGTTCCGTAAGTCGAGAGTTGTTAAGACTATGCAATTTGACGAGAACGTGATGCATCAGGGTCTACAGTGTTCGACATTTGAGGGGGTGGGGAATGCCTAGTAATCATGCAGGCCTCCATGCTAGTCCTACAGGAAGGTTGCAAGGCAAGATGGCGCAAGATTCACCGCAAGACATCAGTGGATGTCTCCAAGTTCAGCAGTCGTCATTGCGCATACGTGCACAAACCACTTTTGGCTTCACGAGTGTTTGAGCGTGTTACCATGTTGCTTGTTTTTCCACAGCAGAGATGTTGAGCCGGCGAAGCCAGCACGACTGCACTTTCCAACTAAAGTCCAATGCTGCGTGCCGCAGGTTTACAGTTCATTTCGGGGCTGAAATCGGGTGGTTTCAGCCATAATCGGGAAGCAGCCTGGGAAGATCAGGAGCGCCGTGGCTGAAGAGTGTGCCGTGACGTTGCTGGACATCCGCATTCAGACGGAGTCTTAGCCGGCCTTCAGTCCTAAACTAAGCTATGAGTCACGGAGGCTTTTTTACAATGACGTGTTTAGGCTGGATCACTTCTTTGCCTAGCTTTGACTAGCCGACAGCCTTGAATGCAGACAAATACTCTGTTATGGGGGCAGCGTTGAAGGGTTTTTAATGGGTGGGGCAATGGGACAGGAGGAAAATGGGCCTGTCATCACAGTGCACGCTGTGATGGTTCCATTCGCCAGCCTGAATCCCAAGCCAAAGATTGAAACCCTCAAGTCGACGCATTGATTGAGTCACCCAGTAAGCCCCTTTGCCGCAGCATGACTGCAGATCCTGACCCTGAAAACCTGTTGGATTAGGCTCAATCAGGTCAAGGTGTTGCGCTTTCCAGTGAAAGGGTAGACTTGAAAGTTTAAGCTTTGCAGTTTTCGAAGACCAGATCCCAGATCCATCTACCCTACCCCGCAGCTTGCAGGCGACACACACACACACACACACACACACAGACACACATCCTCTGGGCCTGTCCGAATCGCCGACCTTAAGTAACGCTCTACTATACAAGTTACTTTGATGGTGAAGTGTCGTGCGCACACGGAGATGCATGGGACAATGAGAGCCTGCAGTACCTGAAGTTCAACACATCGGTGTGTTGTATGAACAGCAGCAACCGGGAAGAGCTGCAATGTTGAGTTCGCCCCAGGGCCGCCGGCATCAGATCCGAACACACCTGGCGCATATCGGCGCAGCCTCCGTGGCAGATGGGATGCTCCCGGCAAAACCTAGTGTTTTTATGGACGGTTTCTCCTGTTCGCATTTCAAGCAGCACCCGAGGCCTTCAAACATCAATGATTGCTACGCATGTTTAACATACACCTGCCACATCCGCTTGATTTGTCGCTGCTTCTTGTAGTTCGGCTGTGCTTTGCTCCTGCTTGAGCTCGAAGGCCGTGGTCCTGACACAGGCATCCGCAAGCAAACTCGCAGTGCACTCGAAGCACTCACTCAGGGAGGCTTTTGAGGCTTCAAGGCGCGCAGCGCCACCAACCCGACACGTAAACCCGACACGATGTCCCTTGGCTAAGGAAGTACTCGGCCGACAGCACCTACCAGGGCGACATACGGTGGTGTCCCCGCAACTTCTTGCATCGCTACCGGCTCTGTTTCAACCTGCCTTGCCAGAACGAGGCGGGAGAGTGACAAGGTACCACTGGTTATTACCACGCAGATATTGTGAATGTATGTCTATGGCTCGAAATGGCTCGTCCGTAGTGCGCGAAGAGTGTATCCCGCTTCCGTACGAGCGAATCCTACGCTCTCGGTCAAGGAAGCTCAAAACCAGAGACCAGGAGCCCATGCTCATTTCCTTGAGCGCAAGTTGACACCCACGATTCTTTAGCTCAAACCCTTCCTCACCGCCCCAAAACCTGAGCCGCAAGAGTGTGAGCGCCGAAAGCCTAAGCTGCCGAACCCTCAGCCTAGGCCCCTAAAGCTTCCACCCTGCAGTCCCCATCCCCATCCGGACCGAAGATCACCGCAGAAGGCCACTCCGCTGTCGCTAAGCGAGCCTTTGCCGTTGGACCTCCGACAAGCGTTGGCCGAACTCTGGACGATCGTGGGGGGTTTTCGGTTTGATGGTTTAGGGGCTTCGGGGTTTTGGGTTGTGAGATTGGGATTTAGGGGCGTGTGTCCCATATTTGATGTGTTGTTATCAGTTCTTCACAGTTGTATCTATGAGCTCAGACCTTAGAGTTGGTGTTGAGTGTGCTGGTGGTTAAGGAGTCAAGAGGTGCGAAGGACGTAGAACATACGTTGCTGAAGTACGCCCGATCGGAATCTGAACTTCAAGAAACTTTCGGATGCACAACCACAGTGATGCCATGACGATTGAATGGCGCCTAAAGTTCGTGAAGCCTCAACCACACCACCTACAAACCTACGTCCAACCCCTCTTTGTCAAGGAGGTGCGGGTCTTGAATCTGTTCGGCGCGGCACGTGACTGGATCCAGCTGCTGAGCGAATCCGACTTGTGGTAGCCAGAAGCTCCAATACCAATGAACCAGTTAACCGTGAGTCATGGATATCGCTTGTGCTTCCGTCTGCGTGCATGTGTTCAATCATGCATGCAAGCATTGTAGAAGGGGAGATGTTGTATGCTTGTATCTATGTTCTTCTTTTCGGTACTTGCGAATGCACCTATCCACATCTAAGGGGTAGCTCCCCCCCAGGTTTTCGAAAGCCTGGTGAAATCCCAGCAGCAACCTGACATGGCCCTTGCTTAGTTCCACCATCCTTGGGGCCCAGATGATGTATAGTTGTAGTATCGTATAACCCTAAGACCAGTTTCTAGTTATGAAGGCCCCTTACCCTTGGGCCCCCCGACAGCCCTAAGCTCTAAACCCTAAAGCCAAAACTATGACAACAGGCCAAGGACTTTGCAAGGCTTTGCTTTCACAATTTCGATGCTGACCCCAAAGGGTCTTTGAAGATGCGGAAAAGAGGACTTGGTGTCGCAGCAAGAGCATCGCCTGGTAAGTCCGAAAGTTCGCCTACACCCTGAGTCCTATGGACTTTGAGTCGCCTACACTTAGGGTTCGGCGGAGGCGATTGAAAGCTTTGGGCTCCTAAGGCAAAGGGTTTGGCCTGCTAGCAGGGCCAAAGAAAGCGCAGGCAGACTCACCTCTTTGTTGAGGCTTCCAGTTTAGGGTTGAGGCGGTTTAGGGTTCAAAGTTGCTGGTTATTTGGGTGTCGATTTTGCAGCTTCTGGGATTAGGTTCCAGCTGAGAGGTCGCAGTATTGTGGGGTTTGCTTTCTGTCTGGAGAGGTTGCTTCCAGATCAGCTGACATGTCTGCCCGTCGACCGTTAAACATCATCACATCCTAAACTCTTGGGCCTTTGCAACCGACGTGAACGGGCCAACGCGTTTTGACTTCCTGCGAAGTGAAATGTGAGCCCTTTCGTTTCCTGGCAGTCTGGATTTCGGCATCTCAACACTGAATCTGCAGACCACCCACAAACCCCCGAACTCCAACTCCGCTGACGAAGACGTGGCCCAAAGTAACGTCGGGAACTGCTGGCGCCCATGGCCGATGAGGAGGAGACCAAGAAGCCCCCTGGCGACCGACAAATGTTGACTTAAGGTAGGACAGGGTGCCCCTGTAGACTTCACACCTCAACCCTATACTTGGAAAGCCTGCAGCCAAAACCCCATAACAGCTAGAACCCCTTAGACCACACCCGCTTGATCTGAACGAGCAAAATCTTGCTCAACGGGCTTGCCGTCATCCTTATGCTACGCATCGTTGCTCTTACAAGCAGATCATGTCATTTTCGGTGCTGCCCGTCCTGCCGCTCTGAGTCTGGGGGTCACGGATTGGAGGCAGGCAGGGTGCAAATGGTGGTCTCCGCCTTGATTCCATAGGGGTTGCGGGACATGGGTGAATGTGATTGGTTGCGGTTCTTGTTACTAGGTTCAGTTCAAGCTTCCAGTTTGCCGCAAAGGGATATAATAAACCGGACAGCGGTATCTCGGATAAAGTAGGATCACCAAGTTGCTTAACCTTCGCAAACTCATCATCCTTTTCTTGAGGTATGATGTCCCCTTGATCCGCTTGAAAGACTGCTCCAGTCAGCTAGACACAGATGACTTGGACGAGGCTCCGGCATACGAACATTTTCGGGTTTGGGGTGGTATTCTGTCTTGGTGTAGGGTTCTTCACTGACACCAACAGTGAAAGGTTCAACGGCTTCGGACTCGGGGTGTAGGGATCAGGGAAACGGGTTGTGGCTTTAGGGCCTCCGTACTGGGTTATATCTCTGGGGCTAAGGGATCAGGGTTGAAATTTACGTTTGCGGTGTAAGGTTCAGGCGGTTCAGGGTTAGGAAGCAAGCGTTGGTGACCTTCCACATGCAGGAAGAGCGGAAAGCCTTGGCGGAAGTCTCGAAGATCCTTGGAGCACAACCTTTACGATTTCAGATTCTTGGGATTTGAGGGTCTTGGGGATGATACCCGTTTCAATCCAGCCACGAGGGCTGAAGCTTCGAGGTAAGGCGGGCATGATCACGGCATATGCACTGCCGCCCCTCCTCAAACAAGTTTCACCTTGTATTCGGATATGAAACATGCCCTGCGATCCCTGCGCGTCAAAGTCAAAACCCCCTCTGGTGGCTTCCAAGACGTGGGTAGGGTCCTTCGGGTTCAGTTTTCGCCCGGTCCTGTCCCGATGGCACAAAAGCCCCGAAAGACAGAACTTGTTCCCTCCCCGAAATTCTGCTGGATGCGTTAATACCTAAGACGCAGACCCTCCTTGAATCCGATTGAATCCTGTTGGACTCCTTGGCCAAGGAAGGGCTACTACCACGCCCGACCCAAGACGCAGGAGGCTCCCTCGCCCCAGCGCATCGAGAACCCAGAGGAGCTGCCTCAGGCAGGCTATGAATTGCTAAGCGGTTTAAGGTTTAGGGTAAAGGATGAACTTAGTAGTAGTAGGATTGATTAGGGAACAAAATACTGGGGATACTTGGGGTGTAGGGGTTTGGGTAATACGCGGTTGGTTGTCGGCGAGCAGGTTTAGGCTTTGGGAGGTTGGGCAGGGTGATTAGGGTTTAAAGTGTTGTTTACCACGGCTTTTGCTGAAGGGTAGCAGTGCTTGGTTTCGGGTGGCACGGATCACGGAAACCGTGCTGGTGGAGCAACTACGACCTTCCCATGTGCAAAATACACGGTACTAAGCACCACTTAGTGTTTTTCCATACTGCTGTACGAAGCATGCTGAGGAAGAGGATGTTGAGTTAAGATGGAGATATTGGTGCTGAGCACGCGGAAGTCATGGACACTTGCAGTCTCATTGTGAGAGCTTGGACAAGAGAAGCCCTCCTGCAAACAAGCAGTTCCAATTTCAGGTCGAACACCGTGTTCGTGTTGGCGAAAGCACTGTTGAAGCGTTGGTATGAATTTTGGTTCTGAAAAGTGTTTGCAATGCTGTAAGAGACACTGGAGTGAGTCCTTCGTCGTGGTAGTTCTTGTTCTCTTCGTGTTGCCATTATGTCTACTTGTGCATGCTTTCCTGTCCCTTTTGGAGTCGCATGGGTTTCTGTTCTCAAAACTTCCTGAGTTCAGCGCAGGCCCGACCAACCACCTCGATTCGCAAGCGGACGACGTTCGATACTTTTCAGAAGAAGTGGGACAAGTTCGACAAGGAGGAGCCTGAGCTCAAGGTGGTCGAGCCACAGAAACCTGTGGAAGAGCCACCTGCCCGGTCCAGCTTCTCCTGCTGCCGGAGGAAGAGGTAGCGAGTAGTAACGCCTGTGAACCCAAAAGGGTTTGCCAGAGGCAGCTGTAGAAACTATGCCCGCCGCGACGCACCGGAAACAGTCGTGGAGAAACGGGGACACAACTACTGTAGAAGAGCAATCTAATCTACCCGGAGCAAGTTTACTCATAGTGTTCTAAACCGCGGTAGTAAGAATGACCAGCCTTCTCATCGTCAATTGCCGCATCTTCCTTCTCTTAACGGCGCTACTGCCACACATTACGCTGAGTCGCATCCTCATCTTCTCCATGCTTGCCATATGCAGGAACTTTATGATGCTTGAAGGTCTCGGGCTAGAAGTGTCTTCAAGCATCACAAAGGCGACTACGATTCAGGATGTACTGCTGCCGGGGACTCCACCACACCTCAGAGACTCCCCCATCCGCTGGAACTAGGCAAAATACTCATCAATTCGAGTATTGATCCGTTGTAAGGGGTCCAGAGTTAGCCAAGATTAGAGGTCACTGCGCTTGGCAAACTGTTAGTAGGTGTTAGAGGGATTGACGGGTTAGCGTTTCAGAGGGTGTTTGCTCACGGCACTCCCCGAGCCATTAAGCTCCTGAGCTATCTCCAGCTCGGGCATGTGAACCACTCGCAGCACGGAATATCTGTAAGCAGATTGCAATAATCCAAAATCTTCTGTCCGAACCCGTCAGCTCGATCCGAGCACGTTATAGTTACGTAGTTTGGGCCTCACGGATGTAGCGTGGTTTGCTAGTTGGGCTTCTTTCTCGCCTGAAATCCTCGTTCGCCTGTGTCGTCCCACTTTGACATAAATTGAAGCTCTTACTTCTGAAGTCATTGAAAGACTTTCAAGATCCATGCAGTCCTCAGTGCAGTAACGCCAAACAAGCGGTTCCAAAGTCGATCCCTTTTTGAACCTTCTGTACGTATAAGCCCCGTAGCCGACACTCGCAACATGGGACCGAGCAGTGCAGGACAGCAGAGGGCCAGGAGGGCAACGGCAAGGAGAAGTATGGACAGGATTACCTTCGAAGAGGCTTGAGCACAGCGCTTTGCAGTATTATGACTTTGAGTTTGTAGTGAGAGACTTATGGGCTCAAGCAGCCAAGAAGCGTTCAATGTGGAAACTGAGCATTCCCAGGCACGGTAACTTGCAGACGGCCGTGTGCATCTTGAGTTTCGACCTAACAGATCAAACCATCGTCTGGAAATGCGCTTCCTACTCCACAGTGCCTTTTCTCAGCAATATCCTTGAGACTGCCCAATTGCTTGATTTCTGTTTCGAGTTGGCGTATCAATACACATCGAGAAAGGCGTCGATAGGCAACTGTATACTGACAGAGACATGTACACGCTGTTTCTCGAGGACAGTGAACCATATAAGCCTTAAGCCTGCACTCTGCACTCTCCTGCGGAACCCGTTCCGACGAGCTTTGTTGCAAAATCCTAAGCTTAAGTCTCAGGAGTCGCCCAAACCCTAAACTCTCCACACTAAGCTCCCTGGCTCATAGTTCGGAACACGCAGGATTTGGGAGTAAACCCTGTAAGCCTTCGTGGAACCTGCAGTTTTACAGGCGTCCAGCGGATGACGAACCATCAGAGTTCTGATGGTCGGGGGCCCAAGCTCTTTTGCTATGACTCTGCTTCCTGCTAGAGGCTGGGCTTGAAGGGAACTCAGGTGTGTTGATGGCGCTTCTCGTGACATCATGTAAGGTTACCAGGGTTCTGCTTCAAAGGGTTAGGCTTCAAGCTTCAAGCATCCCGCTACTAGAATGTGTTGAAAAGCCCTGAGAGACCCACAGTTTAATTGATTTAAGGACTATGTCCTTTCAGTGAGGGATCGGGAGTCTCCGCAGGAAGCTCTTAGAGATCTGCTTCTCGCAGAACCGAAGCCCTGATGCATAAAAACGCCCAGTACGTATTGGAAGTGCACGTGGAGATTCATTGAGCAACCTGACCCTAATGAATCCCTGAAAGCTTTTGAGCCCTTCGCCGAACATCGCCGCCCAGTTACACTCCGAAGCGAACGGGATGAACTCATCGATCTCATCACGGCCGCAGGGGGCGGAAGTGACGCGACAAGTTTAGGATACGGTGTACAGTAGAGTAGAGCGTGTACTGTGTTTCTATACGCACTGGACTGAACACGAGCTCAAACGGGGGCATATCACGGCTTATGGGGTTTCTATTGATAAAATCCCACGACTTCTACTCGTAAGGTTGGATGAGGGGCATACGTTCAAGATCACGCCTTCTCCAGTCTACTCGTCGGCGACCTTTTTTCCTTGCGTCAGAAGCTCGATAGCATAGGGTGTTCGGGTTTCCCGTATCTAGGGATCACGCGGCACTACACCATAGAGCCCGCTTCGATAAACCACGGTTTTAGATTGTGGCGAAATCTCGAGGTGAAAGATAGGCCGAGAAGCTCTCGTGCTGCCGAGAATAGGCCTTAAAGCTTTGAGGACTCCTGATACACCCCTCCCCCATCAACTGAGGCTTGATGAGGGGCTGGAGGCTCGAATGGAAGTTTGGGTTGGGGGGTTGGTACGTAGCGTTTCGCAGGGATTGAAATTGGAAGCTGGAGGGCTGTTCGATGGTTTTGGGGGTCTCGGGCTGTGTTCCACCATGGACCATAATCCTACATTGAGACTTTGGCAAAGTGCAACCTACACCCTACACCCAAGCCCTATGCAGCGACCTTGTTCATGTGTTGGTGTGTTTCAGTTTGGAGCACGGAATCGGTCTGAACCAGCAGCCGGTAAACCCTACTGTGACCTTATTCTAAACCCAAAACGGAGAACCTACGGCTTTCAGAGCTGTACCCCGTACTCGGGGGATCGTAACCTACTGTCGGGTTTGGGGCTAATCGCAAACCCTAAGCAACCCCCATGAATTGGTAGGAATTGAGGGGCGGCCAACATGGAGCCTGGATAGTAAATAGTATGATCCTGATTATAAGGACCCCATGGACGTGACCCTCAGCATACCGTAAATTTCCTCCTTACCTACGCCCCCAAAAGTAGGTATAAAAAATAATGGCCAACACCCATAAAAGGCCATCATTCTACATACTTTTTGGGGTCGAGGTACCCTCCACTCCCTTTCGTTTCTCAGATTCTCTGTGTCGCAAGGCAAGCTCTGGATCCCCAAGGCGAACTCGAGGCTGTACCCCTTTACCATTTAGAGTCTATGGTTTTCCGGCCTCGGCTTCCGGGTATTTTATTGCAATTTGCTTTGGAGGATTCAAGATTCAGGGTTCCAGGAGGATTTGTGGTGCATCACTAGAGCGAATACTCACTAAGTTCCATACGGGTGTGTAGAATTTCTGTAGATTTTCACAAGAGTCCACACAGGCGTCTGTAGGATTTCTACTTTATGTGTTGATATGTTACGCTACAAAGTGTGTAAGTGTTTCTCTTAAGGGTTTCAACGGGATTGCTGCGAGGGCTTCGCAGGGGTATCCCAGTCTGGAGGTCCTGCTGATAAGGATCCTGAGACTTAGTATTCACATCAGTGCTTCTTGTTTTCTGAAACTCCTACGGTTCTGAGTCCTTCTATGATTTCGGGCAGGGTTCAGCGAAAAGGTGTAAGTGTCAGGGGTCCGGTGTACTGTTTAAGGCCTAGGGTGATGATATTTCAGCTGCGGTACCGACAACCACAATTTGTTGTTACTGCTGCATCTTCTGCCACCAACATCGCCGCCAACAGCGCCACCAACTCCACAACCACTGCCGCTTCCCTACCGCGATGACGATAATTTCCTAAGGGTTTCTGAGAGTTGCATCAGTGCTCTTCTCTAAGCCTTGGGCGTAGGCGGTTCCGTGGTTCCGGGCGAACTAGTGGCGTTGAATTACTGGGGCGACGGAAGTGAAGGCTTTGACACGTTTGAGTTCCGCTTCCGTGGGCTGTAGGTATGGTGGGCTGAGAAGAGTTATATTCGATTGATCGAATCTCAAGGTTTCAATGGGGCGCAGGCCTGAGCCCTACATCGAGCAAGACGATGCCACAAGTAGGTGCCCTCCGTGGCAGAGCAAACATTTAATGGCTTACAGGCTTGTTGTAGCGGTTGCAGTTCCAATTTTGTTTGTAGCGTTGCTGCTCTGTTGCGACCTTCATGGGCATTGTCATTGTTTTGCTGGGGCTCCGGTTCAGGCTTGGGCTTGGGTCATTCCTCTGAGCGACGACAGTGGTCACGCGGATAAGGCCGCTACACCTTCTAGCAGCATCCGACATAGCACCTCGAGCAACACGAACATCTGTGCTGCTGATGACATCTACTATAGAGCTCCTGCTTGTAGCAGCCTTTGTCATCCGGGCGAGGTGGACTATGATGACTTCTGCCGTGTGACAGGGCATCTTCCTCAGCATTCTGTGTCCGTCGATCCATGTCAAGCAGGGATACGACCATGTACGTGCCGTGGTCTTTGGTCGAACCGAAACGCATCGGCGGCGGAATATGTTCTTTTTGATAAGATTGCTCTTCCATCCCTGACAGAGCCCCCTGTTATCGTAGCAGCAAGCCTAGGAAGGTCATCAACAACAAAGAATCACATTTAACTGTAGCAGACGCTGAATCCTAACCGAGCAAATTTAAAACGCACACCAAGAACCGGTGCTCCTAAACCCCCCTAGCCTTAAACCGAAAAGCTCAGAACCACGAAAGTATGAGCCGATTCTGGGATTGTTGGAGGCATCTGGCTCAGAGGGGTTCAGGGTTCAGGCGGCTTGGGGTATCGGTGCTGCATGTCGGCCTCGGTCGAGACGATTGTGGGCCGTAGACTGGCTTCACTTGAGTCCAGTGGCAAAAAAAGGCATCGTTAAACAAGTTTAGGATTTACGGTGTAGCGCAGGTTTGGGGTTCGAGGCTTTTGGTTCCTGGCCAGTTTCGTGTCTCTTGCATCAGGTCATGCTACCAGAGGGTCCAGGGGCGAGACCGTATTGTCAGGAGCACAAAACAGAAATCTTATACCAAGGACCAAACCCTCCACCCTCATCCCCAAAGCCCTAAACCCCCAATGGATTGTCGCCGAAACCCCCGAACCCCAAGGCCCCAAAATCCCCCAAACCAAGCCTCAATCGTTCCAGTTCGACTAGGCAGTGGCGCTGGGTCGGCGACATCAATGCCCTTTTCGGGGGCGATGGCGCGACGACCCCAGAGTCAGAAAATTAAAACCCAGACAAAAGGCACGCAGCCGCTATGATTTGGCGTCATGGTTTAGGGTAATTAGGATTTGGGTTTTGGGGTTGTCGTTTAATGGGTCCGGCATCAGTGCTTGGGACAGGCGAGGTCCATCCTAAGCCCTGCATCAAACAGGGCCATGCAACAAGCCATGGGTTTGTCAGTGTTGTTGTCACTCGTTGAAAGTTCAAGAACCTCCCCTAAGCCCCCCTTGCTAGACCGCAGCCCGATGCTGAGCAGCTTCGCCAGTCAGCTAGGCAAGTGGCCAACATCCGTTCTTCTGGAAGCCCAAATCAATCAACCCTCATCCCTCGACCCCAATCCCACAAGCCCACAACTCGCACGCCTTGGACCTACACCCTCGACGTCCCGCGACCATGAAAGCCCTATGAAAGCCTTGTTGCGGTCTTTTCAGAACCTCAGTTCGAAGTTCCCATGCTCGCGACAGTTTGGGAGACTTGGGCCCCAGGAGAGATCCTCCCGTTCCCGTCTTTTCTAAAGAGCACATGACCCTGACGGAAGCGGTCATTGAGCATCCATATAGAAGATCTTTCTTAAGCTTAGGGTTTGTCTTCGAGTTCGCTGATGAATAGGACATTTGGGACCCTAGTGTAAAGGCCCTTAAACGAAGGAGGTGTTGATTAATTACGTGTGGCAAGTAGTATGCATCCCTAAATAGTCCCAACTCATCCCTATATAAGTTCAGCCATGTTCAGCCCAATATAGCATCCGTATTCCAATTATCCAGGCCCCTACATCCATCAGTGTTCTGCATTAGCCCTTTCACGAGGACCTAGACCACCTCTCCTTGATGGAGATTGCCAACAAAGAAGGACGAAGGGGTTCTTTGCGGAACAGGTGTTCTTTGGGGGTTGCTTTAACAAGGGTTTCTATGACGAGTACTATAACTATAACTTTAATGCGCCCTGATTTCCCAGACAACCAGCAGCATGAAGACTGGCAAAGAGGAAGCAAACGCAAAGAAAATACCAGAGAGAATAAGGCGCGTTCGCCTATTGTAAGGTTATCATGAGGGGTGCCATACCCCTCTGAAGATTAGGGGGTAGAGTGTTGGAGGTTAAGGGCTTGCCGGACCTCTTAAACTCGACACGTCAAATTCTGCTACTTCTGCTGTTTGCCAGAGTTTCCCTGTTTCACGAGTCAGATCTTCATTCATTGTTAAAATGCGTAGGGGTGCTACTTTGCTCTCCTCATGGTCCCTTTCACAGCTGGAACCCGGCACGGTCTGCCAGGAAAGCTGATGAACAACTTCATGCCGGCTGCTTACAACGTTTCTGTCGGAGACACCAGGACATGACATCCAAGGTTCCAAACGCTGGAATCTGCTGAACCTAGTGCCGATCAATCGCAAGGAATCCCAGCAAGTTCTATTATAACCATTGAACCCGAAGCACGAAAATACTTTGCAACCGGGTCCCGACGCCAGACTCACAAAGACACCCGGAGCCTAAACCGGCACTTTGGGGTTTTGCCCGTCGCACATTGCATCATTGCTGTTGTGGGCTGTTCGGAGAACGCTCTCTCCCGTCCCGCGCATCCAGTACGGGTTCAAAACAAGGGTCGAGTGTTCATCCTGGCAGACTTGCTGCAAGCCAGTACTTGTAGCAACAGGGTTCAGGGCTTTCAGCGGATCTTAAAAAGTCATAAACCCACACCCCTGGCGAACAAGCCCACGAATTGGTTCCTATATGAGTTTTAAATAGCGTGCTCCATCTTCCGAGCTCGTGCTTTTACAGTCTCCGCTTCTGTCAGGTGGGGTTTAGGGCTTGGGGCTTCCGTTTTTTTTGGGGAAGCTTGAAAGACGTTCGAACTCATGTCTTCATTCACTCAGAGCCAAGTCGGTACGGCTGGGGGTGCAAGTCCTCGGCGTAGGTATGGGTGCGATTTCGACAGTGTAATTGGAATCCAAGAAACCCGGAGCCCTAACGCCCTCAAGCCCAAATACCCCAAGCCCCTTTTTGGCCCAACAAGCCTGGCTTGTTCCAGTTGCGAGTGCTGAACCCTCAATCCTAAACCCCGTAAACATCAGGTTCAAAACGACCAGCTAATGCAACTCACCGGAATGGGGGTATTGCAAGTGTCGATAAGTCCCCAAACAACCTCGCCTGTGGACATAGATGCCAGCCATGCGAGAGGGAAAAAAAAACCCGTAAACCCTCGGAGCCTTGCCTGCCTTGTGCGAGTGTGAGCGTCGAAACCCCGTAGCAAGACCTCGAACCATACTCCTCGCCTGGATCAGCCGAGTGCTGAGGCGGTGGATCAGGGATGAGTTTGGTTCTCCGGCAGATTTCTTCCTGGCCCTGGACGCCAACAAGAAGGGAAAGGCGGTAGGGTTTTGTGTCTTGTGTGGGGCTGCGACAAAGTTCAGGGCCTCCTGTACACATACTAGTAGTGCACTCGTGTAGTGACAGAAGTTCCAACATCCGATGTCGAGGTGGCGCGGCACACCTTCGTCTCCTTCTGCGTGAATCGCGATTTCAAGGCCATCTCGAGTTTAGCTTGTTTCCAGGTCATGGGGTCAGTGATCCGTAAACTCTGAGCCCTTGAATTTAAACCCTCCAAGCCCCTGTGCACTGAACTTGGTGCCTGTTACCGCCAGGCCCCTGAAAAGGAGATGCAAAGTCAATCAGAAGACCCGAACACCGACCTTTCCCGGGCCTTCCGAGCTTCGTGGCCCAAGCTACAAGAAGTTAGCTCCGAATGCCATGCAATGTGGAGGGTGCAGGCCCATTCAGAATATTATGGACTCAAGGTAGGCGTTGAATTACCCATATCATTACTTATGCATTCTTATTATGACTATACTGTGCCATGCCCGAAACCCTATTCCGAAAAAGCCCCCGATATTACCGAGTCATTCAACGCAGAGTGTCACGACGGCAAGGAGACACAAAGGTGTTGCAGACATGACTGGAGGTAAACAGCCCTGAAAATACAGCTCTGATTTTGCGGCATAAGAGCTGCAACTCATGAACACCAAGGAAGAAAGCTTCGAATCCCAAACTTCAAGTTTTAAATCCTAGAACTCAGCTTGGGACGAAGCCCCCTACAAGTTTCGTCAGGCTTCTGAGGCGGACTTGAACCGAGTGTTCGATTGCATCGACACAGGTGCCCCTAAACCCTTACCAGGTTTGGGAGTCCAGGGATTGTGGGTTGGGCGAGCACGAGTACGTGCTGCGGTTGCTACTCTGCTGTGTTGTTTTCAGCTTGTGTGATGTTGTGGTTTGCCGTGTGTCTGAAGCTGTACGACAAAGCACGGCCATCGTCAGAGACCTGGACGCAGAAGGGGGCTTGACATATTCTTAACGTGGTAGATATGTTGGGTGTTGTCTAGGTTTTGCGTTTTTGTGGTTTTTGTTATTCTTTAATTTGCCGCAGTGGTTTTCTAGCTTGCTGATGTTGCTAGCCGTACCGAATGAAACATACTTGTGCATGACGCTCATGAGGCTCATGTTTATCCTGCGTTTTGTTATCGCATGTGCGCAGTTGGCTCGGCGACCGAAATTGAGCCCTCCTAATGCTGTGGTCTTCGCATTCCCTCAAGCCGGAAGCCCTGAACGGACCAGCAAATCTGTGGCCGCCTTGCCTGGCATGTCCAACTTGTGAGTGTTGAACCTTCACAATAAGGGGAATAAAAAACCCTAGCTTTCAACTTCTTATTCCCATCTTCTACATCTTTCGGTTGGTAACGCCTCTGTTCATGTGCGCATTTATTGCTACATTTTCATTTCGACTGGCTAATGCTTCACATATACTTGTCGTGTCGGGACAAGTAGATGAGATAAACCTGCGGACGGACAGACAGACAAACAGACAGGCTGAAGATTCTAGTACGACATCTAATTGTGTGTGCACGCCGATGTGGCAATATATACATTGACAAGAGACCAGCCAAGAACGCCTCAGAATGCATAGGGGTCAGAGGGCTTAAGTTCAGTCGCGTTGCTCGCTCTTGTGTCGGTTTTGGATGGTGGTCGTTCAAGCGCCTGCTCTTTCGAGCCCGGAATTTTGGGTTAACAGTGCAACCATGGCTGGCGCTAGTGCTACTGCTCCTGCGGTACAAAAAGTCAGAAGACCGGGTTGCTTTTGAAGGCTTTGGAGTAGTTGGCTCGTATTGAGTGTCTGTATAGCCTTTTCCTCAAAGCTTGTGTCTAGGACCCAGGCTTTGGACTACGGGTTGACGTTTCCATGTAGCTTCACGAGTAACATTTCTCCATTGGTGAACTTTTCGAGCGAATTGTCAGGCGATATCGGCTCCATCGTGAAAGAGGACGAAGTAGTGAAGTAATGACCGGACATAGTTCACAGATTCGGTTTGGTCTCATGAGTTACGATGAAGAAAAGCGCCAGGCACAATCTTCCGTGCCGTTGCTCGTGCGGGTATAGCGCCGAAGGCAGAACCCTCCAGTCGTCGAGTGGCTTCTAGAAGGAAAGCAACAAACACAGGGCAGGCTTTGAGCCGTAGACGAATCAAGCATCCTGTAAGCGTCCATTGGCGATCGGAGCCGTCGGAGCCAGAACCAGGAATCCTTACCGCTCATCGCACTGCAAGCGAAGTGCGCCATACGAGCGGGCTAAGCTGCCATGCCATGGCCGGAAATCCAACGGTGGCAACTGCTCCTAGGAACATGTGCTTTGGAGCCACATCTCTCTCAGCCGAAATCAAACCCTACTGTGATTGTTACAGCCCCTTCAATTCCCCGAACCCCTCCGCGTGCAAGGACTGTATATTCCTGGAGCTGGATCCAATGAAGCGAAACGAGGAGCCCGGATCTCAGAAACGTGGAAGGCTGGGTTCTTGATAAAGGTTCCTTTCAGTGGTTCTGCAAGGGTTTATTCATAGCTTTTCCCAGCTGTTCTGTCCGGGCTTGGGTTCGTGTAGTTGTGTTTTGAAGTGTATCATGTGAGGTGCTACGTAGGATTCCGTCATGAGCGGTGGTGATTGTACCTGCACCTGGCCATACCCATTCGCTTGTAGGATCAACATGTGTGAGCCGAAGAAGCCTTCGGGCTCAGAGTGTACGAACCATAGCTAATTCAGGGCTCAAAGTCAATAGTCATCCGGCTACTTAGGGGTGCAGGTTCGGGGCTTTAGCATGTGGGGGTTTGCCGGCTTTCGGGGTTGCGGCTTGAAAGGTCAATGTGCCCAAGCAGTTGGGGCGATTACGTTTTGCGGATTCGGAGGTTGAGGGGTTTCAGGAGTTTGTAGTTCTGACCCTACACGAGCCTCTGAGTCGCGACACGGCTTTTTTTTCGTGCAACTTTTACGGGAAAGAAAATTGAAGAACAACAATCATTGCGCAGAGCCCTTTTTGTTGTTGCACGTGGCCAGCTCTTGAACTAGTACTTCGGGCCTGGACTTTTCGAAAAGGCTGACACAAAGAAAGCCAAACCTCCCATCCACTCGACGATCTTGTTCATCCCCGAAGCTGACTTCATGCAATGTGGGCTTCGTCCTTGCTAAGTAGGAGGGAAAAAAACTCCGTCTTTATTTCCTGCTGGAGTGGCTTTCCTTCGCAGCCTGGTCCTTTTAGAGAAGCCGGAAGCGTCCTGAAACCCCGGAGGCGCCAGCGAGGCGGCCTCGTGAGGGCAAGGGCCTCGGCCTTCCTTGAGAGCAAGAAACGAAAGAGGGGGCTCACTATGAGGATCAGAATGAAGCTTAGCTCTGCTAGGTGCTATAATACATACCAAGCACCTCCGTTGGAATGGCCTCGCCAGGAATCGGCATGTCTGTAGCAGCCTGCAGACGGTCTAAGAAGGCCTTGCGCATAAGCATAAGGGAGTGAAGCCTCCGACTTTTCTGCCCGGGTCTAACCCGAACCAGATGACGACTACATAGAACTACAGCAGGAACGCGTTACAACAAACCTTAAGAAAACCCTGAAGACCCAAAACCTCGCAAACACCAATCATACCATACCCGAAATATGTATCCCAATGCCCCTTTCCCCGTAAACACTCCCTATCATCTCTCCTCGTGCGGGAACCTTCTAGTCTGTAGCACTTGCAGTAGCTCTTTTCGTAATCCTTATGGTAGCCAGGTTGAAGGTTTTTGTTTACGTACAAACTCCAAGAAGTTTTGGGGTTTCTCGAGGTCTGCAACTCAGAAGAGTGCACGATGAACGCCTTTCTTGAAGCCTAAAGCCTCAAGCGCTTCGACACGTTTGAAGCCTTCAACTTTAGCCACCAAGCCTAAATTCAAGGAGCCTTCAATCCTAAGCCCTTGAGAAACCTAACCCTCAGACATCTTATTAGGGCCCTTCGAATGCCCATCTTAGGCTTATGACAAGAAGCTACATGAAAGTAGGGTTTGGTAGGCTCCGGTAGTTCCTAACTTGACTAAGGAGTGGAAGCAGCGCGCAGCCATGGAGTTCCTGCAAAACGCGCGGGATCCGAGGGTTTTGAGAAAGGGTGGCAGGATGTAGTGGTTAGATTTTGGGATCAGGGTTTTAGGGTTTGGGGTTTTTTAGTTCCGGGATTCAAGTTGTCCGGTACGCTTTAAAATCATTGTGGCAGCCACTTTTGGCATCACCTCTGCTTCCACAGGCGCCTTATCAGCCCAGCGAATGTTGATGATGAAGGATTGCAGAACATATTGAAGTTTCCGAAAGAATGGGACCCTAAGTAGGACCCCGAAGCAAAGGCAACATCTTTCTCAAACAGAGACCGTCGGTCACAGTGGATTGCTGTGCCGCGCGATAAGTGTTATTCGGCTCGGCCCCCCGCGCGCCGACAACACAATGCCAGTTCAGCACCGTTCGCGTTACACCGCAGAATCTGGGTTTCAGGTCATTAAGAAACCAACTGCAGTGCCCTTCAGCAAACGGAGCTCAGAAGCCATGAACGCGAAGCCGAAGACCTCGCTAGTTTCTTCGTATTTGCTCCTAAATCCCACAGTCCGACTGAATTTACTTCAACGTCACATATCACTCTGCTTTGTTCGACGCTTGCGCAGGAGGCAAAATGTCTTACGCTCCACCTAGCCTTTCAGCTGGTTGTATTTTATGGGGTAGCGTGTGCTCTGTCGAGTAGTTGTTTCACCCTCAGCCCATGTGACCATACGCCTCGACTTCATCGTCCGAGTTGTGAGCGCCGAATCCAAATCCCTAAGCCCTCAACCCAAAACCCCAACCACTACACGGCACCTCTTCATGTACCCCATGTTCAACACCCTGACCCTGGAAATCCAAAGAGCCTCAGCTTCAAAAGGCATGAACAAACACCCCGAACAACAAGATCCCAAAGCATTCAAGTTGCAATACCTCAAACTCAAACATAATCCCCACACCTCATCCATTAATCACCTTGTAGAACCCTTATGGAAAGCTTGCAAAGTCCTTCTACCATAGCCACAGGCACGAACTGGCTTGAAGCCCCTCCCTGGAGAGGAAAGTACGGGTGCCAAGGTATTTGGGTTTTGAGGATTCTGGGGACGCGGGGTTTCGGGATTTAGAGGATTTGAGAATGTCGGGGTTTACGGGTGAGGGAATTCAAGGATACTGCGTGGTTCCAGATTTGAATAGAAGCGCTTGTGACTTTAGGGTTGAGGCTTTCTACCAAGGATCCAGCTTTCTTGTTGGGTTTACGAGCTTAGGGTCGCATGCGTAGTTGTTAGGGTTTTCTGGTGTGCATGGGGATCCGTTCAAACTTGGAACCAATCCAGAGCCAGAGTCTTTTCAATCGGACAGCGCATTAGGATTTTTGGGGCCTTGGATTTTTGAAACATGGTGCAGCACGCCTGGGGATGCTAGCATCGTCTTCACCATCACCGGTATCATCACTACCCCCAGATGATATGTACATCTCTGGCTCCTCAAGCCGCGCCCCCGCAGCCGCAGAAAAGGGCGAAGCAACACCCGAAGTCCTACCGAAGCTCCGGAAGTTCCAGTACGATCCTCAAGCACTCTTCCAGGGTTAAGGTTTCAGGCCGAATTCATGAAGGACACTAGGAATCCCCACACCCTTTGCACACAGGGGTCACATCTGACAGACCCAGAGTCATGCGACACGACCGCGCTCTGACTCTGTCTGCTCCCTTGCATTCTACAAGCATGCATGAGGGCCGTCTCAGAAGACAAGAATGACATGAGACATGATGGCATTGCAGTATGTTAGTGGCATTCGTACATATCCGCATATGCGAAAGCTGAAGATCAACACCCGGAACCTCTGACTTTAAATCCTGACCAGAAAGCCTGGCCTTGCCCAGGTGTAGCTTTGCCCGAGCGCCACCGGCTCGCCCCCCGGCCCTGGCAGGTGTCGTGGAATGCAGTGCCTAGTGCTTGCTTTGAAGAGTCGCCCAAACCAACACAGCCAAGACTGGAGTACAGGGATACCTGTCACCCAACCTGCTGCTTAGAGCTGGACAAGGCCCTAATGACCTAAAGTCACAGGCGCTCCGAGAGTCGACTTTGTGCAGGGGTTTGTGAAAGACAATCCCTCAAGCCAATCACTTACAACCCCGGCAGAATCCTCAACCAACTGACAGCCAGACCTCGCGAGCAGGCACAGACTCCACAGCAATGCGAGAGGGAAAAATGACTTACAACGCTTCTATTTTGTAGCACTACACATGCCTTAGGCCTGATACTTCTAGTTGTGGTCCTTGTTCACCTTCCCTCGCACATGCTGGGATTCAAAAGTCTTCAGTTCTTAAGCTGCAACCCCTTAACATGGTGACCGGCATTAGGCCCAGATTGCCACCTTGCTTCAGCCCTTCAGCATACTATAGGGGCTGACTAGTCGGTCAGATAGTGGTCAGATTATTCCGTGGGGTTCCCTGGTAATTGAATTGATACATTACATTAAAAAATTTTGAGCACCGAAGAATAAGGCACTAGCCACTCCTTGCAATCACCATGCCGGCAGCCCGCAGTTTGAGGTGAACCTATGACTAGGCGTAGGTCCATAGCAGATTCCATACCTGTCATCACTTCAATGTGGCGAACCCGTGAAGCCCTCAACATACAGGCCTGGGATCACCAAAACCAACTGCCCAACCGCCAACACCACAAAAAGAATCAGCACTACAGCGCCGTGGTGTCGGCAGGCCGGTGCTTTCGAGCAGATTCCCATGGTCGTTTGCCAGCGGCGTGGGGGGCCATGGAGGGTGGAGGGCTTTCGGGCCGAGGGGGAGTTTCGCTTGGCAAATTCCCAAATTGAGCAGTGAAGGGCGCTTTTCAGCACGGAAGATCCCAGCACAGTAAATTCCCGATCCGCACCAGCGGACCATGCAATTAAAGAGCTTCAGACAATGATGGGGGCGTCCTCCTGTGGAAGCTCATTCCATCTCTCTTCCTGTCGTTGAAATGGGAAGGATATATTGCACAGCAGGGGTCTCCTCCCATGTTTGTCCCCGCAGTTCAACTGCTTCGGGCGAAATCCTAAAGAGGCACATAACCGCCGCGTGCGACCCGCGGGATATGGCCGGAATCATGAGTGAGAATACTACACTCAGGAAATCTTGAGCATTGATTTGAGAAGATACCGGCCAGTGCCGCGCACGGGGCTTACGACATGTTCAAGGCTCTAAACCCTGTGCCGACCATCCTAAACCCCGAAACGTTGAGGATACGAGCGGGAGCGGGACACGCGCTTCAAGCGTAAGTGCGCGCCCGGCGCCCCAGGACGGCCTGAAACCAGGTTTTGCCAGTAGTGCCGTTATTGATCAGATCCTGCCCTTTAAGCCCCTGTCTAGAGCAGATACCTAGATAACCTAGATAACTCGAGCCACAGACTTTCTTCCAGTGTTGAATCCGGTTGTGTGTGCGGGGCTTCTGAAACGAGAGGCCGTACAAGTATCCAAAGGATACGCTATAAGCCTCGAGACGCCGAGTTCAGTAGCCCTGAAACCCTGAGGCCTGCTGCGTGCGAGTGTGAGCGTCGAAACCCTCAGGGTGTGCATAGTGTTGCTTCACGCTGCAAAATGTGTGAACTCGGTTACAGGATGTATGCTGTACTTTTCCACATAGCTTGGCAGCTGGCTCGCTGTTCTGCAAGCCCGAAGTCCTTCAATACACCCGAAACCCCACATAGACGTAGACCTACTACCAGGACATGAATGCCGCAGCCTCATTGTAGGGGTCGGGATCTTCAGAGGAAAAAAACGTACAAATACAGTGTTTTGAGTTCACAAACCGTGTAGACAAAACACCAAACCTTATTGGGGCCCTTGTATGCCACCCCTCCAAAAGACTCGCAGCCCGACCAAGGCGGGCGACTTTCTTGAAGCAGATCTGCATCTCCTATGGAAACGAGGCAGGTTCAGGGTTTGGTCTAGGGGCTGCAGGGAATGTGGTTCAGGGTTCAGGTTTGGCCTGGACAACGAGGCCTGCTGCAAAAAGGTTTGGCTTGGCCTTGACGCCTTCGTCAATGCTCGTTGGGGTAATGTAATTCCTTCTTATGTTATATAATATATATATATCGAATATATATATATATATATATATATATTCGTGATGTCAGTTCCCGAATCTTTAAGGTTCTTGGAGTCGCAGTCACGTGGTCATTGCATCTTGAAGCCTTGCAATGGCCAGTCGATCAGTTTTTGCAGTCTGGGGTAGCCGCGTGGCACGAGTCCACGGCACAGTCCGCGCCCCGGTTCCTGCAATATGCGTAGCTGCGTAGCACAGGTGCAATGAAGAAGCTTTGGAGTTGTTGATGTTGAGGTTTTCGGGACGAACGAATCTAGGACTTGCCTTCTTATTCAAGCATAAGACCGCAATAAGACCCTGGATTGCCAGGGCATGCATAGATGTCATAGGGCACGGATAACGGTAGCCTGCATTTCCCTTGATTCAACGAGGTGTTTATAAGTCGTTGTTACGCCGAGCCGCTGAACCCTCGAGCCCTCCAAGTCCGGACGCTGAACCGGTTGGCTGCCCTGACATCGAGGGCCCCTGCGCACAGATTGCTTGAAAAAAGCGCCTTTGGAACCCTTCACACTGCCGCCCAGCACTAGAAAAGACATCCGAACCGGTCCAAGACTGGATAGCTGGTGCCAGCTTTAGAGTGCCTAAGCCCTAGACTCTAAACCCAGCACTATGACGAATACTTCAGACCTACGCGACCCTACACCAGTTCCAAACCGCATGCCGTCAAACCCCAACCCCCGAAACTAACCCTGCAGTCCAAGACCGTACGTCAGCCTTCAAACCCACATGACAGGTCCGTGCCCTTCGCCGCGATATCAAGCCCGGAGGTCTCCGTGCCATTGTCTCTCATGATGTAGAGTAGACAGTAGACCTCTGATCGACAAGGGCCCCTGCTGTTCCCATGGATCCCAATAAGATTGACCTTAGGTACAACAGTAGACCCGTGATCAGCAAAAGCCCTTCAAAGGGCGTTTGCTGATCAGAGGTCTATTGTTCTACCTATGGGTTCTGAGTTCAGGACCAGGTTTTCGAGGTTGTTGAGTAGGCATCTTGCACATTGTTTGCGAAGGAGTAGCTACTTGTCAGTAGGAGTAATCGTGATGACTGTGTTCTCGTTCGTCTTTTTAATCTTAACACAACTTGCCGTCATGGGTTTCGTGTTTTCACCGTCGAAAGAAGGCGCTATAAGTCGGAGCAAGAGCATCGCAAATGTAGCTCGAAGGTGCCTTATCCTTGGGTTCGGGGTATTCAACCATTTGCGGGCAAGATCATTATCGGCCAGAGCCCCAATCCAAGCAGGCTTCCTCCAGGCCCACACAATGCCACACACCGAACTCCGGGCTCACGAGTGTGAGATGCGACTAAACGCCAAGCGCCTGCTGCCTTTTCCATTCCACATTGGAGTTCGCTTGACGTGATAGCTTGCCAGTGATGGCATCCCGAACAGCCACTGGTCTGTCCTCATCTAGCCGCTGTATCGACAACCCTACAAACCTAAACCCTGAATAGTACTGTAAGCCTTCGGAAAAAGCCTGTAGACCCTCGAAAATCCTGCAACGACAACGAATTCTTCAAACACATCCAGAACCCCCAAAGAAGCCAACTCTTCAGAAGAAACCTGAAGCTTCGACAAGGACCAAAACCTTAAAGAGCAACTCTGAACATACAACAAGCCGCAACTTTGGCCCTTTCTCTCGTGAGGCCACCACATGACCTTGCCACGGCCCAAGCACTGCGGCCTTCCAGTGGAGATGCTTTTGCTCTGAGCGGATTTTCGGTTACAGGGTCTAGGCGTTTGGGGTTTAGGGTTGGAAGGGGTCCTAAGGCTTTTGGTAAGGTCTAGGGCTTTTATGCGGGCATTAGAAGGACGCTGACAGGGTTCTATAAGGGTTTCTTCAACATGGTTGAGTTCTAGGCAGGTCGTATGAAGCGGTCTACCGGGTCTTATAGGGTTTTCCTCCGTCGTTGCAGCTGGTTTTAAAATTATTGGGGGTTGTATTGCATTGCATGCAGAAGCCTGTAGGCAAAGATCGCAAGCTTTCTTCATCAGGCTGCTGCAGTAATTCAAGTTTATCGTATCTAACAACGAAACATCGTACTGACGGCAGTCGTCGTCCTCTCCATACTTCGCATAATCATGACGGTGCTGGTAGCCAGAGATAAGGGGGCAGAGCCCAAAAGGTGCAGGATCCAGGTTTCACGTGAACGAAGGATCGAGGAGTCTTGGTCCAAGCTTCTGGGCTTAGAAGCCCTAAACTCTAAACCCGATCTGCTCCAGGCGATGTGTGGAACATTTGGATGCTTCGGGGGTCTCAAGTTTGAGGATCAGAGCTCCTGGTTGGGAGGCCCTTCGATGATCGGGGAGAGATAGGCAGTTCATGATAGAGACGTTCCTCACCCCCCGTCTCTTAAGGGTTCTGCGAACAGAATTCCGATGAGAATCCGTCAGGAGGTGCCTGAACCCGGGTTGAACATCAAGCTGCTCAAGCTTCTGTTTCTGAGTAGAAGGAGAATCATGCCAATCCACTCCGTCCGTGATCACCGGATTCCTTTTACATTGGCGCCGTGTTTGTTACGAGAGTGGTCCTGGAGTTCAAGTTCAGGTCTATTCCTACAAATGGTCGGGTGGGTGGGCGTGAAGCATGGAGTGTCAAAACGCCAAAGAGGCTGTGCATGAATCCGGTTTAGTCAAGCATATACCCTCAGCCTCACCTAGAAGCAAGCAGCTGTTTAGCTGTTTGGGCACTTATTCTTGGGCCTTCCCAGAACTCGCAGTTCGTTTGCTTGTGCTTTGCGGTAGAGGGTCTCAGTCTATCCCCTTCTGTCGGAACTGGCAGGCTGAGCTCTACTTTAGACGATTTGGTTTATTGGAGCTCAGGATGATAAGTCTTATGGTTACGCTGAAAAAGTATGGGTTATTGTAGGGAGGGGGTTCAGGGGATATCGAACCCCGCAATTGGGAACCCTCTCTCCTTTTGTACCCTCCCCCCCCTTGAACTCCCGCTTTACGGATCCTAATCGACCGAGGACCGACATTCGGAAGTATTGTCGGCAGGCCGTCAGCTAAGCCTGTGCAATGTGTCTTCGGGGGCTTCTTGGATGTGCCTCTAGTGCAATCCGAAATAACGGCCCTGCCCTGCGGGTTCATGCTTGCCATCTGAGAGCCACAAGCTTGAGAACCCACCTTCTCAGTCTCGGCTCATTTGGTGCGTAGCCTCGTTCAAGACATGCTTTCGACCAACTTACATACATCGCATGAAAGGTCGCCAGCACCTATATATGGAAGAATACCTAATTACAAACGTGTACACACACACACGCGCGCGCGCAGAATGCCAGGTTCGAGCACAGAAACCGTGTTTTGTGGCTTGTAGGCTCATTTTGCCAGTTGCTAGTACGACCCGCCGAGCTTCTGACTTTGCACTGAGGCATCAAAACGTTCTAAACTTTAAACCGCGATCCCCGAAATACCTTGGCAAAAACCTTAGCCCTAACACTCTAAACCAAAACTGTGAGTGCAGATACGACGTTGTCGCTGTCTCCGTCGTCTATCATGTTAGGAGCCCACGTGGACCTTGGGGCCTTCTAGCATAGACCCTTTTCATATTGAGTAAGTAGGCTTGGGGACTGTAGGGTTATAGGGCCTTAGAAGTTAAGGTTTTAGGGTTGTGGGACTGGTGGTCTCCTGTTTGTCTTCTTGTGATTTTCTGGTGGTTTTAAACAACAAGAACAGGAAAACATGCTATCCTAAGCCCATAGTCCACCTATGGGACAACTTTCTGCCCCAAGAGCAAAAAAACTGTAGGCAAGATCCTCCTGCAGGTTGATCTTCCAGTGGAAATCTCCCACCTTTGGCAGAGCTTAGATACCGACTCGGATGGCAAGGTCCGCATGGAGGACACTGTTCGGCAGCTTCGACGGGTGTTAAAGCTGTTAAGAATGGCATTGGCTAAATGCCTTTTCGTTTTACCGCTGTTTTGGTGGTTGAACAGTTCTGAGGTGTCAATGTCAAAGTCGTCCAGGGTTTCTAGTTCTTCAGGGTTGTTGGGCAAGTGACCCTTAATCTTTAACCTGTTGTTGGCTTCTGCGCTCCCTGTATACCCCGAAAAGGTAACCTTCAGTTCCCGGCTTTGGGGTCTTGGTGTGGTCGAAGTGGGCCAAAGGGGCTCCTTGCCTGCGGGATATTGAGCGAAGGTTTGAACATCATCAGTGCATTGTACTTGATTTGCATTTGTCGGGCTTATTGGGTTTGCATAGGGCTGTTTACATGGGCTTCTTGTTATCAACGTAGACCCCTGATTTTTAAGCTCCTTGCCTTGATTAGGGATACCATCATGGAGATGTTAATCACGGGGCCCTTGGCCAAGGACGAGTTTGCTATCAGGAGTTTACATGCAAGTTCAAACTTTTGCCCTTGAGCTCCTAAGCCCGAAGGTCAACAAGCCCTAAAGTGCTACGCCCCCTAAACCTCTACATCCTAAACCCTACACTCCTACAGCGTGGACTTGTAACGCTCTATAACTCCTAAGGTCCTAAATTTCTGATCTAACCCTACACCCCCATATCCCTAACCTCTTAAAGCACTGGGCCCCGCACCGCCGAACCCTGTGCCCTTGCCTCCTCCAGTCAAGGAGCTGTGCTCCCCGCGTGCTGAAGTCCTCGCCAAGTTCAAAGAGCCTGGTTTGTGAAGTAGGGGAGGGGGAGGCGAGGAGCTTTCAAGATTTTGGAAGGGAATCTTTATATGGGTTATGAGTTAGTGGGGGTGTTGAAATCCGCCGTATAAGGGATTGAAAAACTATGTTCTTTTAATTTGGAGCCTGAGTGTTTTTTAGAGCAGGGTTAGGAATATAGGATATTGTAGCAAAGGCAGAAAGGGACTCCGATGGGAAGTTATTTCTGAGTATTGTACAACCACGCGCCAACGCCACGTTCGCGCGCACGAAGCAGTGCCACACAGATAACCCGTCAATCTGTGTCCAACTGGATGATGATCCGATCCGACCCAGACTACCCTGCGATGCGGGCTTCGTCCTTGCTAAGTCGGTGGCAAAAGAAGCCCCATACGCCTCATGTTGGAGTTTCGAGAGCCCAAACCCCCTCCCGCAAAGAAGCTTTGAGTCCCAAATGTTTCAGAAACAACTAGAGCTATAACAATCATGACAAGAAATGAGATTATCATAATGAGACGAATGAATATGCCTAATGCTTTTTATCATAAGAGTTGTTCGAGGAGTGGAGCCGCCAGAAATTCGGCACCGCCATGGCACTTTGGGAGACCCCAGAGGCCAAGCAAGGGCGACTTTGGAGTATTTAGACAAAGGATGTCAAGCAGGTGTGTAGCAGGTTGTATGAGCTTGTATGGTGGCTTGACAGCGTCTTCGGGGGCCCTGTTGAAAGTACTGGGATGCAAGCCAAGGGTCTCTTTCAATCTCCAATCTCGTAGGCTTTGGGCTGAACTCCCTGACGGGCACTGGGTCAGTCAGGAAAGCTGGAGAAGAACCGAAATAGCTCAACAGGTAGGCCACTATAACCCCCTAAGCGCGAACCTCCAGCCTGGGCTTCTCAGCTTTTGCAGGCCGTCCGGGCTCGAGCTCGTTGGCGAGGGCAGGGCCTCTGGATTTCAGATACCAAGATGCCTCACACCCAGTTCGTCGAATCGTCAGAGCCTGCAAGGTAGTTGCTGCCTCTCTGAGTTCAAGCCCAAATCTGTGACAGAGTGAGTGCCAAAATGCTAACAAAGCCATCCTTCGCAGCCTTCTGCGGCTCCAACTCCCGCATCCTTAGCCGTTTGCCTACGCCCAGCGACTCAGCGACGCGATGGGTGGACACCAGCGCTTCTTCCACCCGAGCTTTGGCCATCACAGCGCTCTATGATGGCAGGTTTATGATTCAGGGTTGTTGGTACATGGGGTTAGAAGAACCCGCAGACGGAAGGCTAGAGCGGTGACAGGATTGTTTCGTCATGTATGATGCCATACTCACATCCGAAGCCCATACGAAACTGGGAAGGGACGGGATGGGGTGGTTTGAGAAACGACAAAATAATCGAGAGTACTTCGTGTTTACTTCTTGGGTTTACGTATGGATGGAGCCCTGAGACCCGGAAGACTCCACCGGGAGCTTGGAGGACATGGTTTTCAAACGAGTATTAGGGAGGCGTTTGGGATAAGATCCGCCTGGCAAGTGAACTTTTCTCAATACAGAGTATCTCCTTCATGGTAGATAAGGATCGCAACCGATACTTTAAGGCCGAAGGGAATACGAAGTTCTCTGTCCCTTATATCGTGGGCTTTCAACCCTACGTCCCACATCCTAGCATCCTATCCGCAAAACCCGCGGAACCCAGTTACATTGCAATAAACCTCACGCGACTGCAAAAGGCCTGTAAGGCTTTCATAGAATTCTAGCATCCTAAGCCTAAACCGTATAAACCCTAAACGGTTTCCTGCCTGTGCCGTAGCACAGGAACTGGTTCTCCCGGTACATTTGGGGCATCATCGCCAGCGTGAACTTGGGCGGCTTCCTCGCGGATCAGCAGCATCCCGACAGCCATATTCAGATACATGGTTTTTAGGATATAGGGTTATACTATAAGTAGGCTTTATGTGAGGGTTTTGGCGAGTGTAATCAGGGCTGTTTGGAAACATTCGTGGACAGGTACGGCGTGGACCGCTCGAAGAATCCGAACATCATGTGGCCCTGGTGGCACGAGATCATGCGTAAGAAGGCAGCCCATGTTTGCTCATGCATTCGGGCTTAGAGGTGCAGGGAAAGAGAAGTAGCTGCGTTTCAGAGAAAGGAACAGATGTTAACAAGGATTGCTCATGCCTGCAGGCTGCTGATGAGCTTAACCTTGAATCCAGAAAGTCGTGTCCCTCAAGCCCGAGATGCACCAATGCCTTAAACCTACACCTGAAACCTTGGACTTAGACTTAATGCCTTGAAGCCGGCCGAACGCCTTTCCTAAACTCCGCCCTGACCCCAAAGCTTTGGGCCTGCAGTCCTAAATTCAAAAGAGCACGTAAGGCCGAAATCTTAAACAGCAACGTGAGTCTACAATTCAATTTATGGGGCCAAAGCCCAAAGCCTACATTTCCGCCTGCAGGAGAAGGGCGAAATCCCAATGGACATGCCAGGCTACATGCCCCTGGGCCTGGACCTGCCTTAACAGAAAATACGGGTGTTTTCTTAAAGTTGGGCCTCTTTTGTGCGGGGGCTGTTGGAATAAGGATCCTGGTACCTACCGGGTTTACACGGCGGTTAGGGCTCTAGGTTTCAGTTGTTTCGAGCACTCAGAATTTCGATTGCAGGTTGTTGGGGCCCCTGGAGTTCTGGCGGAAGTAAAACTTGGCAGTTATCGAGCTTGTCCACATCAGTGCCTCCCCGTATGTCGTGGCAGGACTCAGGACCACAGCCACGATCTATTGCGCAAACCATAAAATCTCCTGCGCTGCGCGCCATGACTATTCTGTCCTTCAAGAGTAAGATGGGGTGCGTAGCAGACTCTTTGGGAAAACGCCTAAACCCAACACAACGGGCGCAAAGCCTTGTACACGCTGAGCCCCAAACCTGTTCACACTTGGCGTTGGAGCGTTTGCCCTGGAGGAGTCCGTGATTCCCGGGAAAGCTTGAATTGCTAATCGTTAGTCTCCTGAAGTTCGAGCGAAGTTCCCTTCAGTGCGACTCTGTCACCATGGACGAGTGGAGAAAAACACCAAAGCCAAAGCCCCATCAAAAAGCTATAGGTCCTAAACCCTCAACCCCAGCCAAAAGCCCAAAGCCCTTCAAACCCCTACCAGCCGAGCGTGAGCGTAAAACAAACCCCCCCAAACCCACTTTGCCGAGGCTGGCGAAGTTCCGCAACGAGTCCGAGGAGCGCTGGACCGCGGAGCGTAGCCACGAGCAACTCTGGCCTTGTCTTTTTTTTAGGGGGCGGGGGGCGGGGTGGAGGTGTTCAGTCTCCTCTTTTTTGGGGCTCCATGAGGGGTTCTTCAGGAAGGTTTAGCTCCTCTGGCATTGGGTTCAGTGAGTCAGGTTTTAAGTAGGTTTTCTTTTTCAAGCATGAAGGCTTGGGGTTGTGCCCTTGATGTTTTGGGCTTGGGGGAGAGAGCGGTTGGGGAAATTCGGAGGTTCTTGCATCGATGCAATAATAACGCAGCGCCAGCGCAATGCTGAGGTTCAAGGGGTTTCAGGGATGGCGGAGTTTGGTTTTTGTGGTCTGGGCCATTAGGGGCTTTGGAGATATTTATGTTTGGGGAAATTGGATGGGTGTTGGGGTCTTTGCCAACAGGGAAAAAAGAGGTGGGAGTTGGGGGTTACTGCAGGGCCGTCGGGGTTTTGCTGGGTGTCAGGGTGCACCGAGCTATTGCACTGTCCAGCTCGCCAGTACCTTGGCGAAGGAATTAATCTGGCGTGGGGACTTTATCCTCCGGACCGAAGACAGGAAGTTAAAACTTCGAAGCGTCTCAGGTTTCAGAAAACATACAAGGCTCTGGCAGTCGGTGCAAGCTTTTTGCTTGATCAGTGTAGGGTTGTCACAGTGCCATCTGTAGGCGACCCCAGATGATAGATTAGAGTGACTGTCCAAGGTTTGAAGAGTATCTGAGCACCGCAGAGGCTGAGTGAAGCAATTTCGGCCCTTGACAGATTTAACACCCGAAGGCTGCATAAGAGTAGATATGGCAAGTAAAGGCATTCTGCAATAGATCCAGGACTGCAATTTGGGGAATGGTTCGGAATGTTATATACTTCTTGGTGTGAGCAGACCCGGAGCCTTCGGAGATCTGAAAGCAGAATCATGGTATTCTGACCGCTGCACCCTATCCGTGTGTACCACCTGCTCAGACCCGTGCCGGAAAGGCAGATAGTGAAGCCTTCAAGCAGCTAGCAGTGCAAGGTCCAGCTATCCGCTTAAGACATCATCTGCAACCCTTCTACCATGACATGCAACGCACGCCACAAATGGATGTACGATCAAGCGACGGCTGGCTGGAAGAAAAGACCGATCCGGATTGGCACGATACAGCAATCCTTGCTTCAGTGCTTCTTTTTGCTCCGAGAAGATTGATACAGTTGCAGGCCGTTATTGGTTTCGCAGCTCCGTTGATTCGCTGATGGTGAGAGCATCGCAGGATTGCCGGTAGGACTTATCTTTTCTGGTCTGTGCTGCAGACTGAAACCCTCAGCCCCCTAATGAGGGCTAGATGAGCTATGTATGTGCAAGGGGTTGCCAGTGCCCAGAATTTCTTGTGCCGTGCTTGTCGCGAACTCAGATCCTATGTTCAGGCTGTTTATTGGAGAGCTGCCAAGCGAATGCAGCCATCTGCGAAAACTGGTAAGCCTAGCGAGTGAGCAAAGCTGTAGATTCTAACCCTCGAGCCAGAAGCAGAAGAGACCCAGCCAAGGATATTCATACCACCAGTATAGTTATCAATATTACGTAGTCTGTAGGGTTCCTCGAAACCTTATTCTGACTGTTTGGGCCGCGATATTGTCGTCAGGGCGCAGAGTTTACGGAATCTTACGAATGTAAGAACTAGGAAAGTTAGTAATATAGGCATTCCTGAATTTTTGCAATACCCTCATAAGATCGTTCACGGATCATCAAAATAGGGTATCCTCGGTTTCTACGGCAAAGTCTGATGTTCTGATTGCGGGTTTAACTATCCTGGCAGGTGATGGGTTTGGAGTATACTGGTGTTTAGTGTTTTCAGGGCTTGAGACTTGCACAGGTGCACGGTATGGTCGCTTCCATAAGGGAGCTACTCCTTCGGCTAATCACCGGAACAGTACGCTTCTCTTCTCAGCGTGAATCGCGAGATAGGACATACCATAAGCGTATAGAGGCGAAGCAAAAAATCTCGAGAAGCCATGCCTTCAGTAGTTAAGATGTTATGCCGTTCTTATAACTGATCAGGTCCTTGCAACCTATACTATGTATAAATGTATATCTCACCCAAGATTTATGCAGCAACCATGCTTTCCAAAGGCTCATCCCTGCTTTCGGCGAGGCAGCTGAGTGCAGAGTCCAGAGACCCACGAAAGACTCACATAGGTAGTATGATTATAGGCCAATATAGGGTTCAGGATGTAGGCGTCGTAGGGTTAAGGATCTTATGCGGACATGAATGACAAATCACAAACCCCAAAACCCCATTCTAGTTGCTGAGGCCCCTGTAGTGCAACACATGCCGGGAGGGATTTGGGTTTCATGTTTGGGGTTTTGAAGGTGTAGGTTGTCGGGGGGCGGAGGGGTTGACGGGCTTGGTGGCAACCTTTTGGCGTGGGCGTCGATTGGAGTTCTCCGCCGCCCTAAAAGAAGATGCGTAGTGAGGGCTACAGCTGTATGGGGTTAGGGATTTGGCGTTGGATTTGCTCAACGCAACGAAGCATGAATCACCATCATGCGTACACCGATAGCAACAATAATATGAGGACTGTTATGTTTATACTGAGGCTACTGGAAACCTAGTCGCCAGGAAACCCTAAACCGTCATCCTGAAGACCCTCAGCGAGAGCTATACTAGAACCGTACTAGATAGAGACTGGCTAGTTAGAGTCGAGTAGACTATGACATCCTATACTAGTACTATACTACATAACTACTATAACAAGATTTCTAGAAACTACGGTACGATAACTTTGTTGCAGAAAGTTGAAGATCATTCCGAGCCTCAACCTTGCGAGGCGCTGCGCGAGCTCGAGTGGCCCGGAATTCACTGCCAGGAGGAGCTCCTTCCCACTTCGTATAGTTGCAGTATTACCTGGTAGTAGAGTAGGTAACCTTTAACCATTTTTGCGTAGTATAGCCCCTTTCTAACCCCTATATAGCCAAAAAGGTTAACCTTGAGTTTTCCATGATACCCGACAAGTAGGATTAATAGTGCTAGCAGAGCCCCATAAACCAGCAGGGGTCTCACGGTGCCGGGTTCAGGATTTTGAACTTTCTGGGGTTCGGTGCGGGGGTTTTGCGATTCTGAGATCTACCAATGCCTCCACTCAATGAGCCGCAGCACTTTTGGGCTCGGAGGGCTCAAGTCGTTTGTGTAAAGGAGCCCCCGCCCGCCCGATGTCTAGCGCTAACCTGGGTGGCCTGGAGCTGCCAACAGTACGCCTGCAGATCCTGGGCGCTAGTATCTTTTGCTGGTCATGCACTTGCGCTGTCAGCCTTGTGGTCGAAATGACCTTGCCAAACAAAGCTGCGCTTCCAAACATGATTCTGGGAATGTGCGTCGGGTCCCTCACGATGGTGGCAGCCATCCATGTGCTCCTCAGCGATAGATGCCAGCGTCCGTCGGAGCATGTGCAGGAACACGTATGGGCCAGTATACATGTCAGCGGTCTGATGGAGGAGGGTGTCCAGCCCAAATTTCATCGTATTCAGACGCGGACCTCACAAACTGCCAAAGGGGCCAAGTCAGTCACAACGGTTCTGGAGGAAGTCGATGTTCTGTGGCAGTCGCCTGGCTCGCAGCAGACTTGTGTCTGCTGTCTGGAGGATTTCAGGCCTGAAGACCCACTGTCGTTGCTACCTTGTGGACATTTGTTTCATCAGAGCTGTCTTGCTGATTGGAACAGTTTGAAGAAATCGGCCCATGCATGTCCAATCTGCCGTGACAGTTGGGCGAATGTGTGACTGCGGCGGGCATTTTGCAGGGCTTTCCAGCTCTCTGACCTGCCTGGGCGGCGAGTTGCGGCATGCTCTAACAGAGGGCACGTTGCCTGGCGGAGGTAGCCGCGTCGAGCACAGACCTGCACATGTCCGGCTGGGGGCGTTTTGAACCCCCGATCGGAATGTACTCCTGACAAGATGGAGCCTGCACGTAATTTGGCCAAACCCCAAGTTGTGGCACCCGTTTTCAATTTTATATACAGATGAATTCAAGCCCAACAACTCAAGAGCAGCTTGAGATGGAAGGACTTTTTGGGGTTCAGGGGGTCTGTGTTTTTGTTTTTTTGCGCTGATTCCCTTTCCAAGGGGTCCCTTACCATGGAGCTAGTTCCCCTACGAAAGAAACAACATTCTGAGGATTCTATTTTCTAGCTCTTACCATAGAAACCTACGACCCCTCCCTCAAGCCTATTCTAATGGTTTAAAACCCCGTATGCAAATTTTTACACTACAACATAGTACCTCGCTCGTGGACATCGAGTCCAGCCGTGCGAGAGGGAAAAGACCTTATGGTAAGCCGCAGAAAATCAAGAATTCTCAAGATTACGGCTTAGGTTTTCTATTTACAAGGGTTCCCTGTCAAAGCTGTAGTGTGAAGTCAGGAGGCCTAAACCCTTTTATGGTTGTTAAAGGCCCTTACATTACCCCAAAAAAGGCCCGTGCAATACGCGAGGGCTTGGTGTTTGTTGATTCGAGGCTGCGGTTCCCCGGGTTCCGGAGCTTTGTGCAGCTGTCCTCGCGCGACGATGCAAGCCAGTTGCAAAAGACTTCCGGAGCTTAGGGTTTGTTAGGATTTAGGATTCAGGGCTTAGGGTTGCAAGAAGTTTCCGGGGCTTTGGGATTTGTCGGGCTGTGCGATTGAAGGGGGTGTTGCTTGGGGCCTGCTGTGGGCGGTGGATAGAGAAGAGGCAGAAGGGGTTTGTTGTAAAGGTCTGCTTTTTGTAAAGCGCTTTGCAAAAAAAGCTTTTATCTTATGAAAGGAAGTATCACAGGGCAAGTCTTGGATGAATTCTATTCAGCAATGGCGAATCGATCGTTCCTCTTCAAAGCATAATTAGGTTTGACATCCGACCGACCAAAAACCAAGAACCTCCGCCGAAACCGAGACCTCCCTTATGATCATTAGAGTACACGTGCTCCAGGCGGCCATCTGAAAGGTTGCTACTTAATTCCTTAACTCGGAGAATAGGGCCTGTTCCTGTACAGGCTGTATAGGCTTCATAGAGTTCGGGGTTTAGGGGGCGACTGATCCGGTTTATTTATGCTACAGGGTTGAACGTTCAGGGAGTTTGGGCTTCAGAGGGACCTCGTTGAAAAAAGGGAGTTTGAGTCGAGTAGAGGGGTTTGGCAGGAAACGATTCCACGATGTTCTTGACAGACTTCCAGGCTAAAAGCTCCTAAAGCGGCAGCCCAGCTATTCATGCCTCTCTAGAACTTAACCGTAACCCCTGAAAGCCAAAAAATCCTAAAAGCTCCCACACAGCCCAAGCAGACAAGAGCAGGAGCGGTCTTACGTGTTTAGCTCCCTGGATTCCATGGGCTGCAACCTGATCACTCCGGAAGATCTTGCCTGGCTAGACAGGCCTGGCAGTTAGAGGACACCATCGCTTTTATAGGCTTTACTGTTTGAGGTTGCGGGTTCGAAGGGGTCGATCCTGCTTCGGCTCCAGCGGGGCTGTGGCGCTGGTTTGGGCCTTAGCAGGGCTTGCCGGGTGGAGACATTACTTGAGACCAGATTCATGCGACTGCACAAGGCTGCAACTGAGCAACTGCTTCAAGCAAGAATCGTAGAGATCTGAGGAACTAGTAGAATTAATGTCCCCGTACGGTCCCTGTATAAGTTATGTTGTCAAGACCCCTCTACAAGAACGAGCGATGCTGAGCACGACAGCCGCAACCCTGAAACCTTGAACCTTCAGCCCTCAACCTTTATTTCTCCTTCGTGTAGATCCTTGCCTGCCTTGTGCGGTTGTGAGAGCCGAAACCTGCGACCCCGCACCCTTAAGCAATTTAGGGGCCTCTCAAAGAAAAAGAATAGCTACCTCGCTCTTCTTGCATAGCATCGTCGTTGGGCTCCTCTTTTCGGAATTGGCAGCATGGGTTCTGTAATCACCCTGCCCCCTCCCCAAAAAAGAAATTGCTGAAAAGCCCGCAAGCCGCTAGAACTCAATAGAAGCCTGTGAAACCCTACGCAAACATCTCCACAACCAGAATCAACCCCATATAAAGCCTTACAGGACCCCATGAAACCCCTTGCAGAAAAACACTACACAGACCAGGCTTCAGAAGCACACCCCATGGAACCCAATCGCAGTGCAGCAACTTGGGCCCCCGTTATAGGAACCCTCAGAGGAGCCCTGAAAGGAACCCTCAAAGGATCCCTTAAAGGACCCCTCAAAGAAACCCTCGAAGGATCCCTTAAAGGAACCCTCAGGGGTGCTCTAATAGATCCCTTCTCTGTCAGGTGGATCCCCTCGGAGTTCCTGGCGGCAGATCCAAGCCCAACGGCCTGGGCCGACCTCAAGGCGATCCGGATCTGAAACTGATGTGTCTGTCTATTCTCGGAATATGAGGTTAAGGGTCCTATGTACTACAATACGGCTACAAGTTTGGGTTCTTGAAACATGGGGTCATAGAGGGGTTCTAAACTTGCAGGTGTTCTAGACTCTGGAGGTTGGTGGGTACTGCCCCCCATACAATAAACGGTCTATAGTAGAGCCACGGGGGTTCAGGATTTAGAGTCGCTGCCGGCATACACTCCAAGTCCGTGCTTAAAAAGAGTCGATTTGGGTATTGCGCGCGCAGTAATAGCGTCTGATATGGCTACCATTAAGGACCTTTTGCATTTACACTCTCGAAAACAGTTTCTAATGCGTTTAAGGCTAGCAGTAAGGGCCTCATGTGTTTGTATTAGAATTGCTCTTTAAGTGTTTGCTGAGTGGAGGCAGTCTCCAACGGGGTATCATTCAAATAAAAGGGATCTAATTACGAGGTTCTCAAGTCAGAAGGCTTCTAGAGTCATGCAGGTTATATTCAGGAGTTCCAGAGAGGCGAGAGAAGAGTTCAGGTTGAGGGGTCAAGGGCTAAAGGATTGTATTTTTCTGGGTAGAGGACGCTGGGGAACTCAGTAAGTGCGTGAGGGATGCGAAGAGTAACCGTACAGCCTCGCGATGAGCCCGAACTCCCCCACAGCCTATAATCCCCAGGCCTCGTATCCAAGCCGTTACGGGCCTATAATTACAATAAAAGAAACAGTAAGTATTATTTTCATTAGTAGCGATGGCACTAATAGTAAAAAATGACAGGGGAGAAGAAGAGCAACAAAATTATGGACCACACATAAGAGGCTCTCGGGTTTCAGGATGCTAGAGACTTCTCTCGGGCCTTGGGTTTTAGGGGTGTTCGGATTTAGGCGGTTGGCGTGCTCAAGATTTCCGGAGGATTATAGGGCAGTATCGGGTAATGTACGGCTCGGACAGCTCAGGTAGTTCAGGGCTTTGATGTAGCCACAGGAAGTTCTTTGTTTAAAGCCTAGCCTTTTAGGGGTTGGGCTTGAAGGCTTTATCTTACGTCTTACGGCTTCGGGGACCAAGGCCTGTAGCAGCATTCTGTGCTTCGTGCTCATTGCATCTTTTGTGGGTTTGGGTCTTCAGGAACTTAGGGTGTCCGATTCAGCTTGGGCAGGAGATCCTCGTCAAGACGTACCAGCACCCGCTGCGTGCGTGGCGCATCCTGGACAGGCGCTGGGTCAACGTTTGCGGCTCTGAGGAAAACCGTTTCGGGCTTGCGAAATTTGCGACCCACCTGATAGAATCTAGAATCCAGCGGCTCTCTGGGCTCGTCTCCACAAGCCTTGAGAGACACGTGGGTGTCCGTATCTGCTTGTATCATACACTGATGACTTGGACTATCACGACGGTTCTGAAGACCAAGAAACTTATAATTAGCCATCATCATTGTTTTCGTATTGTATGCCGCCAGCATGACATTGTCTTCATCACCTCTGGATCAAACGCTGCAGTACTTCGCAGGAAGTAAGTTGTGCTGCAAGTGTCCGATTCAGGACCCGCGGTGTTAGAAGCCCAAACATTTCGATGCGGTACCAGGTAAGGCTTGAAGCTTGAAACCTGAGTCCAGAACGTGGTCCAAGAAGACAGACTGGGCAGGGCAATGCACGAGCTCCGAATCAGCGTGTTTTGGGAAGTGCTTGAGAAGTGTGAGGTTTGTGAAGTTGCCCTTGCATGCCAGGGACAACTCCAACCGCATCGCTTGGACTGAGTTCCGAGACGTTTGCAAGAAGGCCTCGGTAGACACGACAGTAGCTCGATGGCGATGATGATGGCGTGGCGTGAAGTGAGAAGACGGAAGTATGACGAAGATGACGACAGCAGCTTGGGTTTGGTGATGGTCTGCGTTTTGTAATCCGGTCCACCTGATTGTGGGTTTCTGACGACTAGCTGATAGTTGTTTGTCGTTCAATGGGTCCTGGCAAGGTGGTTGAAGACGGAAGTGCTTCAGCCTTGAGTCCACATCATCGGTAGACTTACGCGGGTCAGTGGCAGAGTCTCCTCCTTTCATCATCTTCTTCACGATGCGGGGTAGCACGACGATGGTAATGATCGTCGGTCTCTCAGCACTCCATGCCGGCAATTCCATTAAATTATTAGTAGCGAGACCGTACACGGTGAAGGGTAGCAGTCGTGTACGTACATGCCCTCTCGGCAGCTACAGCTGTATTGCGATGTTCGTCAAGGCCCGATGTTAGAGAACATTTGAACATGGCCCTCTCGCTCGACGGACCCGATTCCATTTCTTGACCCACAAACTCACACGTGATTGCCCCTCGCCCTCAGCCCCCGGGCACCAAGCTGCAGGCATCTAGCTTTTCAAAAACCCTTTGAGTACAGATAGGATCATGAAGAAATAATTACTTGGTAGCAAATCGGCTTGAAAACTCGAAAAGTCGCGGAAGTAAACAAACAAGTAAACACATGAAGCAACATTGTTGTGTGCCGTTTGCGTACTGCATGTGCGCATGCATCAATGCACACCGTACCTACACATTTCGCATGTTTGCACATGCACAAGTTCTACGTAGACATAGGCCTACATATATCCATACATACACAAACGCATCTTGCACATGAAGGAAGATCGCCTCTGGAGGTTCACTTTACCGGAGATATAGTCGGAGCGTGGCGTATGCTTGATACTGACATGCCCGGGGCTTAAAGGACATCGCTGGCTTGCATTGTGTATGATTGTTTAGGGCCATTCGTGGGGGCTCAATGAGGGATCATAAGCTTCAAGCAGAGCAGGCATCAAGATGCATTGTGAAGATTGATTTTTCTAGAAGCGGCAAACTGGCTTCGGATCCCACTTCGGAACCTTGAACACGGTATGAAGGTCCTGTTTCTGCGTGCCCGCCCGAACCGGACTGTTGGCTTTGCGTGTGGAAGTTCTGCGCCGGGTTCCATTTTTGACATGCTTTCGCGGGCTGTGGGCATCATTCTCTACATCGGTATCGTTGTAAGGCATTTATGCCGAGAGTACTTGATGGCACTGCGGCTCACTCGGAACATTGACGTAGCTAGGAAATCTGAAGGCTGCATCATTGGCCCTGCTTTTCGGGCGCTGAGTTCTTAAGCTGGACTAGGTTTAGGATTACCGTAGTACTTAACTTAGCATCATCATCATCATCATCATCATAAATTGCGCGCTAAAGGGCATATGCAACACGACCGACAGTTAATCCAGAAACCTGAACCTGAACTCAGAGCCTTGAACCCTGCATCCCCAGTGTGGATGCAACGGCAGAAAGAGAGAAGCCCTTTAACAAATTTTTGCCGTTTACACCAGAGCTCTGCTGACTTGGTTCTCAGGTCTGGCTACATCTCCATGCGGGAGTATGCCCGAGCCTCTCTGGATTCCGGCAGTCGGACATCTAGCCTCGTTCATGGTGCACCCCTTCATTTCTTTTATGATATTCTAGCACTTGCTTTCATGATTGTTTCTGTTTAGTGGTAGCACCTCGTGACTTTACAGCCTTCGTCCGCACGCTGCCAGGATCCATCCAGCGAAGAGCTTCTCACCTCCTTCAAGGCGGGCCGTCCTAATCTCAGTAGCAGCTTAAGAGGACGCAGGTTTCACATCTGCGGGATTCGGGATTTCAGATCGTGTCATGATGGGCTTACTGTCATTAAAGACGCAACAACGCTTGAATTGAATGTGCAACCATAGTCGGGGCTGACTCAACTACACACTTTATTGTAGCTAGCGCACCTGACATACATGAGGGTTGGAAAGGTCCGCCCAAGAGGAGCCTCGGGAGATCCTGACTCAAGAGCTATGGCTATTTTGGCGGTATATAGGCGTTTCGAACTACTACTAGACGCTCCAGGCCATAGTCGGTGATTAGACAATTGTCTAAAGAGTCTTTCAAAACCCCTTTCAGGGCCCTATATAATCCAAGCCCCTTCACCTATCTCTCTCTCTCTCTCTCTCTCTCCCTCTCTTTCTCTCTCTAGCGCTAGCGCCCTTAAAACGGGCTTGAAGTTGTCACATTGCACCCCCCAGCCTTTGGAGCTTTACAACGGGTCCTCCTTAATCAAGGCGCGCGCGCCTAAAAAAAACTACCCTGAAGACAAAACCCAGAGAGGAGCGGCCGAGGGAAGTGTACAAAAGTGTGGCAGGCGCAGCAAAATCGCACGTTTTGACCTTCCCCGGCGGTATTGTGGCAGAAGCAAAAACGGGACACGATTTCGTGTCCAGTTTTCTGGGCGCCCTAGGCGACCATCAGTGCTATCATCATCGATGTCAACATCGCTATCATCCTCACAGCCACCATCGATATCACCATCATCTTCATCATTCTCATCATCATCGTTATCATCATCGTCATCAATGTGTTGAGCAGTGGGCTTTTTGTGTGCTGGGAAAAGCCGGCCTGAATTTATTCTCCGGACCTGGGCTGCAAAGCTAGTCTTACGGCAGAAGGCGAAAACACTGGTGGGGCCGATGACTTTGAAGGTCGCGGCAAGTTTGTTGAGGTTTGTGGGTGGAAAAGGTATGGGGCAAAAGGTCTTTGCACAGTCACCTTTGCCAGATCGCTAGGTCATCATCATTGCTACCACGATTGTTATCATCATCGTCATCATCATCGTTATCATCATCGCCATCGCCATCGATATCATCGTCATCGTGACCATCGTAATTTTCATCATCATCGTTGTCTTCCTCGTCGTCAACATTTCGAGCGGTAGTTTTTTTTAGGCGCGCAAGCCTTAATCAAGTATTCGAAGTTGTAAGCCGTGCATCCGCTGCAGGAATGGGCAGACTCGAATTTCGGATCGGTTCGGCACTGCTTCAAGGCCTGGAAAGGGAGCCTGGAGGTTGTAGGGATCTTGGGGCGTCAGGCTCTCGATCTCCAGCGTTTAAATGGATTTCCATATTCGAAGAAGCTCCTGGGTGTTGGCGGGGTGGTCTGCTGCCCATCCGCAACTGAAGGGCACGAGAAAATCCTGACAGGGACTTCTAACCCTGAAGCCCTATAATCCTCAACCCCAGAAGCCCTGAAGCAGCCTAAGCTCTGAAAGCTGGCGCCCAAACCCTGAATCATCGTCGCGCTGGGCCTTTCATCCGTTCAGTGCTTAGGCAATTGGATGTAGTAGTGTCTTGGGTGGCAACGTTCCCGAAAGTCTGCTTTTGAAGGCTACAGTGAGGCCAAAGAGCATGAGCCCTGCATCTTTATCTGGGCTTGTCCTGCGTGGCGAGAAAAGCGGGTCTCAGGACATGTTCGTGTTGTGGTACTGGAACCCACCAGCTGTCCTTGTCACCACGACTTTCAAACAAACGCTCGTCTGTCAAGGCTTTAGACAGCGATCGGAGTGGGTCGGTCACCTACGCCGAGCTCAAGCGGGCCTGTCACAAGGCAGGCGCTTATAAAGACTGTTGCTGGAAAGTGTGGGTTCAGGTGCAGCATTGTTGGGGAATGTTGGGGAGGTATAAGGTTTTGGATTTTAGGGATTCCGGGCTCGTAGGGCTTTGTTATTTTTTACGGTCGGTTTCAGAGGGCTTTCAAAGCGCAGGCTTCAGGGGATCAAAGTCCACAAAATCCCCACAGCACCTGGCGGCACGATTTCGCACGCCTTCCAAAGCTTCAAGCCGAAAGCCTGATCCAACATCAGTTTGAATCTGAGCAAACAGGGCAATGTGCAAACTAAGTGGTTTGTGGTTTTCTCACCAAAGTCGTCGTAATCATGGGACCTCCCAGCCTTGTCGTTCTTGCTTAGGTGCGTTATCGGTATCTCACGATTTGGGCGTGCGGGTCTACTTCAGTGCCCTCATCCATTGGCTGCGTTGAGTCTGGAGAAGCAAACCCGGCCAAGTCCCAACCGCAGCACCGTCAACACTTTCCTGGTGAAGTGGGTGGGAACACCTTACACCGAAAACCCTACAGAGATATCTTTGTCAGCCTGGCAGATGAAGTGGATGGGCAATGTGCGCACGTTGTTCGACTGCCTCGACCTGGATTCCGCAGACCGGCCGCTCACTTACGTCAGCGATTGAGCACAACCCCAGCGAACCCAGGATACCTATGGACTCCAATGATGCAACGGTTGTGTTTCTCATGATCATCATCGTCATGTTCACCGCCCACATCATCTCCATAGTCATCATAGTGATCACCATCAACATTTCAATGATTGGGTTGCTGTTGCTTTTGTTGTGTTTGCTGCTGTTGCTGCCATCATCATCATTACCATCATCAGAGATCGCTCAGACTGGTTGCCGGAATAGTGGTGCCCACAGAAAGCGATGTTGGAAACAGGTAAAGTGCTACGAGAGACTACTGTGACCATCGAACACCAAATCTTACATGTTACAGGGGCGCATGGATAAGTTGCCATCTTCAGCGTCTAACTTGACGATGTATGATCAGGCCTGTGCGTCAGGTCAAGAGACTGGGGGTCCAAAGTGAGCCCGCGCTCGCGAACGTCCTCGCCTGCCAAGTCCCAACCAACTGACAACGGATTGCGAGGGCCTTCCCCAGCAGCTTACTTTCTCATGTTTATACATAAGTCCCAGATAGGCTTCGTAGCCTATCTTCCGTCTCGGCTTAGCGCCCCGTAGCATCCGGATCTACCGGCTCAAGAGCCAGTTTTGGGAAAAGCACTGTTTAATCGCCAGTTCCGAAGTTGAAGTGGCATTTGTTCTTAGCGTGATTATGATTATTAGCCTAGATACGTGCTTTGAACTGGCTCAATGTTCTTCTCCGCCGGTTACCATGACTGGATTTCAAGGCAGAGCCCGAACCCTGAAACTCCAATCCCCGAATTCCCTCAATCCCCAAAAACCCCGCAACGAAAGCCCTGCAGCTCTGAGCCCCACTTCGATGATCAAGGTGGTTATTAAACGTAGTTAGCTAAGTACACATAGCGGAGTTATGTGTCGGAGTTATGTCGAGGTGTTTCTATATATGAGTGCATATAACTGTGAGTGTGTATGCACAATCTCAATAGACTCGCAGGCAGGGCTTCAAGCTCGCCATGCAGATTTTTTCTTAGGCAGGAGTGACCATGACCTCGCCATCCTTGGGACACTTCTTATAGTAGCATGCCCTCTGGATGTGGACACTCGGAATAAACCGAGCCGTGGAATCGTCCAGGAGGAAGCGATTCTTACCCAGAGGCTTCAGAATGCTACACAAAGTGCACATGTCCCCGTCATACAGGCGGCAATGCAGCCACACTTGGACCACATCACCAGAAGAAAGCAGCACGAGATCACCTTTCTCGCAGCTCTGGCCCGGCCTGCAAACGGCCTGAAAGGAAAAAGTCGCACCGCATGCTCGATCGCCGAAGTTTGCATTCAACATGGCCTGCAAAGAGATCGTAGCTTTCTTGGGTGACAGCAGATGGGGCTGCAGACTGAAAGAGTCCGCTTGCATCTGCAGGATCACTTCGCCCCACACGTCTTTGAAGACGGATTTCTCAAACCAGTCTCCAGGGTTGTGAATCTCGTTTGCCAGCTGTTTGATTTGGCGATGCTTTTTTTCGTGAGTGAAGCAGGAAATCAGCGGTTTCTTTCGAGCAAAAGCGCCAAGGTGCAGGCTATAGTGGAATTTAGGCACAACATGCTCGGAGCCATATGCACTGAGAAATGCCCGGCAGTGTTTGAGGATGGCGGCCTCCAAATCGTCTGGTGGCACCTGCTCTCCCCGGTTCCCTTTAAGCAAGAGATCCAGGACGAGAAACAAATTCAAACAACTGGTCATCGCCTTTGCCAGTAAATCTGGAATGCTTCCTGTTGCAAGACTGAGCAAGAAAAGTCGCAGCAATGGGTACAGGTTCAGACCTTGAGAGGCACTACACTTGAACTCGCCAGGGGGAATTCTCTTGTCGAAAATCCTCAGTGTCTCGTTGCGGTGTGTCCTCAAGCCGTAGGGCCATTCGAAGGAACACATCCAGTCTTTCAGACTTTCCACTGTCACACCGTGGGTATAGAGTATGGGGAACAAAAGCCCCAGCTCCACGTGCATCAGTCCTGCTACCAAGTAACAGTGTAGCCAGTCGTACATCAAAGTGGAGGCCAAAGGCAAACTCCCATGGAACAGGACACCATCTGGGTTATGGTTCATCCCCAGTGACTGCTCCAGCTGCTCAAAAGCCTTCTTGGAGACTTGGCCACATCGGCTTTGCAGTAACCTGCAGCCCTGCCAGATGGTATTGTCCGTTCTTGCACAAAACTTCTCCAGAGCAGTTTCGTGCACAGGTACCAGTGTCCCAGTTGTGTCACAGCCTTCCAGCATGCTCGTCTTGGCAACAACATTGGAGCACAAAGGACATGGTAGTGTCCCCGAGGAGCCCTTCACATCAAAGACTGCCTTCAAGGCAGCTTCATCTGCCACCATGGTGTCCAGTTTCGCGAAGAACATAACTCGTTCACCGCCCGAGTCCAGAAGCAAACCATGCTCGAAGTCCTCAAGCTTCAGTGCTTGCAGGAGGTGGTGGGTGAACTGCGAGAGGCCGCCAGGAAGTTGGTTCACCAGATGGGACCTCGCCAAAGCCACCGTGAACCACATTTGTTCTTGGCAACGGAACTCCGCCCCGAATTCATGGAAGGAAAGGTAGTAGGCTTGGATCTTCCGTGTGTTTTGCTGCTTTAGTTGGTTGCCCGGTGATATCTCATCACAATATAAACACACCCGCCAAGGTGTGTTTGCCTTGGGCGGGTGTTCCAGGAACTTCCTGCTGAAAAAACTAACAAGCAGGTTCTTGACGACGTACCACATCCAGGCTTTCAGATTCAATGTTGGGAAACTCCGTTCCTTTCCCTTCTTGTCTTTGATCTGCATATTGTCGATCAAAGCGCCATATGGTGTGTCGATGGCGACCTGTTCCTCTCTGGCTCTTTTGATGCCTGATCTGGAAGGTGCCACTGTGGAAGACGATTCGGAAACCTCCTTCAAAACAGCTGCTAAACCACTCTGGCTCACATAATGCTTCCGACCCAAGCTGGCCACGTCCAACGACATGGCTAGTTTCTGAATGCCGGCGAGCTTGCAGCCCTGCCGGCTTGATGGGCCCCAATGAAAATCTGTATAATATCATGCTCTCGGCTTTTATAACTACGAGCAATTTTGCGAAGGACATATAATTACCTACATTGAGGCTTCCCTTCCCTATATCTATCTATGTTCTATATTTATTTATTTATAAACCCTAAATCCATAAACCTTAAAACCTTAACACTAAAACCCATACACATAAACTCTCAACCCTATATATATATATATATATATATATAACTTAACCCAAAACGATAACCCTTAAGTCCTGGAATGGCATAAGGTGTCAAAGCAGCTTCATGAGATCTGACTACATGGCCTGGCACAGATCCAGCTTTGCAAACAAATCCACATGCACGGCTGACGAAGCAACTCTCATGTCGATATGTGCATGCATGCATTCGCTCCGGCCAAAGGCATGCAATCTGCATGTTTTTGTCTCGGCTCGCGATCATGCTCATGCAGACCCATCTGCAGGCATGCTTGATGTTGCTGGACGAAGATGCACAAATGGCGGAACTGAGGGAACATTTTCTTGTCCCTCGTGGCAAAACGGGTTTAGAAACAGCTTGGGCAGCAGCCCGGTTTGGACCTGCATTTGGAGCAACCGTGTGGCCTCAACAAGACTCGCTTCGCGAGGGGGAGCGAGGCCCAATACTTTTTGCCGGCAGCATGGGCTGAAGGCTTCTTCAAGATGCTCTTGGGCTGGGCCTTTGCCTTGGGCTGGGCCTTTGCCTTGGGCTGGGCCTTTGCTTTCGGCTTGGACTCACTTTTAGCCTTGGCCTTAGCTTTTGCTTTAGCCTTAGCTTTCCCCTTCGGCTTGGCAACTCCCTCGAACTCGTCAGCCGTTCGCTTGCCCTGGCCTCCAGTCTTGCGGTTGTCCAATGCATCGGACACTTTGGTAGCTTCCTCTAGGGCCTGAGTTGTGTCGAGCTGGAAGGCGAAGGGGTCTGCAGGCTTTGTCTCGATGCCGCTTTCTCCGTTCTCTGGCTGCTGTGCCTGTGTCGAAGAAGATGGCTGCTGTGCCTGTGTCGAAGAAGATGGCTGCTGTGCCTGTGTCGAAGAACATAGCTGCTGTGCACATGCCGGTGTCGAAGAAGATGGCGGCTGTTGCGATCCCGAAGAGGACCCCGTGCCGGGAGCGAAGATCTGGAGGTTCTGCAACCCTCCCTGCTGGGTCGCCAAATCTTGCTGCTGCTTCATCCATTGCATGAGGCCCTGCATGGACGAAGCATGTGGCATGCCATGCATGCCCATCATTCCCTGCATGTAGGGGTTAACCATCATGTTCATGCCACCCATGTGCATGCCAGGCATCGACATAGAATTTGCCGGCACCATGGCAGTGCTCGCCTTCGGTGTGGCAAAGATGCCTCTCACCTTCTTGTTCGTCGGTCTCAGCGAAATGTCCATGGCTTTGAGTGCCACCTGCCCAGCCGGCAGCAGAGTGCTAACCGGCCCATCCTCGGCATCGTAGGCCGCCTTGAACAAAACATCCGGTAGCTCACGAGGCCCACCCACCGGATAGGTTTCAATGTGAATCCCTTCTTTTGGGACTTTCTTCGCTTTGAGACGAAGCACTCTTTTGAACTCCCCCACCTGGAGAAAGAGCTCGGCCTCAGTGCATGTGCCACCGGATCTTGCAGCGATGGCGGCCAGGATACTTTTCACACATTGCTCTGACGGCAATGTGAGCCTCAACCGGCAGCACCTGCTTGCTGCAGTGTCGAGCTTGATGTGGATGCTGGAAACAGAAGTCAGCACTTCCACGTCCTTCTCGCTCAAGTAGGACTCGAAGCTGCTGCACAGTTGATTCTCCCTGCGATTCTTGCTGCCTTTGCTCCCACTTGTTGCACTGACACCCTTGGCCAGCACTTCAGAAAAGGCTTTGGTTTGGTCAACAGACCATGGGCCGGTGCTCCACGAATCGGCCAGTGCTGCCCCTGCCTCAGGGTCGAGGCAAAGCCCTGCAGCTCGCTTCGTGAGGGCATCAGCTTGG